AAATCGCTTCTAGCGAACCCGAATGACGGGCCCTCTGGGGCAGAGACGCAATGGCGCAAAAATGAGATATGACATCTGCACTCGGTATTCAGAAAAGATTAACGGCTTTGAAATGGGACATCCTTTTTCGTGTTCACCGACGGACATTTGGAGGAGCTTAGGATTGATTGTCCCTGTGACTTATCTAGAGACCACGCCATGTTGCCGGGTCTTGTATGTACGTACTAGGGTACCTTTGACCGAGGTACACGGCTGGGAGGGGGGGTCAACGGTATTTAGCGGCCACTAGCCAGGGCCCTTGCCCGTACAATCAGCCAATCAGAGGCAGGTGCCACATAGATCAGTATCTGATGTATAAGGGAGGAAGTGGCGGGGCGTGACGATAGGGCGGCACAGCCAATAAGAACACCTCAGGGGGCCGTACAATTAAGCAAAGTTATCGCAGCTGACAAACTGGACGATACTGAGGATATTTCCAAACCCAAATATTTGAACATACTAAGGCCCCTGAAATAATCGCCCGTAAAGGCCCAGGGCCCATAGCCACAAGCGAATACAGATTACCTCAAGTATTGCAGACAGCATAACTAGCGATTGCGTGACATATCCGCACGGCGGAAGCGGACTCCTGCCCGTTCACACACTTTTGGCCAGAGATCGTAGTGATGTCAACCTTGACCCTGTGCAATTTGAGGGACAAATGTTTCAAGGGCTTTCAATGATAGATGCCCATAACCGTGACATTCTGCAACGGGCTGCTACCGGAATGCCGTCGGAGTTTGGCTGGTCAGATAGGTTGACCAATTCGCATTGAACACGCATGACCCGAAGCCGAATCAAGCTCGGCAATTGGATCGAACGTACCCTCACCCGCAATGCCAATGTTACTTAATAGCATTGTATTCCCTCGTTTGTGGGGCAGTTGGCTTGGCCGGGCTCAAGAGTCTTCGTCGTCCTTCCTCCCCGTGCTCGCCTAATCCGATCTCTGGCCTGGACGCACCCACTTTGGCGGGTCCCCGTCTGGCTAAGAATGCCTTGCTCCTGTCTGCAACACATACTGAAGAGACGACAAACAATGCTGATCTTGCTCGCTTGCTGCGCATGACCTTACCCCAGAGCAAGCCACGGACAGGCGAAGGGCCTTTTTTTTTCTTGGCCACGCGTTCAATCGCTTTACCAAATCCTGCGCAGGCAGCGATATGCACCTTCCTGAAGTCCTGGAGCTAAGACCTAGATTTGGTATCACCTGTGAGCGCCTGAAGTCCTGGACGGTGGACGCGGGCACGTCCCTTGATTCATCTAACAAGCGCTACATGTAGTCAACGTAGGACAGAAGGAGGCCACTGAATTGGGGAATTCATATGCCTGCTACTGGGGGAGCTCCCCGTACGGCGCACAGACTTTAGCGCCAGTCTGGAAACCCTTGTCAGCATTAGTCGCCGTTGCGCTCAGAAGTTCCTAGACAACCTAGTCAATTGTTGAATTGAGTTCTGAACGACTTCTAGCGTTTTCCAAAGGAATGGACGATTTCCCAATATCCATCACAGCTCTTGAGCTTTCAGAAAGCTCCACCTGGTGTTTACTTCGGGACGAAAGCATCCGAACGAGCCAGGGAAAGTAACTGACATTTGCGTCGGTACCTCGAGCTCACCTCCCTCGTACTTATGAGCATCTAGGACGATAGCGGTGTCGATGGCTTGTCCTTGATTTAGCAGGGGGCCAAAAGAATCGACGCCACGGCGCCGTTGTCCTCCAAAACAAAACTCATACTTGCTTGCCTAACCAACTACGGCAACAGCATCCTCCTTGGCAGGCATCCTCTGCTGGTTTGAAGCACCCGACCTCTCCGCCCAACCCAACACAACTGCAATTTAGCTCTTCTGGGATATAGCCTACCCCGAATATTCCATCTGATCGTGAGATATCCAACCTAACCAATGATTTCTTGTGCTACCTACGGCCCCTGTCCGCTCTAAGCAGGGATGCACTTTTACAATCACGATGCGAGATCACGTACGATGTCAAGTTATGGAAGCATCTCTAATTGCTCTTAAGTATCAAGTCAAAGTTGTAAAACTGGGCAAAATGGTTCAAGCTGTCTACTTGTATCTGGGCTTAAGGTAGGAGGCGTACTATGGTTGCGGGCCGGATTTCTGAACACCCATTCGACCTACCTGTACAGTGCAAGCTATCCCTGCTTAGTGCGGAAAACTTGGCGTATAATACAGCCGCCTTATAGTAACTGGGACAGGGCTTTTGAGAGTCAAAAGCCAAATGACAGGCCCAATCCCACACCCCATGGTGGTGTATTATGTACCTTATGGCATTTGGATTACCATTGAAGTCGAGCACTTTTCGGTCAAGCTGGCTTAGACACGGACCACTTCGCATCCAAGGTCGCCGCAACACACACCATCCACCTCTCTTCACCTTTATAGTCGCAGTCGATTCATTTGGCAATCATCTTGTTCTTCTCTTCCCCAAACGCAGCGCACCGCAAGGTCGAGTCCTCCTCTTGGATTGCCCCAACAAAACTAGTTCAAAAGCCCCTACCAGATAGCATTATTCTTGTTTGGTCGCTTCTACTGGTCGATCGCTGTCGCTGTCGGGGTCGGTCGTTGTTGTCGCTGTTAACCAAGTTCGATATCCAGGTGGTAGTACCTTCCTGAGATCCACCCGACCCGACCCTTCACCAGCTTTAGGGCCACAACCATGATTGGACACCGTTCAGACCAGGCCATCCAGGGCTCGGCTAAGTATGTTCGTATCTCTGCTACTGCGTTGCACCAAAGATCTTGATCGCTCTTCGCACATCTACACAATGCCCCATCGGGTCAGTGGTTCACGTCAACTAACGTCGGGCCAGCACCGGTAGCGGCATGAAGCCGTGCGAAGACCCTACATTGTGCGACATGCGATTGCATAGTTTCGAGTGCGAGACAACCGGCTCGTTCGCGGCTGGTCATATAATGTCACCCGTCGCGCCGGCAGATCGTTGTCACGACCTCTCAGCACTGCTGCAGAAGTTGGGCGACACGGTCAACAACCAGCAGCCCAACATGGCAGTAGATGCAGCCACAGCAGCTACAAGCGAGTTAGACATGGATAATTCGGTCGCATTAGTGCGTGCTCAGGAGCGTGAGCTCGTTGTTAAGGACGTCGGAACTCGCTTCGGCGGCGCGCTGCTGCGCTGAAAACAGGTTGGGATCGTAATGGCGTCGCAGTCTGTGAACAAGGTAAGTTATTCGCGCGGCAGTATACACTGATCGTGAGGAGAGAGTCCGCGGTGGACCCTTTGATGCAGTTGGACTCATCGAAGAGTCCCCCTGGGCTTCCGTTGCCTCAACAAACACATTCAAGCTATTTCAGCTCATTGCCTAATGCCATCATAGGGAGCGGAATAAGTGGATGCCATGTCCGATCCTATGAGAACTATTTGGGCGAGCAGAGGTGATGCAACGTCTTGCTGGTTCGTTATCAGGGTTTTCATTTGGTTGTCGTCTGTCCCTTTTATATCGTTGTCGGTTTGGTTATGAATTTGGATGATGTCGTCATCCCCATTCAGACTTTAGAGGTTGGTGGCGAGGAACTCCAAGAAGGCGATTGTCTCTTAGATTGGAAAGCTGGCGCTTCATGGACAATGTTTGCTCTCCAAGCTGCATTTGAAGAAAAATAGCGAATGGGTGGTTGTGCTTTGCTGAATTTAAGATCATCGGTCCAGATTGGACCTGTTAAATGGTACTCATATTTACCTTTGTCGCAGGGAAGCTATACTACCCCCATGTTCTAATTCCAATGCTGGAGAATTTGGACGGCAGCCATGGGAAGCATCTTCCGGCGCACTTTGAGCCTTGCCGCAAACAGAGAGTGCTTCTGCCTCCAGAGTGTTGTGAATGCCGCCAAAACACGCCGGATGTGATGGAATGGGTGAAAGAGTATCCTCTGGGCGCCGGATATCCTCACTCAGCATTGTTGAGCTCAAAAGACACGTTGCACACTCATCGAGTTTGTTTATCGGCCACGCTAGCGGGCTCTTAGCATAGCATGCCGCGGGTCTCGTATGGGACGTAGCTGGGAAAATGAGGACCCAAGAACGAGGAGCGTAGACACCAGTTGATGATAGAGGGCACGATGAGTTGAGTGAAGGATGAAAAGGAGGGAATTTAAGACGCAGACGGGTGTAGCTAAGTGGGTGGGAGGCTTATCTTCTAATGTGGACACCCACTCGCGGCTGAGAAAACATTGTTCCAACCAATTATCGCGCAGCTAACCCCTCTCCATTCGTTTCCAATATGGTACCAACATGGTACTGGCGGCTGAATCGTACTTCCAAGAAAGTTCAGCCTATCATTGAAACTTGCGGGTGGCAAGTTAGGCCGAGTGTGAGCGTGTTTCCTATTATCCAAAGAGAGCTCCATTTGGAGCATTCATCGATGCCTGACCGGAGACTTGACTCGTACTCATCCACGTTGAGAGCTTCGCATCCTGGAACGCGACGATGTCGATTAGCGGGTATTTGCGTAACTGTGCTCGGTCCATAAAAGCTTCTCAATCAACCTTGAACCTACATGCACAAAACAAAAAGTGCGCAGATCGTGATCTGCCTACACGAAGACGTAATCTGGACATGTAAAAGGTGCCTGGGCGCGTTTTTCTGTTGTACGTGGCAATCGCTAGAGTGGAACAAGTATCACCAATCGGACAGTTTCCTCCATCAACTCCATTTGGCTTCGACTGATTTCTGGATGGTTTAACTCCGACGTCTAACTGCAGATAGCGATGAGGGCGTTGCATCATGAGATTGACTTCGAAGTGGTGCAAGCGATACGCCGCTGGGGCCGACTACACGCGTGTGCTGACGAAGTGTTTGGCTTGTTTTCAGCCTCCAAACTTGTCCATACAACGGGTAACTCTGGTCAGGCCATAATATCACCATGTTCCTACTTTATTCCCGAAACGAACGTCGGCAGAACTTCCATGGGCAAGGGGGATCAACTGCTCTAGTCAATGACACCCTGCGGTAGCACAGCAACGTAATCCAGCGGTGCCAACTCGAAGCCATCAGGCTGTCCGACAATCTTCAGGATGTCACCCTTAATTATATTTACGTCCCTGAAGCTCACCCTTGTTGCCGCATGCCCATCAAGAAACGACGAAAACGTATGCCCCAGTATGTCCTCAAGATCACCCTCCCATCGCCCGATCGTGTTATTCGCGAGCAGAAGCTCATACCTAGATCGGCCGCCGATGATGTCGTAGTAATTAACCGCGATGTCGTACGTGCCAGAAGGATAACCAAGCTCGACCTCCACCGTCCCCGCTGCATCGCTGGATGTCGTCACGATGGCAGTGCGACCCGAGGCCGTTTCAAAGGGCGTCACAGGCACAGCCTTATACCCGCTCATCTTCATTTTCTCCGCCTTGACACGCCACGGATGCTTGCCCACTCGACCTGCCCCGTCTTCGATGCCCGATTTGCTCCAATAGAACTCATTGATGGCATCGCGCCAGACAATGGCACGGCCTGCCTGATACTCCAAGCGAAACATGACCTCTTCGAACCTCTCGTGGTCAACCAGGCCTTCCAACGCTGCCCATTGCGTGGGAAACATCTGGGCCGTCGCCGCTCCGGCGTAGTGGGCATCGTAGAAATGTTGGATGACGGTTTTACCGGATTTCAACTGTTGCGTATATGGCACATGGTGGAACCACAATAGCAGCTCGTTGGGGGTCGTGTTGATATCTTCATACATGGCGGTGACCTGGGCGGGATACTGGCTGAAGAATCCGGTGCCGTTTGATACCGTCCGGTCCATACCAATCGTATCTGCATCGGCGCGAGTCCACTGGCCCCAGCTGTTGTCATCTTGCGATGCTGGATTTGGCCCGAAATGAGTATACAAGATGTCCGTTAAGGTCTGAATACCGAGATTACCGGTGTAGTTCTCATATGCTGGCCAGGACTCCATTGTTATGGTGTCGACGATGGTCTTGCCAGCGCCAAAGGTGAGTCGTGTCCAGTCTTGCAATACAGCTACCTCGTCGTCCGACGGATTCCAAGCAAGGCGACCGTATGCATACAAATTGGACATGGCCAGATGACTGCCGAGCCAAGTGGTATTAGTGCCAACATTAACAACAGCTGCATAGCCACTCAGCGATCTATTCAGTCGCCCCCCTGACAAAATATCACGCATGACGGACGGCTCCCCATCGATGCGAAGATCGTAATCGAGGATAGTCTTCCACAGCGGCGGCAAGTAAACAAGGTGGCTCTGCTGTCCCAGATACTCCTGCGTTACCTGCAACTCGATCGCCGTATTCGTCCCGAGCAAATTGGCGAACAGCGGTGAGGGCGGTTCCCGAACTTGAAAGTCGATAGGCCCGTATTTGATCTGAATAAACACGTTATCGTCGAACTGGCCGTCAAGATGCCCAAAGAAGTCAACAGCATGATTCGCCCGGTCATTCTTCCAATTCGACTCGTTGAGATGGTGGTCGTACACAAACGCACGGAACAACATAACGATGCCATTCCCATGGGGTTTCAAGGCACGGGCAAAGAGGTTAGCCCCATCTGCTAGAGTGCGGTTGTACGTAAGCGGTCCGGGCTGGTCCTCCGAGTTGGCTTTGACGAGGAACCCAGCTAGATCGGGTACGTGCTCATATAACTCGTCCGTTCTATCGTTCCACTATTGTATAACAGCCGGATTAAGAGGATCGGACGTCATCAGACTGCTCAGGTTCCGCGGCGAGTCGAAATTAAGTGAGATGCCGATGCACACTCCATACGGCCGCATGGCATTGGCGACGCGGCCTAGACCCGCCATGTTAGACGCGTTGAGCAGGTTGAAGTTAGCGTTGACATTGTTCACGATGATGCCGTTTACGCGAATCGAAGCCAGGAGTCGGGCATACTGCGAGACTCGGGCCAGGTCATCCACAACGCCTCCATTCTGGAAGAAGATGGATGGGCCCGCGAAGCCTCGCTCTATACTGCCGTCCAAGTTGTCCCATTCGTTTACCCACCGGATCGGGGCGCTCGGGCTGGTGGCGTAGGCCACTTGGGAGAAATTGCGCTGGGCTAACATGGAGAGATACTCGAAGGTGCCGTACAGAGCGCCGCGCTCGTTTTGGCCGAGGATGTAGACGTTGGCGTTCTCTATGCTAAGCCAGAACCCATCGTCTTTGAGATGGGGTACCTCGGTCGTATTTCCACCGACCGAGGAGAACGACTCGGTAGTGCCGACAAGAATGCTGGCGTTGGTATTGTTCGTTGTACCGGTGACCTCCAATTCATGGCCGAGAATCCCATGAATACCCTTTTGCAATTCTTTCCCGGCTGTGTATACGGGACTTGTCTCAGAGCTGTTCAGAACCACAATGGTCGAGGGGGTTGCATGGCTCTTTTGAATGTCGCTTGGCAGCGCGGCATACCGCAGCCACCCGTCCAACCCGTTCTCTGCGACAGCGAAGCCGATATACAAAAAACGAAGCAATGGGCGCATCTTGAGGGGTTAAAGCTCCCCATCTTGACCTGGTTATTCTGGCGGCACAACGGACCACTTTTGTATAATGGCTACTCCGCCATGATGATTCCGGCAACGGCCGTTGGCGATCCCTTTAGCCTAAAGAAATACGATTCCCGACGATGTGGGGTCGAGCCCATCAGACGTGCGGGGCATATTGCTGTACGTTGCAAGTGCAAAATGAGGAAAACGATTTCCCCCTCATGATCATGTTACTTACGTCCAAAGCCCGCAATAGAGATGAGATATCGTACAGCCGCATATGTGAGGTCTGTCACTCGAATAGCTCCTTAGGTATTATGCCGTACAAATCAGCTCAGTCGATGGACATATCACTGTCACAAGCTACTAATCCACCTTGTCCGGAAACCCCCGGGCTCCTGCGTCATCCGGTGGTGGGGTGATATGTGATCGACATTATAATTTGGGGTAGATGAGGGGAAATAAGGGTAGGTGGGGTCGTCTCCAACACGCCGTTGCAGCGGGACCCCTGGCATGGCACCCTGCAAACCATCTGCCATTTGTGGCTTGATTGGTGCTTTGGGAACCATCCAAGTCGTGTATGCATGGGCCGGGTACAATGAGGCTGCTTGTCTTCGAATTACTTAATGGCATGGTTAGTCCATCCAGGCACAATTCCTTTGTTGAAGCTATTGGCTATTGACGGCAATAATATACAATAAAATCCGCTTGCCTGCTTGTTGCACTTGTCGACTGGTGGCACCTTGGACTGTGGACTGTGTTAGCTCCAACTGCATCTTTTCGAGTATCGTGTGTGCGCGCGTGTGTATGTGTGTACTACTCTCATTCCTGTCGAGTTCGTCTAAACTCATATCCCACAATCGGTGTTGACGTTACGATGCGAGGAGGACGAACATCCGAAAGTACTTATTCATCTCAAATTGCAGGCTTGTGTCAAATACTTGCCGCCCCGTCGAAAGCACAGCCCTTTAACGTGGATGTACCCTTTGGGCTGTGCATGAGCGTCAGCCGGAATCTCGTCAACACCGGAGACCTTGTCAGCCTGGATCGAGAAGCTCACCGCCACATAAACACGCCGCCACATGAACACCTGCTCGGACCCGGAACTCCTGTAGGCTCATGCGTCTCTTTGGATCGTAACCCAAAGTATTGTCCCAATCCCGCGCTGCAGGTCACGGCTTGTGTCGCGCGTTGACTCCAAATTGTATTTTTCCTCTGCGGCTTCGTATGTGTCTCCCCGGTGCGCGTGTCTGCTGCTCTGACTGAATTTTAAGCGAATGTGAATTCTGCGTATATTATTCTCTCTAGAGCTGCATCGAGGGAAACAACCCATGTGCAGTGCAAACTCGCCAATGCTTCTAAGTTATGCTGTATATAGACGCTGCTTCCTTCAACATGCTCCTCCGATTTCCTGCAAGCCCCCCCTTTGCCTTCTACGATCAATTGGAGATTTGATGACGTGAACATACGCCCAGATTTTCGTGAATGGACACCTCCTCTTTATGCGAGCGTCTCAACCTCCTGGGCAGCACCTCTCTGTTATGCCCCAAAACACCACTTGAAACACCCCCCCCCCCCACAAACCCCAGAAGCCCCTACGACCTCAGTTTTATGGCGCTGATTGGCTTCCAATTCACGTCGTTATGCCCGTTTGCCACCAAGACGCTGTCGCTTAGCTGAAGCCCTAACAGATAACGAAGGCGACGGGCGCTTCAGGCCATTGCTGATATCGACAGACACTGTCCGTCTTCTCGCGGCACTCGCCACGTTCAACACGGCCTTATCCAGCAGTTTAGGAGCACTTGATGATGCCACGAGGTTGTGCGCTGCTGGAAGACTCGTCTGTGAGCGTCTTGAGCGCTCACCGCCTGGGGTGGTGATCATCAAAGAGGTACTCAAAAAGCTCAAGTCACCACGTGATATACCATTGCGACTTCGGCCTGTTGTGATGCTCTGGGGAGCAGTCTCGGCACTGCCATCTGACTGATGCTTGTCCGGGGCGGTAGCATCTTGATCGGTTTTGGCAGGATGAAGGGTTGGCAGGATAACGGCCTCGCAGCTATGATGCCCCTCTGGCCCAGTCAAGTCAATCACGCTCGTAGCACGTGTTGACACCGATACCGCTTCTTTCGATTTGTCCGATAAGTCTTGAGGCTCTGCAGGGCTGAAGCTTGTTGAAGCTGTCGATGTCAGTTCAAGTTCAATTCGCTGACTTGACCTGACCTCTGCTGCCCGTGCCACAGTGAGCCCTTGGGAATCAACGACCGCTGCTTTCACGGCTCCACCGTGGAGCGTTTCAAACCAAGCCTCGCGAATGACCAAACCCAGTGCCAGAGCAACGTGTCGTGAAACGCTGTTTCCCACTATATGCCATTGGTCACGGGGGTTACCAGTTATCACTTCGTGGTCCAGGAAACCCTGCGCTCTCCGAGCCTCCAGCACAGACAGCGGCCGTGGCTGCTCCCAGTGGCTCAGGTTGCCGGTCCGGGCATCGCATATTTTACAACTGGTCGTGATGGTTGGAAACAGGCGATTAGGTATGACTCGACCCCAACCCTTGGAGTCTTTCTGCATCCTGACTTCTCTCGAAGAAGGGAAGATGCGAGCGCAGTCTTTGGCTGATATCGTACCGGGCACAAATCTGCTGCCGCCGCCACCGCTGCCACCATCTTCCTCGCTGTCACCCTGATCACTGTCGTAGGTTTCCCCCTTGTCTTCCCAATATCCAAAATAGGCCTTAGAGTAATTCATACCCCATGGCTGAGTGGGAACTTGCGCTAGCTGTCTTCGAGCTCTAAGCGTATAACTCGCAGAGATGCGATGGTCTGGAAAGCCAATGCAATAGGCTGGCATACCTTCTTGAATGCTTGGAAGGTCATTAACGGCTTCGACCGCACTGACAAATTTGAACAATACGGGCTCATCAGTCATCTCACCATAGGGAAGACCGTTAGATAACTCACCCACTGGACTTAATTTCGTTCCTGGCGGATGTGAATGGGACGGAGCAGGCGGCATGGGCAATTTGACCCCAGGAGCTGCGAAACTAAGGAAAATCCGGTTCTGCGACTGCGGTGCACCAAAAGTCCAGGCGTCGAGGTAGAGGATCCGAGCCTGGTAGCCCAAACCGACAATGGCACATACCAGTTGAGTAAAAACGCACTCTTTGCCCCTGGATTTCGGCGCAACCATCATGGAAACGTTCTCTATCAGTCCATATTGTGGGCGGTGCAAATCGATGAATGAGGCCAATGAAGCGACAAGTGACTGGTTCTTCCGTTGTTTGTCGGTGGTTTTGTCGCTTGTTAGCAACGAAAACCCCTGACAAGGAGATCCACCGGAAATGAACTGAACATCTCCAGGCTTTGGTACATCGCGTTTGCCAGCAAGAGCCCGGTGCAGAAAATTGTCCACCGAACCGTAATACGGTGTGCATGCATCAGGTTTGCTATTGGCCATGTATGTATGGATTGCATTCCACCAGATATCGTTGGCCCATTTCATTTCTATACCACCACCTTCTTCAAGGCCGCGTCCAAAATTTCCACCTCCGCAAAAGAGCTCTAGACCCCGTAATTTGTAGTCTTTCGGCGTGCTTTTGGCATCGAATCCTTCGCGGAGGCGTCTCGATGAGCGGAAGGTTTCGGGATCTAGAGGAACATAATGCGGTGACTTGTCTTCATAGGAGGGCATCTCTTCGTGGGTGATGTAAAAGGCATCGCCAGTACCGTTGCGGTCGTATGGCGCCGGAATACGCTCGTCCACTCCAAATATTCTTACCATGCACCGACGAACTATGCGTTCCGCTGCGATTTCAACTAATTGTTTGGAGTAAATCAATTCGTTTGGCGGACACGTCTTTGCCGTTCTATCCACATCTTTCCGCCGCAAAAGCCTGCGAACTCTTGCGAATTTCTTGGTCCTTTCAGCAAAAAGTGCTTCGATTTCATAAATATCCAAAAATTGTCTGCCTTGGACGAGAACTGTGTCACCGATTTGGTAGGAAGCATCTGTGTCAGACTTATGGTGTTGGCACACCATGCGGTCTCCCCAAACCATGTGATCCTCCTTGAGGGCGGTATAACAGCGTTCATGAGAGATCCATGTCTGCCGCACGAAAAACTCCGAGCTTGTTGATGGGCTGCCGAACCACTCAACGTCATGAGTTGAAATGACCTCATCTTCATCAATCCGACGATCGTCGCAATTACATAAATTGGACATGAACAGCTCATTGACCCATGGGTATTTCATAACGTGGCAAGCGGTCTCTGATGGATGGTAAAGCCAGATCACACTGAAAGATCGGCGGTGTTTGTTGGACTCATGGACTTTTTGAACCACGCAGTACCATACTTGGACTGTTTCGTGGTGGTCCGATTTGGGTGATTTCCAATTTGTTTCTGTGTTTACACTATCCCACAAAGTTGATATCACGTCGCCTGATTGTATCGAGGTTATGAGCTCCTTGCGATTCTTTTGCTGGCTCCGTGATCGGATGATGATAGGTTGGTGCTGCAAGCCTGTTCGCTGAATCATGCTTTTCCGTAGGTCTTCAATCACATCGACTGGAGTTACAGATTTCATGATGTCGTGAAAGTTCATATGGCTGAATAAGTTATGGATATAAGGGGTCACGATGGTATCCGCAACCTTCTCGGAGTTGGAAGCTGTCTCCTTCTTCTTTGGTGCTGGAGAATCTCTCAACTCGACACTATCAGATGAGGAATCGGAGCTTTTCGAAGAAATCGGAATCGGGCCAAGGTTAGGCTTATACAGATGACCTTCTTGCGATTCCGATCGAGGAAGTTCCTTCCACAAATCATGAGCTTTGCCATCGGCATGGAATACCCCCACGGCTTCTTTCCAGATGAACCCGATATTGGCTGCGACGGCAGTCCGGAAATCGCCATTGCTGTGAGCTGAATGCCATCTCCGGAAAGTCGCAGATCTGCTGTGCTTCCCAAACAGGAAAATACTGAATCTTGCGCGGAAGTCATGCAATGTAGCTCGGCGTCTTTGATCGTGAAGATGCTTAAGATAGTCGACAACGTGTTTTGCCAGGTCGGCAATCCAGAGGAAAGGTGTGTAGAATCTCTCGTATTCCACAGAAGGCTTCCCAAGCTTGTAATAAATATTCCGGGTTTTGTTCAGCTCGGAACGGATCCAAATCTGGCCGCCGATAGTATGTTCTTCGGTACCGTAGCTGCCAATGGGTAGCTCACGGAAAGGCACGTTCTTCAGGTAGAACTTGGTCTCACCAGAGCTGAGTACCCCGTCGAAACAGAACTTGTCGGAGGCGGTTCGGGTGGCCAGGTGGTGCAACGGGCGAAATTCGGTCAGGTAATATTTTGTATTGATGTATATGCTGAAGTCTGAAAGCTCAAATTCGATGAAGTCCTCGTCATCTCCACCTTGCTGGCTCATGATATTGAGGAGGCAGGTCACCGCACTCATCTCGTCCGCCAGTGGAGCAGGGGGGACGAATTCACCATAGAGTGACTTCGGATCTGTCATGGTTGGTTCCGGGAGCGCGACGACCACGTTTTTTGACAGAGGATGCCGATATTCTGAGCTCCGCTGTACGTCACTCGCGCTTGCCGATACTACCTCTATGTCCTCAGCATCTGAATCACCACACCCTAATGAGGGCACATTGTCCAAGCGGACTCCCAGATCCCATTGCAAATCATAGTGGCTTGACGTGGCGGACGTGCCGTCGAACATTCCATTGATCACTTGCTCGGGGAGGTTGAAGCTTGCTGGACAGTATTCATCCTCGGTGGCAATTGAAGCGGCGTCGGCATTTCCTCTCAGGACGTCGTAGATCCCATCATTTTGCACTGGTGAAATGTCAAGAAAGAAGTCTTCACCACCGTCTGGACTTGAGCCTCCAACATGGTATCCGACAGTAGATTCTTCAAGCGGGCCTGGTGAAATGTATGCACCCTCGTCGAAATCGTCCGGCTCCGGATCCCATAGTGCAATTGCGGTGGCTCTAAAGTTATCAGAGGCGTCAGAAGACGGACTGAGGTCCTCATTGGACGGCAAAGGCCTCTGATTAAACAAATCATGACCGTCCATTTGCATGGAAGCCCCAAAATGAGGATCACACGCAGCCTTCCTACCAAGACCGAACCTCAGAAGGTCAGCAGAGCCCACCCTCAAATCACCGTCCTCTTAAAAGTTCCATGGAAAGTGTGAGCGATGAGTTCGGCGGAGAAAAAATATTAATGCTGAGTATCCGTCGACTTGTGCGACTGGACCTACTAGGCATAAGCAGGGCCGATCGCAAAACTACTTTCGTAAAATTGCGGGGTGAACGGGCGCTCAGCTCAGTAAAGTGATGAATGGCACCAAAAGAGATTAAGTCGATATGAGAGTTCAAAGCCAGCAAAGTCTACAATACGACTTCGACATACAACTATCATGCGACTCTAGCGGCGGAAGAAAGCGCGTGACTGCAGTGAAGGCGCGACGGGTTCGAGGACCGAAGGGTGGGCTCGGAATTGCGCTATTGGCCAATTGAATGGCAGTTCGACGCGTTACATGGTCCCAATCGTCCCAACTTTAGAACTTCGGACTGCGCTTTCCCTTTCCCGTCGATCCCATGCTACCCTCTCTCGTGGCGTCTTCTAATTTGGCCGCAATGCAATTCGACCAAGCGACTATGGGAATTCACACAATCATGTTCCCCGTTCCCAGCGCTGACGATATTTCGATCTTGAATCGGTAAGTTGTTTCACTCGTCTAATGTGGTTGTAACCCGGGTATCTTCATGTAATGTACAACATTGCTCTATGCTTTACCCGGCCGCCGTCCTCTGTTCCTGTCCGGATTCTTTTCTACCGGCATCTTGCTGCCACCACTGGGCAATGATCTTTTGGTGAAGTCTCTGTGATCCTCCCCGCTGGTCCAAATCGATGTAGTCCTCAATTTCCTCTGCCGTTGGCCACCTCCAAGACGGGTCAACTTCCGTGATGTCATTCATCCGCGCATCCAGCTCAACGCGCTTGTCCATATCCAATTTCGGCCCGGCGAACGCTTCGAATGCGCAAAGCGTCTTCGCCATCATAGCGTGGCCACGGTTCCCCCGGAGCTGTGCTTCACGAGCAATGACATCTTTGTTTCGAAATATCCAGTCCATCAGATTTACCATGCCCGTCACGTCGTCCACCAGAGCCATGGCACGCATGTACATATGGAGCTGAATCGGCGTAATAACGTGCCCACAGCTGGGGAGAAGGGACTCACCACCAGATTCGACGGGCACCATGGTCATCTTCGAGAACGTGGTCCTCATGACACCTTGGGCTTCGTCGAGTACCGCACGAAGCCTCGTGTCGCTCATTGCCGGTGATTGCAAGTCGGCTTCAATCGGCGAGTTGCATAGTTCAAGATAGGAAAGGACCAATTTTTGGACCGTGCGGCACAAATATATGAACAACTCGCCATCTATACCATGGCATTTCTGCGCAGCTGCGTAACAATGCAAAAACATCTTCAACGCTACGATGTCGTTGTCGATCTGCGCCCCGTTAATGACGGCGACATACGGTCTTGCCAATGCTCGTGCAATATTCTGCCAAGGAGGCCTGAACGTAGCGCCTTCGGTCGTATCGGGACGAAGACGCATGCTGACCAGCCGGATTGCATGCCGAATGCGGTAGAGCTCCTCCGTTCCTAGCCTTTCCGCTCCCCGACGGTCTGGTTGGAGCCGACAGAGGAGCTGTATATAGCTGTTGAATGCCATCAGAGGAATCTTGTGTAGATGCTCCAACGCTGGCACCTTGAACAAGCTTAAATGTGTCACAGAAGTGGAATTGATGGGACTATCCGAGAGGTAGTGTAGTCCCTCTTCCACAGATGAAGCGTGTGAAACGAGCTGTGTCAGGCAGGTGCCATTGGGTCGAATGCCTTGCTCCAGCATGTGGCTGTATAGTTCATCCCGAGTGGGTGGAGAAAGCCTGGCAAGCTCATATTCACTGTAGTTGGCGTCGTGTATGGGCAGGTTTTCTCTGGCATCACCAGGCAGCAAATGTATAGATGGAGTAGCGGCTCGGGCTCTCAGTTTCATGAGAATTTCGGCGTACACCTGAGCTGTAGGCTCGACGTCTGAAAAGGAGGTGAATGCTTTCCAGGCTTCCCGGGCGTTCCGGGTTGCGCGTACTTTGGATGCCCACAGTGTATAAAAGTTGTTAGACTCTTTGTCTCCAATCCACTCCTTTGGGGGGAGGCTTCGGGTCTGGATTGTTGGCGACTCCGTCGTCGACCCGCCAAGGGCCCCTAGAGCTTTATCGTATTCATCTTCCTCATAGCCAGCTTCCTGCATGAGAACGCCGGCTTTGACACTTCGTGTTTGGTCCCCCTCAGGAGTTCTCTTAACATCATGTCCATCGAAGTCCTGTCGATAAGGGGGCCACGTTTTCGCATATCTCATGGCCACTTCTCTTTCTGCTTGAGATTTGCGCAAGCCAATCATGACCTTCCGAATCGACCGGTAACTCGCTTTATCAATGACAAGCGGTGATTCCAAACCGTCGGACATGGAGAGCAGCAGTCTCTGTGCCCGCCAGTTGAAATCCCTCTGCAAAAGCGGCTCGATGTAAGACGGTCGGCTGAATGACACCAATGCGTAATTGAAGACGAGACAGCGATCACGGTAGGCCTTACCGTTTTTGACTCGATAATCACCTGCAAGCCGAGGGATGGTTTGAATATAGTCCTTGGCAAGCTGTGCCAACCGGACAATGGCCCGTGGCCAAATCCTGTAAACATGCCCAACAAGCCGGCGCAGAAGCCTTAGGAAGGTTAACGGCATGAGCGCCAATCTTAGGTCATGGATTGGGCGTTCCCGGCTGCAGTAGAACTTGTTGACGTAATCCAGTACCAGTTTAAGAGACTCGAAGGACCGGAAGGAGTGGCTGTTTTGCAGAAGAACCATGAGCAAGAAGACCGGCTGTGGAGTGTCAGTGAAAACAAAGCGTCTCACGCGAGCATCCGCATCTTCTGCCGACAGAATCCAGACCCAGTGGTCAATGTGCTCCTCGGACCAGCCTCTCGTTGCGAGGCTGTTGAGCCGATCTTTCCAAATATTCGGGTCGACTTGTTCCAGTATTGCGGCGAGACCCTTCTCATCCTGAAGGTCTTCCAGTTTCAGAAGCTTTTGCAGCGTCAAGACAGGAAGCCGTTCATTCATCTGCCTTGCCACCCGTCGAAACATGGCCCCGTAACGTGACCTCGCCACCGGGTGTTTGCGTTGTGTTCGTAAAGCCAGGATTCGTGTAGGTGATTCAGACTGGCGTGGGAACCGACGTCGAGCAGTGCCCGTTACATGCGAAAGGGTTTGCGAGAGGCTAGCCTTGGTTGTCCATAACGAGCCTAGGGGTTTGGCAAGCCTCGATAATGGTGCCGTCATCGTGGAGGGTTCGGTGTCAAGGACAACATGGACCGGTCATTGGTCTGGTGCGTCAACTGAACGAAGCAGCGCATTAGTATTCATCCGACGAGGCCAAGTGAGGAAGCTAGGTACTTGCAGTTCTCTTTAGCTCTGATGTTCAGGGAGAGCGGGCCTGGACAATCTCGTAGAGTCTGGAAATATAACATTGAAACTCTCCATCTGAGAGCATAATGGCAGCTGCGCGGAAATCGGTGCAGTTCATCAACGTTGAACGATCGTGACAGGCGCAGTAGACAAGCAGCACAGAATTCACGCCTGTGCAGACAAAGTTTAGAACACTCAACATCCTAGTTGGGGGTCTGTACTTCGGCAGTTTTCCCCCCCACGCAATCCGCAGCGATAGCGATAAGAGCTCCCGCTCTCAATGCCAGTGGTCAATCGCTTCGAATCGGCTCAAACAAATATTCTCCCGACATCTATGTTTTTTTCTTAGAACTCCTACCACTGATCTACTGAATCCAAGCTGATGAAGGAAGGTTTAGGAGCAATTCCTTTCTCCTAACGAATTATCCGTTCAACAAGCCTGGAATGGCGCATAGCTGCTAATAATGCGCCGCTCTATGCAAAAGCTCGCCACACCTACAAGGCGAGGCTTTCACTTTGGCGCATCTGCACTCCGGCCTAAGCGGTACTTCCACCAAAGCACCTTCGCTTCCCTGCCCCGGCGGCGCAACTTCTTCACATCGAACCAGCTATTGGCAAGCAATACAAAGGATGACCAAATTGTGGCTTCCGAGAGCATTCGCGAAGCTGCGCAGAATCAGCAACAGGATTCAAAGCCACCAACTGCTAAGCGCAAACCGGCCAGATCATCCGCGTCCAAGAATCTGCGTCATGCTTCCATGACGAAGAAGTCGAAGCGCAGCGCCGCCGCAGCGAAGAAGCAGGAAGCAGAAATCGTGGAGGAGGGCGAGATAGACTACCAGCACAGCATCAAAGCGGTGTGTGTAGCACAGTCCTTTGACATGGATAAGGTAGAAGAAATCCTGCGGTTCCACGGTTTCGATATAGATCCAGACGGAACCGATTTCGATCCAGCCGCCGTAATACATGCCAGAGGAATCAACAACGGTGATATATTCGTCTTCAACTCGGGAACGGTAGTGGCCTGGTCTATGCCGATAGACACCGTCATAAATATAGCCTCGAAACAGCTTATACGGGCTGCTGAGTTCCCGCACGTTGATCGTCTGGAGCTGGAAGATTTGGTGTACGCCGAAGACGAGACACGAGACACGAGCTACATGAAGGGTGAAGATGTCATCCTGGGTACCAAAACTGAAGTTACGAACGGCAATAAAGCCGAGACAACTCTGGCGAAGATTGCCTTCTCGAGTGGGTTAGCTAGGAGTCCGAAATTGGCTGTGTTGGAGAACAACATGAACGACTTCCTGTCCGAGTCAAGAACCATGGCCAACTCTTTAGCTGGCGGCTCAGGTGTGGTGCTAGACAGGCGGTTGATCATGAAAAAGACGGGAGAGTTGTGCTCCTTGAGGTCCCAGCTCAACCACTACTCGGAATTGACCGACTCGTTACCAGACGCATTCTGGGATAAAGAGGCGAGACTTGAGGAGTACTACGAGCGAGTGGGGAACGTTTTGGACGTAAGGTCTCGAATCGGAGTGTTGAACCGGAAGATTGATTACGCCCACGAGCTCGTCTCGATTTATCGGGAGATGACCAGCGAAAGTCATGGCATCAAGCTCGAATGGGTCATTATCATCCTGATCTCGATCGAGGTTCTCTTCGAGTTGCGGAGGATATTCATCGTGGAGTCCAAGGAAGAGGCAAGGTGGGAGAAGGAGGATACTAGGTGGTCGCAAGAAGATGCGAGGTGGGAGAAAGAAGACGCCCGGTGGGAAAAGGGGGAAGCCAGGCGCGAAGCGCAAGTGAGTAAGATATGATGAAATCCTACAGTTGCAAACGAATGTTTGATAGCTAGCCGTAATGATGATACCCAAATCCCTTGAGAACACTACTGGTCCATACAGCGAAGCCACTTCAGAATATTCAATACTTTCAGAGTGCAGTACTCTCTTGAGCCAGCCAAGAGGTTCGCATAGGCACCTAAGGTACTCTGGCGTTCTCATCCACCCACCTACGACAAAACGCACGACAAAGTCAAGAGGATAGGGCGAGAACCAATACAATATTCCTTCTCTATTTTTCCCCTTGCCTTGTTTTAAAAAATCAAAAGATCCGAGGACAACTTCCCGATCCAAATGCCACCATCTAAGAGGCAGCGCCTCGAGGCTGATATGACGATATCGACAGTGAAGAAAGTTGTCGGGCGCGGGCTCCGTCCTCAATCAATGGGACAGGTATGGCACTGTGGGCTCACGTCCAAACCAGACATATTGCTAATTAGTTCCGAATTTGCCAGCATCTTGACTTCGAAGTCCTTCAAGTTCCTAGTTGGGGTCGAGAAGAGAGAATACTCCATTCATCCTGTTGCTATCACAAAACTGTCTCCTTATTTTGAAACCTCATTCACGGTGAAATGCTCGAAGCGCAATACAGTCAAGTATTGTGGGAGGAAACCGACGTCAGAACGTTTGTTTGATTCACTCACTTCGGCTACACAGGTTAATATGCCAAGTCCGAGTCAGCACAAGCAGGCAAGACGGGAGAGCCCCCAATATCCACAGTTGGTGATGGGCCAAAAACTTCCAAGGTTGTCACCCCCGTGAAAATACAGTTTAAGGGGAACAGAAGTGGACTCGGCTAGGATAGATGAAAAACCGCGAAGACCCTGCAAGAAGATTTTAATTTATACAACACGAACACACCTCTGAGCATACACGCTGCTCTAGATAACTTCACCAGCGCTCCATACCCGTCCTCCGGAGCCGATTTCAAGGCGTCGTCGAAGGAAGCGACACTTTGCGCAGTTTTCGTCCACGGCAAGCTGTATATTCTAGGCGACCGATACTGCATCGAATATCTGCAGAAGCTTGCCCTCCACAAGCCCACCGGACGTTGGCGAACTGAGAGTTCAAGAAGGGGTCAGCTGGAGTGTTCTTGGACCTATGACTATGCATTCCACAGCACAACAACAGATGGTTCTTTGCGAAAATTCTTGATGTCATTCGCAGCCTGCGTCATGTAGGAGTTTGTCACCGCCCCGATTCAGCAAGGTGCTGGTTTACAACGGGGAATTCTCGGCTGGCATTCTGGAGGGAAGGTTTAGCAAGCCTGTTGAGAGCAGTATGAATGTGGGCAGTGACTGCAGTAGATAGGCAAACATTCCTGCAGAGGAGAACGGTAAGCTCACTTGCATTGACTTTCTGTCTCATTCGCTACTTTGGCAAGACTTAGGATAGCTCCTCCCTTATAGCCTCCATCAGGAGGTAGGGTATATTTTATGACCGGAACAGAATCTGCAGGTAGCTCCACGGATACGTTGCTGGTGTCATGATCAAGCACAACTAACTTACGTCCGAACGGTAATGCCATAGATACTGGCAATTCTTAACTGCAATTACACGTTTATGAGGCATTGGTGTCGTGATAAGTTTAAATAATGTAACTTCATATGTTCTTGGATGTACTAGTTGCCCAACTAGCGCCTAGATGTGCACATCTCCGTCTTGCTCGCTCCCTTATGTTGCCCTCCCGGTCTACGGTCGCCTCTTAAGGTATCGTACTGTTGATGAATTTCATCGACTGATACAATCAACGTGTGCCTTTTCTCATACCATCGCCCAATAATTACTAGTGGTATAACCATCGACGAACAAAACGTAGCTATCCAAATTTACTCCATTGTTAGGGTAATACCTCTCGACCTGATAAACCAACCCCAGTTATCCAAGAAAAGTCCCTTCAGAGGTTCCCCTAAATACCTAAAGGTGCCTAACAATGCTTCGATCACTGCGCAGGAGCGATATGCAAGTTCGCTGGCTTATGAGATGAGAATCGCATCGTGATCTTGCTCAAAACACCAGTCGAGAAACCGGGAGTGTGATTCAACAGCCAATGAAACTCAGGATGGAGTCGTTGGCAACGTAGCACTCGAATTTCCCTCCTAGCCGATTAATTCATAAATCCGCACGTTCAAGGACTTTTTATGTGTATCACACACCTTTGCCCCATTTCCGGAGGCCGCTAGGTCGCTGGACCAGTCGGGGCCAATGCTGCTGGGAGGTGCGACCAGAGACCGGATTGGACTGGTTTGGGGACGCAAAAGTAGCCGTAGTATGCGAACTCGGTGAGGAATTTAAATGTGCCGACTTCGGTGTCTTCCCGAGTATCTACTTTGGACCTCGTGCATTTCGCCTTCCATCAAGGGAACGAAGTAGCGACACAGGAACGTAAAAGCCCCAGAGTGTACCGTGAATCATTTCTCATCGGCTTCTACAAGGAAGCCGAACGTCTTGGTATCGATAACCCTGTGCATTCGATTAACTGAGCCCCCGAAGTAGTTCCGGTCATCTTGTGGTTGCCCAATGTTGCCGCGTCGTCGCCATCTCGACATTCGCTGAGCCAGTGCACTTGAGTTTCCTCTCCTCATTCCTCTCTTACTGGTCTGCCGCGGGTAATCTCAGCAAAGCACGAATTTCGCGTTCGTTTATTGACGATTCAAAAATGATACTATGCAAAATGTTCGCCGCAGTAAAAGTATTTGTTGTCACAGACAGATAAGCTGGGATCCATTTCAAATCCACTCGAATTCTCTGTGTTGGCAACCATGGGACGCACAAAGTTCGATATGCCCCAACCAGGCGCATACTTCGTGAACTCTAATAGACAATAACTCCAGACTCCGTGCGGCATAGGCCGAATCTGGAGCGGAGAAATAGTGACCCAAAACCACGCAAAGCTTATATCATTTACAACTTATGACAGTTAATTCGTTTCATTGTCATAGGTGCTAATACTGATGCATAGTCCCCATACCGTGCGCTACGTCCTGTAGACCGAAGTTACGAAGTACCATGAACATTGCACCCGATGGCTTGTTGGCATTCCGCCACTGAAGCATGCCGGAAAACTATCCTACGCCCGCCGGCCCATGACCACGGTGCTTGACCCCTAGTTAGCACGTAACGAACCCAAAACATAGAGATGAAAGGACCACCTACACCGGAAGATACACATGACATCTAATATCACTCACCACACACTTCGCCTCCTCGGTCAACCTCATTACTTCGTCCAACGGCATACCCCCATACCTCGTCAAAATCGCCATCCCCACCGACTCAAGACTCTCCTGCGTGTTGATCGTGCAAATCCGCCCAATATCCTTATTTTCCTCGCCCTTTGGCCACGCATTAAGCGGCCAGAAGAAGCGCTCCTCCCTGACATCCACCAAGCCCGCGGCCCGGAACATAGCGCCCCAATGCTCCGAGTAAAAGGGCCTTCCGGCGCGCAGCAGGCTCTGTGAGATAAGGTGACTCCACCGCTGCAACGCGGTGCCGTCCCAGCTGCCGTCATCGCAGCGCAGGGGGAACATGTAGTCTTGGACTTCGACCCAGCCGTTGAGGGACAGGGCATCGGCCGCGGAGTGGATCACGGATTGGGGGTGTAGGAAGTTGTAGGCACAGGAGCGGAAGTGGATGAGGTCGAACTTTTGCGGGTAGACCCATTGGTCTTCGGCGTCGTCGATTTCAAAGTGGCAGTTCACGGGGACACTGTTTAGGGTTAGTTCAGACTGGTTTTGTGTTCTGCTCGTCGTCATGTGTGTACAAATCTGGTTGTATCGGACTCAAGTCCGTGCCGATGACATGAGCTGACGGGTGTAATTCAGCTAAGGTAATCGAGTAAGTACGTTATTTCGCATGTCAATATTCTGTGCCTGAAAGAGCACATACCCATCTCGATTGCCCACAGACCTTGGGTAGTCAGCAGTGGACCAATCTAACAGGAGAACCGTATATACCTGTTCCAGTGCCAACGTCTAACACATTGTGAAGTTCGCCCACTGGAGAGAAATAATATTCGTTGTCCATGGCAAGTAGGAATAATTGGTGTTCGAGTGCTGCACATAGGTTTAGCTCTTGATACAGGAAATGGGGCAACACCAGGAAGAAAGTACCTTCTCGCTCATATTCCCGCTACGATATCATGCCTGCATTAGAAGGAATCCTCATCTAAAGCCAGGGGCGATTGCGTACTTCGTCGTTAGGTAAAAGGTAACCTTAAGCACAACGCCAACGTCAACGACAGAACTCGAACTATCCGGGTAAGAATCATCTACATACGGCCAGCCTTATACGAGTGGTAAGTCCGACCATTTTCTTCAATAAACTCGTAGACGGCAGGGTCGACAGACCCAGTCCCATACCTAGAGCGAGTTAACTAGCATACCATAACGATTGCTACCGATAGTGACTTACGAAATAGCAATATCTACAGCGCTATCCGGGCGGAAGCCCTCATCGCCGCCCTCCATATCTTCGTCTTGTCCCCCGTCGGGATCTGAGCCGCCGTGATGGGCCATTCGCAACGTGCAACAACTTCCTCAAAAGCCGTATGCAGATACAATAAAGTATGTAATCCAACGGGTAGTTCAAAGCTATATGAAGTACCTGCGTAAGGGTCTGGTCTAGTTTAAGAAGGAAAAGTCTAGGTCGCAGGCTCCAGAACCCCCACAACCCGATACAGCGATGTTCCCTAACGATCCATGTCTCCTGAAGGATGGGTGTCAGGGATTAACCTGCGATGGCGGCTGGGCCGCATCCATAGCGCTTGTGCATGACGACAAAGCCGCTGTCTACGGAGTACTTACATGCCATTTTTGGACCTGATGCTGATGCTTGTCTGCCCGCGCCAACAGTTGCTTATTGGGGATCCGAAAACAAATCCGAGCTTGCCGGCGGCCTCGTTTGGCCTAGTGTGGGGGAGGAAAGTGGACAAGTTGCACATCGGGCCGGACGCACCGGCAAATGTATCCCGATATCAATCGGAAGGACACGAGCAGGTACTCCTTGGACAGAGAAAAGATCGTAAGGAAACCCCCTTGTGAGCATGCGGGTCTGACGAACAATTATAGATTCAAGGACAATCCCATTGCTGTGAAGATGCGAATCAGGTCTGTCTCTAATTGCAATCATCCCACCGCTTCTCACCGCTCCCCGAATCTCACCGCGTGAGAGAAACTTCGTCGATTGTCGTATCACGTCCGTTGGGGGTTCCTCAAAAGTGGGCTGCAGCGTCCGTCCCCGCAAACAGCCAGCTTGTGTCGAAACCTTATTCCTGTTTGCCTGAAGCCGAAATAGCAGCAGCAATCTAGATGCAAATGTCGTTTCAACATTGGAATGTTGGGCGGGAGACGTCGTGTAACCTTTCAGATCGTCACTCCGTCAACGATCTTCCTCCTCGGAAGTTGTTTCATGGCAGTTCATGGACTCTTCTAGACTGAGACGGCCAAGGATTTCATCATCTGTACTTCTTCCGTCACTGCGAAGGTTTTCATGTCAGTGCGGATATGCACATGTATTTCTTCTTTCAGGGGTCCGTCAAGTCAAGACTTGAAGCCGGTGTTCGAGTGGAGTCCAGATGCATCCAAACGGCAAGTCGTCCCGTCGCGATCTGACGATGCAATTGAATTATTCATTTCATTCTCATCCTTGCCAGATCCGTTACCGAGAAATACATTGTGTTGGTTCAGACTCGCATGTTTGGTGCGGCCCCGCATGCGCATTGTGGGTATAATCGACCGACGCTATCGGTAGCGCGTTAACGGGAGAGGGGTGCGCTACCGTGTAACCAATTTTTCCAACGGTCGGATGTCTCGCAGTAGACATGCTTAACTTTCGAACATTCTTAATCGCTTACTGTGTATTTTCGCTTAGTCAGGCCTAGCGCCTCGGCAACATCATCTCCTTACCTCCTTTCTTCTCGACCATACGCGATGTGAGTCGCATCTGGCTCTGAATACGGGCACGACAAGGTTCCACCTCCTCGAGACAATCGCAGCAGCGTGACGTTTGTGCCCGCTGCCTTTCGGTAATCTATCACCCGGCTGACTGACTACCCGCCATGGTCTGGGTAATGCACCCGACCCAAAAAACCAACCGTACGGTACTGACACAGCACTGCGAACCAACACGCAGCTGGCGTTTATTCGCACCATCCGAGCCCCAAACCGTGCCTCCGTCACAACGTTGACGGGTTATTTGGTAGCGAGAGCCCAAGGTTGAGCCAAGGCTGCTTCTTGTCGCACGACATTCCCCATTGCGTACTGTATGCGACCAAGCCTCAAGCAAGGTCTGGTTGTGCGATGGGTCAGATATGTTAATTATTATCCCCTGCGAAATCCGATGTCGTTGGTAGGGCGATCGTTCATCGGTAGCACTCATTTGGCACTGTGTCCGAGATCTTAGCCACTTACTGCTCGGCTGACATCATCTCCAATGGCTGGTCCTGGTTGAAAAATGAGGTGCGCCTCTCTGGTCCAGACCGCCGAACCCAATGCCGAACCCATAGGGCTCCTAGGTATAGTTCAGGCCGAAGTCAATAATCATCTCAGCGCCTGGTTGATAGGCAAAATGGTTAAGCGCCGGGTCTACCATCTGGCTCTTGGCTGCCTGCGTGTCCAGCTTTGCCAATTTAGTACACTATTGTGGTGTAACGTTTGCGTGTGAACCCACCAGCTTGTCCAGAGGCGATGTTTTGTGGGTCCCCTGAAGCAGCTTGAGGGAATTCTGCGCGGAAACGCTGAAAGATGCCAACTTCCCCGGAATTTCTTGACAGTACCCCCAGGCTCTTGAAGCCTCGACTGATCAAGGATACTCATCAATGATGGGCATAGGCGGTAGACGACCAGGACAAGGCCGGCACTACACGAATCTGAAGCCATGTTAATTCATGCAGCCTGCCCATGGTTGGTTGTCTCACACAATCCTCCCACCACCATGCTCCCGTCGACGCGGTTTGATGTGTCTCTTGGTCCAAGTAAGGTAGGCCCATGCCTGCTGCTAAGCATAGCTTCGCCGACACAAGCAGAGCAAAGCCCGTTGTTCGATGCTAGAGCGCTTAGTCTGAAGTCGTTGGCGGAGCCCCCAGCGTTAGAAAGGGCGTTCTCCTTGATCGAAAAACTGAGTCAAGCTTGGGCGATTTAGCATAACCTGTAGGTAAAGAACCCTGGTCATAGTCATAGTCAGCGACGAGCCAGAAATCTTGTGCCACCTTCATTGTTGGTTTACCCTATATGCCGCACAATCTTCCGCATGGCCAAGATGTATTCGCAATTCGCAGTACTATTTGGTCGATATCCCCTCGTCTTCCAAGAACGGGTGACCATTCCCCCGTGGGTGGACAGCTGCGCATTAAGATCAGCGGTCTTATCCAAACTTTAGCAGTCCAGTCTGAGGTCTGAAAAGGAAGAGTTGCTAGATATGTTGACCCAATGCTCCTAGACTTCGAAAGAATCTCTTCCGAAATCTTGCACAGCAAGGTACTCCCGATGTGGAGGAGCACAATAGGGTCACTGTGCTTCTACCGAGGTCACCAAAGGGGGTAAAGGTAACGTCGACAGATGCGTTATCCTTGTGGGCCGGCCGCATGTCACGCTCGCAAGCCTGTATTAAACTGTTAGAATGACCGTGCGGGTGAGAACTTCAGGGAAATGGTGGAGCATTCTTCGTATGTGTTGAGCAAGGACGACTGAAGGTCGGGAATCATTCAGGGACTAGAGTGGGGCATCCATACATATCCATCACCACACATCCATACCACGTTTTCCGTACTTCGCTCTGCAGCAGGATCGTTGCTACTCCCCCGGACCAGGTGTGCAAGCCCAATCCATGAGCGATGCGGCAGACGATACCGGCGGCGTTCCAGCACTGACTGAGAAGGGGTTTGCTCTGGAGAAACAATAGTAAGATGCCCAAGGTTTGTACCACGACTATGCTGTTCTCTTCTAGCAATTCCAGGTTTTTCAAACTCTTGGAATGGAGGAAGAAGGTTCGGGAGGCCGCGATCTGGTCAGCCGGGGAGAGACCCGAGAAGCGGCAATAATGGATGAAAATTACATTGAGACCATAGTGGAATTCGATACTATTAGGCGCTGCCCTCAGTGAACTTCCCAGTCCAATGACGTCTTGTCGTTTTGGGGGCGCGACTCTTACAGACTGCGGCAGGCTTGGTCGAAGGCAGGGCGGTGGAAGAGAGGGTGAAGGTGGTATACCCTCTTAAAATAGCTCTGCACGAGGTGATTGGCGAGTCCGCAAGGCGGAAGAGAGAGGTGTCACCTGAACCACGATTGAACGTGTAAGAAGGACCATCAAGGGCGCCAGTTTGTGCCCGTGGCTTCGGAACGGATGGAGTGGGCTGGCGAGCTGGCCCGGACTCGCCCTATGTCTTCACCCACTCGCGGAACCTCCAAGTAAGCCAAGGGAATGCGAGGCTTGCTTTTACCGGGGGTTTGCCACTTGATGTGTTCTGGTGCCATGTGAACCTGGAAACCTGGAGATGACGGGATAGATATTAATGCGGTGATATGCCAAAGTCTCCTCCGGCGGCTGGCGGATGCGATCATGGAGCGTCTATATCTACCAAAGGTCGACAATCCCAATTCAGTCGACACATGGCAGGCGAAAATGGGATGTACACATCATTTCTCGCAGTCCGTAAATTTATGACTTTATAGAGACACTGCTCCAGGCCAAGTGAGCGGCGGTTGCAAGATGAGCAAACAAGTTTTCTGCCATCGCATCTAGATTTGATTTTACAAGAAGTCTTACAAGCTTTTTTCACAAAAATTTACCCGAGCCATAAACGTGCTTGGACGTGATAAGACCTTTCCAGTAAGATTTTATGACGTCGTCAATGCTCACGGGGCTTGGAAGCTGCGTTGTGGACTTGGTTGGCAGTGGCTTATTGATAACCTTGGAAACACTATTTTGAAGCTTGGAGTCGCATTTACTAAAGTGGTCATAGCATACATCGGATGACAGGCACAGTACGTTGACTCTAAGGAGCAACCCACGTGGAGGCACAGCTGCCGCACGCACGGGCTGGCTCCAAAGTCACAAGCTTAAGCCGATTCGGATCAACTTCCGCCCACGTCGCGTCCACTGATGCCGATACCGATGTCTCAACAGTTGCGGTCTCAAGGTGGGAGAATTGAGCTACAATAAGTTGCCGCATAGCTACGATGGTATCCAGCATAAATCTCAAATCCGTACTCTTGCTGTTTGTCGAGGAAACCTAGAGTCTATAGGAAGATCTATCATGGCCCATGGGAAACTCCCCTCGCTGGCTCATTCTCTTCAAGGTCTAGATTTGACCTGTCGTGGCATATCACGCCGTTTCGTGATGACTATGCTGACGCAAGAATCCCTTAAAAAGTAGCCGAACACCCTCGATGTCTTCCAGTGAACATACCTTGGCAATGTCTATTAGGCGTCTCAGCTTCTTGAGCAGCTCAGATCTAATAAGACAGGAAAGCACTCACAGTGATCTGGGCGCACTATCACCAACGCACCGCGGCTTGGGCTCACTCCGTAGGCCTCGTACGCATACCCATGGCCAGAATTATAACTCTCGTCGTCGACGAAAACCTTGAAGAGACCTGGGCACCAGGTTAAGCAGCCACGTTCGACCACAGCCCCCAGAAGCGCTTACATGTCATTTTCCACTTGCCCGTCAAGGGTGTGAAGACGTGTGGTATCTGCTCTTGCTGAACCTCCGTGCGTTTCGCTGATATGACGAGAATAGGATTAATCACGCTGTCTGGATCAGAATTGCATGGTGTGAAGTCTTGGATGATTGTATCCAATCCCTTGGAGAGCTATTAAGTGGTCAGTAGTAATATGCAAAATTCGACGTTGCAAACCACGCATTACCCGTTCCAGCCGTGTGGATATAGTACCCTGGCGAATATCTCCGGCAAAAACCACGATGTGCCATTGGGAGGTCGCCGGCAAGGCTCTGACCAACTGCAAGGCCCGGGCATCACAGAACCTCACTACCTGCGCACTTGGAAACCGCATTCCTACCGTCAGTTTCTCGGCAAGACTGTGATCACTCGTACTCGCAGACACTATCATGGAGTCGTCATATTTGATGGCCTGTCCCGCGGTGTACCGGCCGGCTTTCACAAACTGCTCTCGAAAATGTTCGGGCGTGATGCCGTGCTCTCGTCGATATGACGTGGAGAAGAGTTTGGGAAAATGACGATCGAAATCTATCAGCTCTTTGGCAGTCTTCTGCCGCTCAGAGACGTAGGTCTCCAACAACTCTGGCACGGCCAGACCATGAAGAACCGCGGCCAATTTCCAGCCAATGTTGTACCCGTCCTGGAGACTGACATTCATCCCCTGTCCCGCCTTGGGAGAGTGCGTGTGGCAGGCGTCTCCCGTCAAGAAGACGCGATGATCCTTGGTGAAGTAGTCAGCACGACGCTGGCCAATGGCATACGCAGACCACCAGCAGGTCTCAACGATGTGCATAGTGTATGGTTTGAATATGAGACGGGCCCTTAGCTGCAGATCCTCTAGCGAAATCTTTTTCGGGTCAACCTGGCCCAACTCGATATAAAATCGAACCAAGCTGTCACCCTCGCGCGGGATGATCATCAAATTACCCTCGGCAGAGTTCAACAGCGCTTTCTTTCGGATATCTGGGAAATTCGTCCGTGGGTAAACGTCCATGACACCCCAGACGGCATCGGTGCTGTCGCCAATCATTTTGAATCCTAGTGATTTCCGAACGAGGCTGTGCGCTCCGTCACAACCCTGTATCATGTATTAGCCACTGTCGGATGGTCTCTTCGAGTCCGCCGGAAGTCCACTTACCAGAGCATACTTCGCTTTAAATATCTGCTGAAATTCATCCTTCGTAGCGTTGACAGTGACAGGATATGCTTCAGGGTCCCCAGACACGGCACTGTCAACAAGGACCGTGCGCACATCATACCCGTACAAAATATTCGCCTGCCCTGACGAAGACGAGCGGCGCATCTCATCCGTGATGATGGCATTCATCCGTGCCTGATTCAGAATGACATGAGGCTGGTGACTCAAGCCCGGCTCCAAATCTGGCGCATAGTGGTTTCGCTTGATAGCCCCTGTGTCATCTGAAGACCAGAACGACAGCTCCAGAACGTGGTAGGCCTCCTTGAGCAATTCGTCGGAAATGCCAAAGCTCTCAAACATCTCGACGGTGCGGCACTGTACCCCGTCGGCCTGCCCCATTTTGAGAGGCCCCGGCCGCCGCTCCAAGATCTTGAAGTCGATTCCGCACCGAGCAAGCCACAACGCCGCACACAGGCCGGCCGACCCACCACCACAGATTAGAACATCAACCTGTTGCGTCATCCTAGCCACTGCGTGAAAGTGAGTGATCGAGCAACGGAAATTGCGGGGCTCAGGGTCGCTTCTGAAGATGCTTCGTCAACAGCCGAAAGCCACGACTGGCCCGGATGTTGATCGCGGAGATACACCCGGCATATGACGACACCCAATAAACCCAGTCGGCCACATGACCACGCTAAGGTTGCCACACGGCGGCGTCCACAAAGATAAACAGCAGGGAACGACGAAAGTCTACTTACCCCGGCTCACGAACACGGTAGAAGAGCGGGGCACTGGAATCAACCTGACCTCCTCAGAACTGGAGGGGCAGAAACCCTCCGAGCATTATGATTGGCTCATCGGCAATGACTTACACGGGTGCCGGGCACAGTGCTGCGAAACTTGGGGTGCGTTTGTTTTCCGTCCGCAACTTCGGACAGACGGGGGATGCTTTGGGCCAGGGTAACTACTCGAATCTGCACGCGGGCACCAGATTGGGCGGAAGCTCTTGAAAGCTCTTGCAGGTAGACTTCTTCGTGTCCCCAGCGACGCAAAGCATCCACTTCATCGAGGTTGTAGGCCGGCCTGAAACCAAAGCAGGCCCTTCGCGGGGTTCGGTAGTTCCGTGTTCGTGGGTTTACGTTACTGGAGGTTTGACGGAAGCGATGAATTTAATTGCAACCTTGCCACGATTCCTCTGGTTTCTTCGCTTCTCTGATGGAGGTGCTGGTCGATACGCTCTTGCTTAGTTACGAGTTATCAATAGCGACCAAGCTGGGCTCAGATTGAACCACATAGTTTAACCGAAGCTCGACTTCGCACCTGTCAGATTCCAGTCACTCCAGACTCCAGACGGGGAACAGGCTACGGTACCAATAGTGAGCCTGTGACCAGTGATAGCGCATGTGCGACCGCCTGCAACTTCCTTCACGTACGAGCTCTGACATGGAGAGAACCGACTGTCCTTTGCGGGCCGCACTGGATACACTCGACGTGGTTTTCTTCGGCTTGGCGCTCGAGGTCTGCGATGCTCGCCTTGCTGTCGAGAATGGCTTGAGAATATGCAGAACTGGGTTCACTGTGCATCCGGTGGCGGCGTTGGGGTTTGAAGCAAAGTGAGGTGTCTCAAGTCATCTCAAGAGGGGTCACGCGTGACTTACCAAGGAAAATGAAGAAATTGGGAATCCGCTCAACACGGAGCAATTGTATGCCTCGCCTCCACCAACGCACATTCGCCAAGACAATGAAATATGCCTCAATGACCCCCTCCTTGGGTCAAATGCCTTCCGGCATAATATCCAGAGCGGGGGAGTTGATCAAAGTTCCATTCGGCTCTTCAGGTACACCGAGTCGAAAATGCGCCGCTTGCACCTGACCTCGAAATCAGGCATCAGTATTTCGTGATACTTCTCTACCTATACATCGCGGTGCTGTCAAAACCGCGCAGATCGGTCTCGGTGGTGGCAAATACCAAGAAGCGGAATACCTGCATCGAGCCGGGGACGTTAGTCTCACGCGGCTGCATCAACTGCTCTGATCTTGCGAATAGGAATCGCGACTGGTGGATGTACACGTTGTCTGTCTTGTAATGAAGAACGTGCTGACTCCATCTACCCAGCGACTCGATCCACTCGCACTTCTCAACACTGAAGGACATCTTGCCGGAGAGATCTTATCTGTTGGCCACACGGTCAAGTTAAGTCCGTAGCTCGATGTTGAGGAAGGGCACGCGACTCCTGGGACAGCGCACAAGATGAATCTCGGTGGTAAAATGTTCAAGCACGACTTTAGATCGGCTGATCCCGGCCTGGTTTGTCCAAGCCGCTCTTGAGTAGTGAAACGTGGGATGGGAGTAGCAGGATACGCTCAGTGTAGTTGGGCGGAACGATCCTGGCCACTAACATGACCTCAGGGGCGGTGGCACCGGAACACATCCGGGAGCGTTGGTGACGTAATGAGGCAGAATTTTCTGTGTGGACTTGACTGTGATAGTTTGCAGATAGGAGGAAACGATCATTCCTCTTGGTGGCCCCGATCAGAATGACCCGGACCTTCCGTCGATGCCTTTCATCTGTCATGTCATCGATTTGTTATCTTCTCTTGCCGAGACTGACTCGTCTTACACTGGTACAGCCTGGACTAGGATCTACACCCGTTCGTTATTTTGTCACACTGCACTACGCGCCATTTATACACTGAGTGGCACTCCTAGGCCGATGCCGAGTGTGGCCCTCGATGGCAGTCCAATATGAGACTGACTCTTGGTTTGCGGTAACGTTCCTCCATGTCTTCAATGCGTCCGCAGACGCTTGTTTGGTGCTGGTCGGTGCACTGCTGGCAATGCTGTGTAATGGTGTACCGCTGTAATTCGCTAGTGTCGCGGATGGGATCGAGGCCCCTGAGCTAGCGAATGGGGTAATCTCTGGCCCTTCAGGGTTTTCGCTTAATTAGGTGAAAGCAAGCTCACCGTTGCCTGTTACATTCCCAAACACACCGAGTTGACACAGATAGCCCGTATCGCTGTCCCAGGGTACTGTATAGTTCCATACTAACTTACTGCAATTGATTGGTAGTCCAATCCAACATCAAAGATCACGACTCACAAGAACCGAACGTGCAAAGTTCTTGGGTCTGAGACACTAATGCACACGGATATGGGACAACGGTTATAGTGCTTGTAGTATACCAGGTGATTGATATCGTTCGAAGACTTTGAGGAGGGTTCCCAACCTCTATATCCAGTAGAGAACCCAAATTGGGATATTCCATTACCAAGTCAAAATAGAGGGGGCGAGTTGTGTACCTTTCAGACTCAGCATCTCCAGCATGGCTAATTTGACAAAGTGAAATCAAGAATATGACAAAAGTAGCATCATGTTCGCATTTGGAAGCAGATTTGACCAAATGTAATCGTATAATTTCAGTGAGTCCGGTTATAATCTCAGGAGCTAGGATAGACCGTGGACAACAAGAAATTTCAGAGTTGAGTGGAAACGGGGCATTATAAGGAGGCTAAATCACGGTAACGTGTTTTGGCTACTACTTTCCACATTGAATACAACCGTGTATGGAGCCAAGGGTGTAGCAAGCATTTTCTTATTGAACCCAACGTCACCATGTGCAGTACCTATTCTGCTGGCCGTGTGATTTGGCATTCAACATGCGTTTCGGTCCATCGGGAAATTAGAATTGGTTCGATGCTCTGTCCCATCTAAAAGTACACCCTCTGCAATCGACCTGTTTTGGAATGGACCTTCTGCCTCCCTTCAGAGTCTTACCCCCTTTTCCTGGTTCTTCCCTGACAAGTCGAAGCAATCATTCTGGATGCCTTCTCTGAATTTGACAGCCAGACGAAGGCACCGATGCCGTTACTGCCTCAGGTCACGACAATGATTTCTTGATCTCAGGCTGGCCCCAGTTGGCATATTATTTGTTGTGGCAGTCATTGGCTGACAGTACCATGCTGGTTGCAAGGAGGAGATAGGCCATGGTCTGGAAGGTATAGACTTGGTTGCGGTCAGATCCTGAGAACTATACAGGAAGTGCGTGTCGAAGGTGACGACCAATGCGAGCAGCTTGGGGATGTAGGGGTTGAATAATTTTTGCCGACTTCTGCTGGCAAGGACGTCTGTGATGAAACGATGAAACCTTCGCGTGTGGCAATGATGGCGATGCTCCCTACTGTTGGCGCAATCAAATCTCGAGTATATACGTGCAAGATCATAAATAGACACAATCTATGAAGTAATTTTCATGCCATACATAGTATATTGATAAATTGCACGGACTCGTCCGAATAATGGCAATTGTGGTTGATTCCACGTGGACTACTACTCCCATTATAGCGATGGCGACGAACCTCGGGTCGGTTACAATCCGGTTCCATTCCTGTGATCGTGAAACAAGAACGGACATTTTTATGCCGATAGTCTATGGTGCTTATTCTTTATTTTACTTCATGTACATGTCCGGACTGTCCTAATCAGGAAGATTTTTTCGTACGCATGCTTTTTTTCTCTGATTAATCCGGTCAACACCTCGGAGTGGATAAATCAAGGTGTTATAAGTAGTAAACTAGGGATTCAGTTCCAACACCAGATTCTTTAATGAGAGTACATGGCACATAATGGTTAGTTGGAGCAGGTTAAATTCAACTGTCATCTCAAAGCTGGTTTTTACAAACAGATGTACGGGACAAAACCGCGCCTCTCAATTCTTGAGACATTGGGAATGGTGCTGCTACTGGTTTTCATGGGTACGCCGCCGCCTCTTAACTATCTCAGCTCGATCATCGCTAAATATTCACAATAGTACCTCCCCAACTTGGGCTCAACATAACGCGCTGTCTCTTCCTCGCCTGGCAGCGAGGAATTTCCCTCCGCTACTACGTGACATGTGCCGCCAACCGCGTCTTCCTTGGTGGATTCTCGCCGCGCCAGTTGCAGAACCTCGTAGCTCCATCAGCGCAAACATATGCAAAGTGGGTCAAGAGGAAGCTTCAAAGAGCAGGTAAATCAAACGACGCATTCATCCTTCACCGCGTGCACTACGATGTCCACCCCCTGACGTCCTGCGGCGGCTCCATGATGTGGATCGGAGACCGCAAAAAAGCCACCAAATTCGTTCTTTTCTTCCATGGCGGTGGTTACATCACGCCTCTTCTTCAGGGACATGTGGAGTGGTGCTGGCAGGCGTACGTCGTGGCCGGCCAGGAGGTGGGCGTCGAAGTTGCAGTTTGCGTGTTGGAGTATACACTCATCCCGGCGGCGAGATATCCACACCAGCTTATTCAAGCCACCACCGCATTCAATGAAATGCTACGGTTGGGGATCAAACCGGGCGACATCATCATTGGAGGAGATTCTGCGGGTGGAAACCTGGCAACGCAATTGCTGGGGCATTTGATGACGCCCCATCCGACGACTCCGCCGGTGAACTTGGTCGAGCCCCTGCGTGGTGTGTTTTTGGTTTCGCCCTTTGTGAGCCATGATACCGATACGCCGTCGCATCGAATCAACAAAAATATCGATATGCTGCCCCCTGTTATTGCCGTTGACCTTCCCCGGCAACTGTTGTCGGAGGGGCCATGGGAACTGGAGAGACGACAGGGGCAGGGGTGGGCTTTGATTCTGGATGTTGATGAGTCCTGGCTAGACAGATTGGGGACAGTGGTTACCAACTTGTACGTTACGGTAGGGGAGCAGGAGGTGCTGAGAGACCAGGGCATTAAGTTGGCAAAGGTAGTGGAGCGCAGGAACAAGGGGATGAATGTAAAGCTTGAGACTTCGCACAACGAGGCACATGATTTCATCTTGTTGGAAGGCGAGAAAGAGGTTGTTGGGGATGCGACGAGGAGGATGAAAGACTGGGTGAAGACCATTATCTGTTAACGTCCCACACCCGCATCCGGGACACCCCCACATGTGGGACACCCAAAAATGCCTCATCAACACCGCTAGCCTCTAACTTCAACCTCTTTTTTCTTTACCAATATCGATTCAATCGTTACGAAATTTTACGTACGTCTTCTTTACACTAATATGAGTCAATATACCGAAGATGATATTTATCGAGCTCTTCAAGCAATAGCTACCGGTCAAAGCCTTCGAAAAGCAGCATATGAGCATGGTGTCCCAAGGTCTACTCTTTCACGACGGATTCAGGGAGCCCAGTCAAGAGATACAGCCTTCGCTGACTACCAGAGGCTCTCTTCAGCCCAGGAATCTCATCTGGCTGAATGGGTTCGAATCCAGGCCGCCCTAGGCCTCCCACCAACCCATCAACAGCTCAAAGACTTCGCCGAGCGTATCCTACAGATCCACGGAGACACCGAACCACTTGGAAAGAACTGGGTCCAGGCTTTTATCAAGAGGAACCCTTCAGTCAAGGTCCAGAGAAGCAGAGCTATCGATTCCCAGCGTATTAATGGAGCCTCAGCTAATGTGATCAGGCAATGGTTCAAATACCTCGCTATCCCTGAGATCAAAGCTATTAAGGCCTCGAATCGATACAATATGGATGAGACAGGTATTCTAGAAGGTAGAGGATCAAATTATCTTGTTCTAGGATCATCTGAGACTCGTTCTATACGGAAGAAACAGCCTGGATCTCGAGCTTGGACATCTCTTATAGAGTGTATCTCTGCGACTGGTACTGCACTACCCCCACTTGTGATATACAAGGGGAAGTCTGTCCAGCAGCAGTGGTTTCCTCTGGACTTGACTCCATACGAAGCCTGGAGGTTTACAGCAACAGAGAATGGGTGGACGTCAGAGTCTACGGCTATTGAGTGGCTACAAAAGATCTTTATTCCTTTGACTCAACCAGAGGACCCTGAAGAGACTAGGTTACTTATCCTAGATGGGCATAGTAGCCACGAAACGACAGAGTTTATGTACCTCTGCTTCATAAACAAGATACACTTGCTTTTCTTGCCGCCACACACATCCCACGTTCTCCAGCCTCTCGATCAGTCAGTCTTTGGACCCCTCAAGGCAGCCTATAAGAAGGAGCTTGGTTACCTTGACCGATGGGATACTACTACTGTCGTAGGGAAGAGAAACTTTCTCCTCTGCTATAGAAAGGCACGTCTAGCAGCATTGACCGCTAAGAACATTATCAGTGAATGGAAATATACTGGTCTCTGGCCTTCGAGCATAGCTAGACCACTTATGAGCCCCCTGATCCTTGAGAATACGTCAGCACCAATCAAACAGCCTAGTCAGACTTGCAAAGGGCACTCTAGTAGTCAGGACTGGGCGTTAGAGACATCAAAAGTAGCCTGGTCAACGCCTAAGAGGAGAGATGAGCTCCAAGATCAACTCAGCTTATTCAGCAAGCTTGATAGTGATCCAAATACCCAGCGGCTACTCTTTCAGAAAGTTCAAAAGGGCTTTGATGAGAAGGACTACCAATTAGCTGTCTCACAGCGAAAGATTGAGGTAATAGAGGCAGAGCTTGAGGCTAGTAGGGCTAGGAAGCGGAGGAAGGTCAAGATGAGCCCAAATTCGAAGTTTACTAATATCAAGGCTATTCGGAAGGCTCAAATCGAGGCTGGTGAAATTGAGGATAGTACAGATGAGTCTAGCGAGTCTGAAAACCCTAGTGACGGTGAAAGCTGTATTGTAGTCGCATTAGAATAAGTGTAAAAAAAGGTTGAAGTTAATGGTTATAATATACAGCATCATTTTTAGGGCGTCCCACATGTGGGGGTGTCCCGGATGTAGGTGTGGGACGTTAATAGTGCCTACACGTTGGACTGTGACGCATTATTAAAAGTGCCACCACGCTATCAAGTCGAGACCAGAAAATTGGCGCCCAACCCCATTTCTAAAGTTGCAGTTTGCGAGCCAAGGTTTCTCCACCTAGCTTTATCACGAAAGGCATTGGATCGACTTTTTCGTGCAGGATACAAAAGGTATTTTATACAGCTGGAAACCAGCTATTTCGAAATTTGCGAACTTCAGTATCCGCACCTTCATATAAGACACAGCATCTTTTTTTACATGGACCTAGCTGGGGCAGCACCTTATTTTGTTTTCTTTATCTTTTCGCTCTCAACACCTCGGTGTTAAGAATGACGTTTCCAATGACTGCTGCTGATTCCGGTATACTATCCAGCCTGATGACTTCGGCAGCTTTGAGGACAATAAAGAAGAACTCGTAGCGCAGCAGCAGAGTTGATTGGCAGTCTTTCCAGAGTAGCTAGGCTTATGGTTTGCGTCAGAATTGGTTGCACTCTCATGATGGCGGTGGCGAGATCCCCGTCTAAACCAGCACCATCAGATGGAAAATATTAGTCATGGAAATTCAACAACAACAGGAAAGGCAATTTCAGCACAGCACGTATTTGAGTTAAATAAAGGCAACTTGACAAGACGTGTCGAATTGATACCGTATAGTAGTCTGAGCTAGCTGGAGGGTTCGGGATGTTCTGCGTATCCTAATAGACTCGATCGACACTATGCAAATCAACTCTCTGAGAAGCGAAGCATTAATAGGATTGGGTGGTTCGGGTCTCGATAGATGTTTTATTTAGTGAGTCTGGGAATTCCTTGTAATAATGGGAGAGCTTGAATCAGCAACTCGCGTCTGATGGCTCTCCCGTCTCAAGCAATCCCTTTCTAGCCTCGCTTATGCTGCCTCGTTTCGCAAATCATATTCAGGCCGGACGAATCAATTGAACCACTGTTTACCCCAGGAAAGCTCGCGATTTCAAACTTTTGAGTTCGCATGACCTGATTGTCCTGATTTATCTAAGAGGCAGTCCATGTGCTTATTACTTGAGTGAACTTGACCAATTTCAAGGATGTATAGCAAGGATATATGGCCCCAAATATATCCGCTGAGTCATTGCCTCGCAAATTTATTAAAATTAGACCAGATGAAGCCCAGGGAGATTCATCCAGATTATGATAGAACGTACAAACTTAAGTTATCATATTTTCGTCTGAAGACTCAGATGGCTGGCTCATGTCAGCGCCTAGACTGGCGGCTAAAGCTTGACTTGGCTTGTCTTGTCTAAGAATAACATCCACCGGCGACCTCATGTTTGGCGGCTGCCTCCAGGCGGACAGCCCTCATGACACCCAGTTAAATTTCTGGTCCGTTGTCTATGATGAATTTGGTGATCAGATCAGTGACAATAGTTGTCACCGTTGCTGACAAAGGCACGTGCATTAGGGCTGTCCCTATTTAGGCATTGAAGATAGGATCCAAAGCATCTTTGAATCCTTTCAAGGAGCAAAGCTATTCATCTGCATCAGACTTCACTTCATTTATACCATCTATACAACCCACGATAGAGTTCATTGATTCTTGTATGAGAATATGTATTCTTCTTCAATCATTGTCTTTTCTCAGTATTATAACCTCACTATGAAGCTCACTCACTTCTTCCTGCCAGCTCTGGCACTCTCCACCGTCGTTCTGGCCCAATGCAGCGGCTCAGCAACCTCTTCCACGGCAACTCCCATCTGCCCAGCCGCTGATCTATTCTGGACCGATAAGGTCAACCTCATCGAACTCGCAGGGATTATCTACCGCTGCCGCAAAGACCACTTTCTCGCCGTCACAAAGGTAGTCGTTATCCCTAAGCCGAACAAAACGACAGCCCAAAAGCAGACCCCTAGCGGCTGGCGACCGATAGCGCTGCTTAGTACGATAGGGAAGGTGATAGAGGCGGTGATATGCCAGCGTATCACTACCGTCGCGGAGACGGCCGGTCTGCTACCAAACGGCCAAATGGGTAACCGAAAGGGGCGGTCCACCGAATTAGCGATACGTATAGTCGAGGACGTAACCTATACAGCTTGGAGGCGCGGAGGGATCGCCACACTACTACAACTTGATATTAAGGGGGCGTTCGACACAGTTAACCACAGGCGTTTGATTTCTATACTAGCCCGGAAGGGCTACCCGGAGTGGGTTCAGGAATGGGTACACAGCTTCGTAGAGGATAGGACAGTACGCCTCCGGTTCGACGGTAAGGAGTCAGAGCTGATCCCTCTACGAGCTGGCGTCCCCCAGGGGTCGCCACTCTCCCCGATACTATTTATCCTATATATCTCGACGCTATATGAGGAACTAGCGGAGAAACACCCCCTACTCTTAGTCGTAGGGTTCGCGGACGATACGAACCTACTCAGCGTGAGCACAGACACGGGCACGACCTGCCGCCGACTAGAGGACGCTTGGGCTACGTGCCAACGGTGGGCCGCCAGGCACGGGATGGAGTTCGCTCCGGACAAGAGTGAGCTGATGCACTTCACTAGAACCCGAGACCCCTCCCTGCAGAGTATCCGTTTTGGAAACGCTACAGTAACGCCGAAGGTCTCGGCAAGGTTCCTAGGGGTCTGGTTTGACCGCAAATTAACGTGGCACGCCCATACCGAACGGGTTAAATCAAAAATGGCGACTCAGAAGCTAGCCCTAACAAAGCTAGTGAACATGACGTGGGGCTGCGATCTCATACGGGCGAGACTACTGTACACGTCGGTTATTTGCAGCGCGATCGCCTTCGGGGCGGCTGCGTGGCACACTATAAGCGAGGAACCAGCGGGGCCAGCTAAGAGCCTAGTCGGGATACAGAATGAGTGCCTCCGAATAGTCTGTGGCGCCTACAAAGCGACACCGGTCCGACACCTAGAAATAGAGGCAGCTATCCCGCCACTAGACCTATATCTCAGTGCCCGGGCGGCGAAATTTGAAGAACGGCTACGGAATAACGGCAAAAGGAGCCTGCTTCGGAGCGCGAGCGCGAGAGCGTCACACATACTCCGACAGGACACGCCGGCGAGACGGAAGCGGACGTCACAATCGCTCAGACCAGCGGGGTACACGATAGAGAAGGAGGCTAGGGGCTCCGAGTGGATAGGCAAGGCGAAGGAAGTCCCGGCCGCCCTCCTAGACCACTGGGAGAAGAGATGGCTCTCCGGGGCAGCACAACACGACCGCCAGCGACGCGCTATCGCCGAGGAGCAGGAGGGCCCCTCGATGCGAATGCCGAAACAGGGCAAGTACTCAGACCTAAACCGACCGGAGGCGTCTACCCTATGCCAGATCAGGACCGGAAAAATAGGACTATCAGCTTTCTTATTTAAGATAGGAGCCTTCGGTGTGTACTCGCCGTTATGCCGCTGTGGAGAGGCCCCCGAGACGGCAGAGCACGTAATCCTCTTTTGCGGCCTGCTGGAAGAATCGAGAGAGCACCTACGGGCCACTATCGCACCATGGCCGCTGCATACACGTAGAGACCTGGCAAGGGCGACGGGGAAACCAGTAGTCAGCGGGACTATCACAAGGTGGCTACTCAGGACTGGCCGGATAGCGCTTAGGCCCGGATAATATCGATCTTCTCAGGGGGACTTTGTTAGTAGGGTGAGAACTAACATAGTATTGTGGTGGACGTAACGCAGTCGCTAATAGAGCGAACCTACGTAGCAGCGTATGTATTTAGTCCAGTCATTAGGGCACGGTTTGACATACGGGAGCACTTGTAGAGGTACCGGGGGCTTCGAGCCTACGGCGTATTTAATAATAATAATTCTCGCCGTCAACAGCGCCAGCTAGTAGTTCCAATACCTAGACAAAACCCTCGAATCACACGGCAACAGCCGCGTCACCATTTCCTCACTAATCCTCTTCATTAACAAGACGGCCTTCGACTATATTGGCCACTACAACAAGCTGCTATGTTTCCAAGTGGCCTACAACTTTCCCACGTCTTACTACGGCCGTTCAAACGTCTTCCGCCCCCTCTAAGCTACCGCAACCTACGATATCAACAGCACAGCCCCCATTCATGACGAGGGTCCCGAGAAGGCCCTCAAAGCGTGAATCCCCGTCGTCATATCCGACTATGAGGCCGATCTCGCCTCCTTCGTCAATGGCGTGACTTCCGGCCACAGTGTCCTCTTCGGCATCAAAGTCGTACTGAACCAGAGCGGATTATTCAACGCCCGCACCGCTGTAGGTATGTGGGGGTACAGTAGTGGTACGCTGGCGACCGAAATCACCATGGAGCCGCAGAGAACCGTTACTCCTGAAGGAGACTAGGACGCATATCCCTTGAATGCGCTTAAGACGGTTAGGACGACTTCGATGCTGGGGTGTAAAGTGCTTTAGTATCTTGAGTTTCCTGGGTTTGGCGTATGAGGAGCTTGAGTTGGCGAACTGGATCGACACCAGCTTGTTGAAAGAAACTGAGATCCGCCAGCTCCAGACGTACCGCGAGAGGTTCTTCACTGCGCAAGGGGATGCGTGTAATTTTGCCACAGGATCGGACTACTTCAACTCGAATTTCAACCGGTAGTTCAAGCTCACCTAGGTACGGAACCTGACGTAGGTTCCGGTGATCCAGAATTCTGCGAAGGCCGGCAAAATAGGGATTCTAGGTGACTGGAGGGCATTGTTAAAACATGTCCAGCCTGCAGAGGAGCACCTCAGAGACATTTACAAGATCAATCAGAACTCAGGATCAAGTCCCATTGGAACCATACATATCAATGGTCCATGGTCCAAAGATTGCGCAACAGAGATGCACCCTTTCTTTCTTCAAACCGACCACGAGCTTTCATGGAACTTTGCGATGAATTCCTCGGAGAACCCGGTTTGGTCTCATCTCCCGACTAATTCATTGGAACACCTTTAGACCCTGCCACTCTTCATAATCTCACGGTTCGTAATTTTTCAAGGCAGTTTGTAGATGTAGATTTAGATTCCCTGTCACAGGTTTTAGCACGCATAGCGACGCGTTGGATGAATACGCAACAAATCTTATAATTGAGTTGCGATTGAAAAGTTGGATCTCCTAGTTTAAGTGGTAGGATCTATAAAGTTGGAGCCTCCCTCGCAAGGGATTCTTCGTCCGTTGTTTATACTTTGCACCGTTGACTGCCACCCCATTGATCCCACCAGGCGATGGAATTTGGCCGCCGTTGAGGGACTCAACCAGATGGAGGTTGCTTCACGAGATCAGCCCATGCCGTCTTTCCGATGGATAGTTATGGACCGAAGTGTTTCTCTGAGATTTCTGGGGTTTCAAGCATCTTTCGTCAGACAAAACAGAGATATTGCGTGCTCCATTGCGTGGCTCTTTCTTGAGCAGCGAAGGTCTTTGCCTGTTTGATATTGTTTATTAGGAGTGATGTCTTCTTTGAGAAATTCTCTGATCCATATTACACTGTATCTCTATGCTAGCCTTACCACAGTACCCGTACCTGACACTCGTTCATCTGTACGCTCTTAAATACCTTTGCAATGCTTGGCCTTTTGCACTGGGCCATGGCCGTTGTCGCAGTCACTGCTACGCCGCTCAAGTTGTCGCTGAAGAACAAGCTTGGTGGGCAACTCAACGCCTATGTTACGGGTCAAGATACTGCGGGAGACGTTGTCATGCTCGCACCAGACGGCTCCTGGTACCATCCTGATGCTGGAGGAAGCACAAGTCCTGTTCAAATCAACGCCGCGAATGTCACACTTCCTCTCACAGGCGATGTCACAGAACTCACGATCCCAGATTTTATCTCAGCGGGTCGCATTTGGGTTGCTGTGGGAGAGCTACAATTCTTCACTGTAAGTACCCAACCCAACACAGCCTCTATACCCAAACTCGTTTCTGCCCCTTTTACCCACCATTAACTAGCCCTTATGATTTCAAAATATGTCCCTGCCAACCCCCTATGTTCATAAGTAGTCTTGTAAACTAATGAGTGAATCATCCGATCGGATACCCGTTAACTGACGCCATAGACTTCAACTGACGGAAAAAACCAGCTCGTTGAACCTTCGGCCGTAAACCCTGATGATCCCTCAGCCGATGTCAACTGGGGTTTCGTGGAACTTACAAACACGGAAAAGAGCGGCATTTACGCCAACATCTCTTTCGTCGATTGGGTCGGCCTACTTTTGGGAATGTCCTTAACGCTTGGTAGCGGTGAGGTTCAAACCGTGAGTAGCTCCCGGCAGAGAAGCACTTTGGCTGCGCCAGATATATTGTGGTATAATCTGTGTCGCATATTTCAGATCACCTTCTCGCTTCCTTAGCGACATAACTGCTAATCCAGACTTTTTAGGTCGAAGGTCTCGCCAAGAATGCCGTTTCAAGCATTTGCAACGACATGAAGACGCAAGCCGCTGACGGTCAACCATGGGATAAAATGTGTGTTTCTGACGCAAGTGGTAACCCACTTCGCGTTCTATCGCCCAATATGTATGCTACCATCAATTCCGGTGCTATGCAAGATTGGTAAGTATCCCATTCCTCACTTGGGTGCCTCACTTGGGTGATTAGCACCGTATCATGAAAATTCGCTGACGGATGATTAGTGAGTAGCCTTGCGTTGATCTGTGGCGCGCCAGAGAGACACACGTCACACGCCGGAATGCGGTGTTGCTAACATAGAACAGATTACACCGACTACGCTAACAAGGTCTGGGATCAGTATACCAACCAGGACCTTGTTTTCGACACGCAGAACGCGGGAAACACCACTTGCCGCGCCAACGGTGACCAGCTCACTTGCACCAATGACAACCGCGCGTAAGTCTGCCTTCAGAAATTAACTGACAATTGTACCTGACCTCGCAGTTATGCACGCCCTACCGTTGGTGACATTTGGGGCTGCAACTCAGGGCCTTTTGCAATGACTCAAGAGTATGTTGATGCTCAAACTGTATGTCCTATATTTTACGAAACGGAAGGTTAATGAACGTCAATTAGTGATAACGATATCCATAAAGCCGTCGTACCCCGTCTCTGTGCCGCGTTCCAGCGCTCAACACTGCTCCTAGACGGTGGTGATGTGCAGCCCAGCTCGGCAGTAGGTAAGGACACGTACTACAAAGAGACGCCAACCAACCACTACAGCCGTATTGTGCACAATTATTTGGTGGGTGGTCGAGGTTATGCCTTCGCATATGATGATGTCAATCCAGATGGCGAGAATGCTGCTGGTGTTGTTTCTGGACCCAGCCCTCAGGAGCTGGCAATCACTATTGGTGGGGCGTGATAAGATCTGCATGGGTTGTATTCATTCAAAAAGTTGATGGAAAGTCGTTATAGTGATGCATATACGTGGCGGAACATGTATTCATTTGAATGGCGTTGAACAAAAGGCTAGATAGTAATCTGCTGTTGGATTGGAAAACAGAATTTGCACATACATCTCTTTCGTATACTCTCGTATCCACAATGTGGTAAAACGAAATCCCTTAATTTAGAAGTGAAAAGAATCCAACATATTAATCTAATCTAAACAACCTTGCAAACGTCAAACCATAACCATCTCCAAGCATATTCATCCATTTGCAACATTTGGAATTAACACATCAGATGAATCGACACTTTACCCATAGGTGCCCTTAAGCAGTGTAGTTCTCATTATCATTGCCACCAGTTTGTCCTTGACCCTGACCCTCACCTTCTCCAGCTCCTGAGCCCTCCCCATCACCTTCGCCTCCCGCACCAACACCTCCGCCAACAGATCTGTAAGTAGAATTAGGATACATTCTTCGTATTACCAAATCATGCAGGAGTTTAGATTTGGAAACATACCCGCCAGCGCCTCCACCAACGCTCCCTCCAGCTCCTCCGCCGATAGAACTGTAATAAAGGTCAACACAAACTCTTCACGCGGCCAGTTTGGATAGAGAAGTGAAAAGCACTTTGAAACCTACCCGCCAGCACCTCCACCAACATTTCCGCCAGCATCTCCGCCGACGGAACTATAGTAAAGGTCAGCAAAGACTCTTCACATCCACCAGTCTGGACAGTATAATATCCACGCAAAGGTTTTTGAGACTTACCCGCCAGCACCTCCGCCAACATTTCCGTCAACACCTCCACCAACAGAGCTGTAATAAGGGTAAGCATACTCTTCGCTAGGCCAGTTTGGGCAGTGAACGGAGAAATCTTGAAACCTACCCGCCAACATCTCCATCAACATTTCCGCCAACACCTCCGCCAACAGAGCTATAATAAGATCAGCGAAGACTGTTCGCATCCGCCAGTCCCGGCGTTGTGTCCACGCGGCAAATCTTGAAACTTACCCGCCAGCGCCTCCACCGACATTCCCGCCAGCACCTCCGCCGACAGAGCTGTAACAAAGATCAGCAAAGACTCTTTGGTAGACCAATCGGGCCCACGTCCCCGGAAAGAATTTTGAAACCTACCCGCCAGCGCCTCCACCAACATTCCCGCCAGCACCTCCGCCAACAGAGCTGCAATATGGATCAATACATACTTTCATATCCGCCAAGATCTTGAAACTTACCCGCCAGCACCTCCATCAAGACTCCCGCCGGCATCGCCACCAACGCCACCGCCAACAGAGCTATAAGTAAGGTCAGGATAAACTTTTCGTGTCGCCTAATCATGCAAGAGTTTAACAAAGAGAATCTGGAAACATACCCACCAGCACCTCCACCAACAGAACTATAATCAAAATTAGTAAAGACTGTATCCACCGGCGGAAACTGAATAACAACAGAAGAGTTTGGAGACTTACCCGCCAGCATCTCCGCTACCTCCCGCGAAGCCACCAAGGAGGCCCCTAAATGCAGGTTAGCAATTTTTTACCCACCGAGGCCAGAAAAGTCAAAATACCCAAGGCCACCCTTTCCATTACCACCAACTAGACCCCCTAGGCCACCCTTTCCACTGCCACCACCTAGTCCACCTAGGCCACCCTTTCCTCCACCAATGAAACTTGAAAGCATGCCTCCAGCTCCAGCTTCGGCTCCGGCTCCGGCTCCAGCACCGGCACCTCCAGAACCCCCAGCACCTCCGAAGCCTCCAAGAACACCCTTGAGCTGGCCGAGTCCGCCAGATGAGTGACCACCCTTGCTGCCAAGAAGGCCCTTGATATGGTCGAGGGACAGGCCACCACTGATACCGCCGCCGGTGCTGCCGCCGGTGCTGCCGCCGGTGCTGCCGCCGGCTCCGCCCTTGTAACCGGGGAGGGGGGAGGCGGTGGCCGAAGCGGCCATGATAGCAAGGAGAGTGGTGGTGGTGAACTTCATTTTGAAGAGAATGTTATTTTTAATGGTAGAATGATTGTGTTGTCGTTCTATGGATGCAATAATGAGTGTTCGACGTCTGCTATCAGATCTGTGAATGAATGGAAATTTTCTAGTAGAGAGTCAAAGATTGAAAGGGAGTATTATCTGTTGAAAGGGATTGTTGATGAGGAAAGAAAGAATCGAATATCGACGAGAATACGTCGTGCTATATATATTCCAAGATTCTGGAGGTAGCCGAGGTCTCGGCATACATAAAGATACGATGCAATTCGACGAGGGTCAGCCACAAAACGAGCGTCGGCCTTGGATTTGGGAAGCTTCTTTTCCGTTTAACCGGTATCACTATCCCCACAACAGAATCCAAATCCTTTGTAATCACCGTGCGATAGTGTCATCAGATCTAGATGCTCCTAACAAAATATGAGGAAATTGGCAGCGTGGCCCTGCGTAACATTAGCAGACCTATACAGTCAATGCGACTCTCCTGGTGGCGCTTTTGGGTCATGCTGCAGACTAGTTGGCTAGTTGGCAAGTTAAGATTTCTAGAAGATGGACTTCGGGATGCCCAAAGCCCAATTTGATACACGCGAGGCAACAAAACCCAAGCCATTATGGCGCGAGAGGATGGGCCAGTAATATGCGACCCCTATTTCATCCAATATGACTTTCTAGAAGATTGGGCTCGCATGCTAGAAGGACTAGGTCGAACTCGAGTCCAGATAACGCTAGTATCATTGCATTGTGTCGAGCGGATGAACCCATTAATCGCTCGGAGCACCTTGCAGGATATCGACAGACCAGACCCTTCTGCGGTCGCCTTTTCGATCGTCATTGATTACTTAACAATTAGACAATCGAGGCGTTTGATGAGAAGCAAATTGCCACTCATTATAATCGGAAATAATTAGTGTGTGTTTAGACTCGAGAAACCCCGTAGTCCCGGAAGATGCACCTCGAGCGCATTGGAGCGGCCGCATGTAGCATTTTTTGGGCGTTAAGTCAAAACAAACATCCAACTGTGCTGGACTATCTTGGCTCCAGGTAGCGGATCTCGCCGTTGATCGAGAACTTAGGAGATATGCTTGGAAGGGGACGAATTTGATATTTCGAATAACAAGCCGAACGAAGAGACCACGGATTTCCTATCAGTATATGGAAAATCTCCGTCGTAAGAATGGATGAAAGCAAGATGAATCTTGCGAAGTAGTTATGCTTTAGCTCTTTAACATATGTACAATTTCTCCTGTTCCCTTCCAGTATTGGCAACGGGTCTTGTCCACTTTTCTTCACCGCAACACTTCAAATCCAGCTTTCTCTCACTTCGTGGTGTTGTTGGGTATGGCAGCATACGTCGGTCTCACGTATCTACAAAACCATGTTAGCATCTGAAAATCATAGCCGAAGAACTATTTGTAAGGAACAGGGAAAACCCACCGATCCGAATTATACACCTTGAAGTTCTCGCCCAACAGCTCCTTCTCGCGCGCCTGATCCGCCAAGTGCCGTCTCACCAGGTCACGGTCCTCCTCTGCCTGCAGGAGGGGAATCAAGTGGATGCGGGACCACATCTTCTCGCGGGCGAGTTCACTTTACCAACGAATCAGTATCTCGTCCATTTCGGAAGGCGCAATCCGGCAGTCTCCTAGAACTTACTTCTGCTCCTTGATACCCGTTCCCAGCTTGTAAAAGCCGTATATGCAGACGGCCCCCATGCCGAGGAGGAGGGTGGCCGGTCGGAAACCAGGGGCGGCCAGGTTGCGCTGTGAGAGAGTGATGAAGTCAGCGGCTGTATTTCACCTATGGCAGCCTCATACTTTGCTGATCGCAGTATGTACTGGTGCCGCCATAAATCCAATTCCAACTGATGCGCAAAGCGACCGAGGTTAGGCATGTAACCGATGCAGCAACATGCTCTGCGAGCCTCGACCTCATAGAACGGCCGTATTATTTATTTCCACCATTTCTCTTGCAGTGGCCGCATCGCTCAATCGCTAAGATAGTCTTGTCGAGCACCTTCCATCGCACCATCGCCCTTCACTTCCCGCCTCTTCCCAACCCAATCTTCCAGGCGCAACCCATCACAGACCGCGACCTCAATCGAACATCCTTTTCTCCCGGCTTCTCGCTCGCCAGAAAGTAACAGCCCTCCAAAAGAAACGAAGTCCACGAACCTTGTACTGCACTGGCCCGTAGCCCCCGACGGGGGGCATATCCTGCGGCATTGCGTCTGATTGTCCGGTCGCGTTTTGGTTTCGTTCGGTTGTGGGTGCCAAGCTGTCCAATTGATCGCCCGGCGATGTTGAAATGGCGGGATAAAGGATGGTCGGTCGATGTTAAGGGCCCTGCGCCATTGACGGAAGAAGACCTTTCGACACCCAAGGTGGGAGCTTCGAAGTGAGGTCAGTAGGCGAAGCTTGGACGTTCTGGCACGTGACACTGTTTCCCGGTAAACTCGGTGAGAAAGAGCAATGTCCAACCAATGAGGTCTGCCGAGGTATTGTAGGAAAAGGTGCATACCCTGAGTAGGAGGATCACAAACAAACCAACTATCAACAACACGAACAAAGGCTCAGAAGTAGGTGTATGGACTGAACATAAGTTATAGAAGATGTCTCAAATACTATTCAGAAACGCTATGCACCGGCCTTGCCCATAAAGTCCAGATTCAAATAAACTTGAATAACCATGTCGCTCTTTATCGCCTGGCCCTACAACACCAAGCAAAAGGCCACGTACATCACACAACCACTCCCTCTAGTTTCAGCCATTTTCTTCGGCGGAGGCAGCTTTCAGCTCAGCCTCGAGCTCCGCTTCGAGCTCATCCACATCATCATCATCGTCATCCTCGTCACCTTTGTCGCCCTCTGCCTCTACAGCGGGCCCGCTATCTTCCTCATCTCCTGTCCCCATCGGCGTGGGCAGCCCGCTGCCGTTCCTATTGCCCTCCCCTTCTCCCGCCCCTGCCACGTCTCTTGCGTTCTTCACATTACGAAGTCCGGTCGTGCGAGCTTTAGCCCGCCGCTGTTTCTTAGCCAGGGCGCTGCCTCCCTCTGCTCCCTCGCCATCCTCCCCGTCGTCTAGTTTTCGTTTCCTGCCCTTACCATTTTTGTTAACACTCTCCGTATCGGTCGACTGATCGTCGGTATTGTATTCACACTCGGATCCCTTTTCTGAATCCGAATCGAATTCACTGCCCAGATAATCGGCCAATTCTTTGTCCACGTCACTCCATACGATCTTGCTGAGCTCGTCAACGGGGCTCTTGCCATCTTCCCCCAGCTCCGCAGGCAACACGCCGTCCATGTCATCGAGCCCACCATCTTCCTCTTCGTCAGCGCTGGAGTTTGTGTTGATGGCCGAGTCGTCGTCTGCGTCAATATCCTCCATGTCGTCGGTGCTGTTTTCCGCTACCGGTTTGCCATTGGCCACGATCGTGATCCGCGGTGGTGCCCGTGATTTTTCTTGCGAGCCAGCGCGGTCTGCAGGATGCACCTCGACCGCGAAGTCCCGCTCGTTCAACTTCCTCCACTGCTGCAGGCTCCCCGCAAGCCAGTCCTGGTTGACAATCCGGATCTTGGGGATTCTAGCAGCTAGCCGGACCTTGTGAGTTCTTGGCCGCGAGCTAGAAATCACAAGATGAGTGACCTTGTCACTAACTTTCGTCCTTAAATTCGCGCCGAAGGAGGTGGCTTGAAGCCCGATTTCAGAACGGTGTATATCAATACCCAGCGGCACGAGACCTGACAACACAATCGAGCAGCCACGTAACACGCGAGACTTAAGCCGTTCCAATACAGAACCCACATCAGGAATGGTTTCAGGTTCAATGTCGGTAGATCTATGACGACGACCTTCGCGGCGTGCATCGTATTGTTCATAGAAGCTTCGGTGTAACTCGGATAGGTGCTTCTCCAGGTGAATAAGTTCTTGGTCGTCGTCGCGCAGAAGGTTATGACGGGATTGTGAAGGTGATTCCGAGTGGACACTTCCATTTTGGTTAGTAGTTTCGATGCTTAGCCCATCATCTAATCCTTCCAATTCTTCTTTGTCAAGTTTCTTCTGCAGATGTAGCAACGGCCGCTCTTTGAGTTGTTTCTCCAATTCGCGCTCCTGCTCCTCGGCTTGCAGCTGGAGTATCACATTCTCATCGCCGCCGTTTGCAAGGACTCTCTCGTGTTCCGCCATTTTGCTGTCTAGCGCGTTGGGATTTTGGCTTTCGGGGCCATTTTTGTGTATAGGAACCACCGCCGGTGCTGGTGTTATTATATCCTCACGCTTGGGTAGAAAGCTCGAGTTGATATCCCCAATGCCCTTGAAGAAATCGTATGGGGTGACTTTGATCAGATTGGGCCTGTTCCTGGGCCAAACATCGGCACGATCATCGATTACCACCACCATGTTTGTGCTTACGGGGAATAGCCGTTGCAGGCTCTTCTCCGTCATACTGCCGTTCTCGTCGCGGCTGATCACACGGTGCCCAAAAAGCTTCTTATCCGGGTCAACAATGTTAGCAATCTGCTCGGCGTATGCCCTTGTTCCCATGGTATACACATGCATCTCGAATAGCTCGGACATGCGTTGCAGGAAACTAGCCAGCCCGGGTCGAAGCTTGATGTAATACCAGCATCCGCTGGTGAGACCGCGGGGACCGTCGTCTAGCTGGAAGCTGCGCACGTCTTTGACTGCTTCGTAGTTTGGGTTGGACGGGTCAGTTTGCCATTCGCCAACCGTCGGTTCGATGCATGCGTGAATAATGGTCTGGTCGAGATCCACTACCAGACTCAATTTGCGTTGCTCAAGTAGTCGCTGCTGAAGGTTCAACTCGGCGCGCGTCGCCTGGGCCGCGCTGACGGTGAGCGCAACGTTGTCGTGTACCATGGCTATAGTAGCGCGGTCTGTATCGAGTGTGTCGGTGGCCCAACTGGCTTCCTTCATATCCTTTCCACACAGCACGCAAAGTCCGGCATATTGTTGGTCGTGAGGACACAATTCATCAATGGTGACCAGTACCTGGTCCTTTTCAATGACGTCGCCTACTTTAACCTTCCATTGTGATATTGTACCATCTGTGGGACAATCCCAATCAGCCCAGCCTGTCTCTTGTACGGTTCGCTCCTCGTTAAGGGCCGGGTCGCCCACAGTGCGTTCAAATCGGAATGTGTACTGTAAAATCGTCTCTTGCTTCTTGACGTCGTCGCCCTTGTTTTTGATGAACTTGGATATGGTAATGGGGTAGCGCAGTTTGGGCCCCAGTCGGAATGTCTTCGACACCATACTGAGCGAGGTGGCGAAGGATCGGTTGAGTTGGTTTTCGTAATTGGTCTGAAGGTTGAATCGGTCAGCACATCGTATTCATAATGGGGTGCCATGCAACTGGTACGGAGCGTTGAAATGCCAAAAGGGGGTTTGATTTTCTTTGTCCGCATCCTCAGACCGAAGAAACGGGTTAAGACTTGGGCATACCAGCAGACAAGGTGCATTCATACAAGGCAGACAAGGCCTGATGGGTGATGAGATCCAAGCACATAAATATATCTTCAATGGTCTTGCAAGTGAAGATGATGATTCTACTTACTACGGCGCGCGCCCTCTATCAATGACGAAAACTGTGATGTTGTTTTGGGGTTGAGCTTATCAGCTCTAGCAAATCCCATCGCACCCGTTGAAAGATATTCTTCGGTGATGATTGGTGAACGGGGAGACCGTCTTGGATCCAGAGGACGTATCTACAGCTAAAGTCGTTTGAGAATATTGATGTCTTGCTTGAGGTAGCGCGACTTGAGGTCGAATGCGGCGCGGCTTAAAAAATGGAGTAGGTGTGGATTGGTTGTCGGCGTCGCAAGTTGCCCTGCGCCGAGTTGGCTGCAACCCGATTGCGGCAAGCGGTGTGAGTTCGGTGGGCCGAGCTGGTGCAGAGGTCAAGGACGAATTGTGCGTGTGGGTGTGCAGAGCTCAGCTCCTGTCGGTAGTTCGGCTGTAGAGCTCGTGCTGGGGTCTGGCCCCTGTGTTTTGTGGTTTGAGACTGAGGCCAAGAGGTCTTTCGCAACACGCAAAAGGCTCACGATTGGTTGTCGTCGAGTGGGTAGTCTCGATGAGCTTGTGTAGATGTTTGCAACGTTTTTGTGTGATGCGAAGTTTGGGGATGATTGGACGAGTGCACATCTGTTATAGCGATTCCCCCGTCTTTGGAGACGGGCTCCCAAAAAGCAACCACGAAGCTCTGGGGATGGAGGGGCCTTTTTGTACCTTTGCGACTGCAGTCTGCAGTGGCGTCACCTGAGCTCGGAGCTGTCCGCTTGCAGGCCATTAAAGCATTTCTGGAGTGCGAATTGTGGCGGGTGAGTGGCTGAAGTCGCCAAACTCTTTAAGTTGGTCCAACCAAATTGTGCCAGCTTCCAAACCAGCTTCCAAATTCTCCTGTCACTCCACTGGCCAGATCTATCAAGGTCATCATCCCCAATTTACGCTTCAAAGGTTGAAATTGTTTGTTATCTCTTCTTTTTCCAGCTCGTATGAGCCTGGAGGTCGTATCTACTACCTTGGACCCAGATATTTGGCACCAAATTCTGCTTTGTGAAATTGAGTTCGACGAGTCGATGACACTTACTCGTGAAGGGCATTTTGGATTATCAGTCGATGGCTTCCTTATTTGATCTTGGTCGCAATACAGAAGATGCGAGGGACTCAAATACTTCCAGTTATGGATGTTCGGTCACGTATCGACATTTGATTTTCTCAACAGGCTCCTACTTAGCTCTATCGCGGCTGTCATGTTGATTGAACCCCTACGAGCCTGTGGTATTCTGCAGAAGTAGAGTATGAGTGTCGACTTGTCGCAGACTTCTCAGATGAGCAACGCTGCCTTCAAATACCACAACAAACTAGCGGTTTTCCCTATCCAGCTCAGGTAGGTTCGAGCTGACCGTTATTCGGCAGCGAACAAGCCCCTTGCTTTCGGCCTCTCCAGACCCGCTGAACTGGTCAGCAATACTTCTTCTTCTAAGGGTTTATAGAGCGTCGGCAAGTTCCACAAAATCGAAAGATTAATGCATGAACCCGAAGCTGGCGCCAAATCATTTGGGTCAGAAAGGACAACGGCGATGTTGGCCTTATTGATGATCGGGTTTCGCTCCATCACTAGCCTTGATCCTATACTATGAGACATCAGTCACACAAACTTTGTTCGCTAATATCAATTGCCAGATAAGAAAGGGTGTTATGGTGAATGGGAGAAGAGAGTTGGTTTGAGTATCATCCCGGCCTTCCCAATACTCAAGAGATATCCGACATCGACTCCTTACAGGTGGATGTTAGTTATATCCAATTCTGGTTCTGCAGAAACGATGGACATAATAGGTGTTCGCATTAATGACCTATCTTCTAGAGGTACGTTTATGACACCCCTTTTGATCCCCTTTTAAAATGCTGATCAAACCCCAGCGCCGAAATACCCTTTATGCAATTCAATTCATATTAAAACATACGTGTCGTCCTAGCCCCGCGAGTCCTTCCTGCGCATCCTCTACAGCAACGCCAGCAGTAAATATGGAATCACAAGCGCGGCCCACGAATTTTTCATAACAACCTGGCTAGTCCCAGAGCTTGTTGCTGCGGTCCCTGCTGTGCCATTCACCGCAGCGTTGACAGTCTCGGCGGTGGTAGAGGTCGTGGATACGGTGTCTGTGATGACGCTAGAGCAGTCGATCATGCTCGCCTCATCATTTCCCAGCAAGCTCATCTTCTCCATGCTGTACCCTGTGTTAGCATAGAGTTCTAAATCTCACGAAATATCACAAAGGGGCAGTTACTCACGCCGGCACAAAAGCAGCCTCCCAATCCGAAGCGCTGCTTGCGAACTTGCTCCATGTAGCACTCGTTCCCGAAGAGTTGCTCAGGAACTTGTCGCTGTTCAGAGTGGTTGGAGCACTTCCGTCGATAGTGTCGCTGTAAAACGTGTTGTCCCACTGGGCTTCGGTGGTGTCGAGGGCAACATCGTTAAGGTCCTTCGCGGCGGTATGGGCTCCGATCAGAGCAACCAGCTCTGTAGCTGTAAAGCCCTTGGCTACGAAAGCTGCCGTTATCGAGGTAGCGTTATCGTTGGCCCCAGGCATTTGGCCTGTTGGACTCGCCGTACTCGAGTCGGTGCGGCCTACCTTAAACGAGATGGCGGGCCCCATGCAGGAGGCTATGCCAAGCGCTGTTGTGGAAGAAAATCAGTCCATTTCTCCTCGCGTAGGCATTATGATCGACTCTGGCCCGTTGGGTGGACTGGAATGGACTTACCTGTCCCAAGTTGGATTATGTCGGCGGTGCTCACGTTATACTGCGTTGCCATCTCTCCAAGGGTAGTGCAGATACCCGTCATCTGTGAGTTTTCACCCCGAGTAGAGCATTCATCTGCCAGGATGATGGACCCATCACATGATCCTGCCGGGAAGCAGTCATGAAACGAGAGGCGGATGGCGGCCCGGGCATCATCTGTACAAGCTCCATCGACGATGAAGCTGGTTTTCATGTCGGCGGCGACGTCTGTCCATACTGACGGGCAAGATGTTTGTCTGCGAAGTGGTACAGCAGTTGGCTCAGAGGCAGTGACTGCGCTGAAGAGCGATATGAGGGACGCTACGACGGGGATCTGAATGAGACGCATGATAAAGGACGTTAGGCTTCTTGTGAATTTGATGCGAACGGGAGTCAACGGACAAAACTATGGGAATTCCGATAACGAGCGAACAATGAAAAAAGTAATGAAGGAATCGAAACGAAAAGCAAGTCCTGCTGCCTTATTATCAAAAGAAATGGGAACGATACTGGTCTCTGGTCTATCTTCAACAGAACGACTGAATGGACGATCTACTTATTTATACCTTCGAAAGCAGTTGGGACACCGTACACAACCACCAAACATCGACCGGCGTCTAGGAGTTCTCCAACATTTGTTTCGTCGTTCATAAGCTGATGTTTCCGCTTGCCCTGTCACACTGAACCCCTACCAACTGCCATACACACATAAGCTTACGTGGTTGGTCCATGGGTATGTGGGCTGCTCGGTTTGAGGTCAGTGCTTCTTGTCTTGACTGTTGAGAGAGAGTCTCTGCGGATCTTCAGTGCGTTGGCTGTAACAAGCCATGGTATGAACAGGAGGTATGTGTATCACAACCGTTGGTGGTGAAAGTCGTGTTTCCACAACTGTTGCGATTGGGAGATGATGGTCCTGTGTCGCATGCGATCGGACATTTCACTAATCTACTCCACGGCAACTTGACAGTTGCTCTCATCCATGCACTCGCGCTGTTTCCTTTCCGGATGAGTATTACACGGGGTTCTAGTAAGTCGCCACGTCGGTCATTGTTGCCGCCGAGCTTGTGGCGTGGGGCCGACTTGGCTTTTTGAGTGAGGACCTCGTCTGGTTTGGCGATAGTCATTCTATAAGCGCGAAAACACGATTCGCAAGCCAATGGATATTGATCAACTGGTCAAGAGAAACAATCAAGCGATCTCCAATAGCAATCAAGCAGCGGATCAAAACAGTATCCATCCAATCAGGAGCTGTCTTTTACAACCGAAACATTCCCACTTCCCAACGACCCCGTCCCCTCCAGCGACAAGAAACATCTCTGTTCAAAGGGCCCGTTTCCAGTGCCACGGGCACATCTTCTTCCTTATTCGGTGGGCAAATCCTAGTCTTGCGACGGCCACCATGCCCCTCGAGCAGCAGTTCGGACTGCAAGCTGATCCCAGCGGGCATGGACCGCGCGGCACCCTGGGGGTGTGCGATCGGCCCTTGCGATTCCCTGATTCGGTCACTTCAACACGCGTCCTGTCAGGGGCTCGATTGTAATGGAGCTTCTGGCTTACGACGATGAAGTGTTAAGAATTGCCAAGGTTTTACAACTAATAACGGCGAAGATATGCTGATGAGCCTATTGGAATCAAGCTTGACTGATACCCGTGTCTTTATTCCATCTGATGATGATGATACCAGAGAAAATAGTAAACCGATATTGTGATTCATGTCGGAGAATTTTTTTAATGAGGCTCCTTTCAAGACATCTTTAAACATTGAAGATGACCTGGCCTATAATGCACCACATATTTTCGTCCAATGTACAGTAGCCTGTAGGGTTACACTCAAACGCTAAACTGCGGGTAGCGATCGGCAAGAAATGGTAGGAGCGAACCCGGTTCACGACCGCCTTGCCACACGCTTGTCAGGACTTTTACAAGCCTCTTTAAAAGTGTTTGCACGAGGGGTCCAGGTCACGAATGGAGGCTATTACACTATTGTTTCTTCCCGGCGAGGATTGCGCAAGTTCTTGTAATGAACGGACTGTGATTGGTCTTAAGTGGATCTCAGATCAGTTCACGGACGCTGAAATTGAGCTACTCTACGCGATCTATAGCTCAAAACATATATAACATGTTCGGAAGATTGGCAATTGGAAAGCTTGGTGTTTCGTGGGTATGGAGCTAATTTCGGTTGTATCGGGTAAGATTACTGTGATTTTGAGTGTATTATAACATGACATATTTTATAGTAGATGATCCAAATTTTATTTATTTTTCGCAACGCGTGTCTTTGTTGAGAATTATTTGGAGTTTCTGTGACGGCCTGGCCGGAAGGAGGAGGGGAATGAGACCCAAGGATCGCGAAGTAAAGGTTTTCGAGAACACGCAAGCTTTACGGGCTGACTTACGACTCTTTGAAGTCGATTAGTTTCACATGAGAACGGGGGCTACCAAAGTTGCCTCGCCGTTTCCAGAGCAGCGCGACATCTTCGTATAACCGATTGATGCGGAAACTTCGGTAATATTCCTGGAAGCATGCTATATACTTAAGCTTTTTTCCCCCTCGAGTACGGGTAAGTTATCACTCCATCTACCATACTGATAATAATTTCGTTCAACTACTTGAAGGGTATATACTGGCCTGTACCTCTATAGGAAAGCTAGTCTCACGCCAAAGATAGTTTGTGCAACGATTGAGTCAAACCTCCTCCGAATAACACCAGTGTCCCTAATCTCACGCAATGGATCCTCCGATGTTTCTTCCTTCTCTTATATCAACTGTCTCATTCACCTCAGCCAGTAGCCTGTGAGGAATATGGTTCGTGGCTTGTGTTCTCCTTGGAACTCGTCAGTGAACTCCGTCGTCAGTTCCGCGACTTCTTGCGGGTCGATCAGGCAGATGAGCGGCAAATACGGACCCGCATCGCTATATTCATGGCAGGAAAGCTTCATGCCGAGTGCCTCAAAAGTTGCCAGATGAATGATTTCAGACTCAATACTGTGCCTGGACATCCCTGTCCAAATACTGAGTTTCCAGCGATGCATGTATTGCGTGCCCCAGTCACACTGCCTATGTGCTGGGTGCAGCGCTTGAGCCAATTGCCCATAGATAGCCCTTCCGTAACTGCAGCCTTTGGGACTTAGTCTCATCATCATCATCCTCGTCATCACCAATACAACCCTCTTGCCTGTAACGTATTTCACCCCCATTCCGACACCCCTGTAAACACCAACAATAACCACACCGCTATTTACATTATCCTTTTATTTCTCAACCACTTTTGCTTCAATTGACTTTATTCCAAATATTCGATCTGATCTGCTATCAATGCCTTCATATACGGAAGAAGACCTCGCTGCCGCCGTTCTAGACGTCGCAAATGGTAAATCTGTGCGACGCGCTGGCCTGGATTGGGGTATACCAAGGACTACACTTATCGACAGACTTCAAGGCGCTGAATCAAGTCGCGAGGCCTCTGCTAGCCAGCAGAGGCTATCTCCAGTGCAAGAAAAACACTTAGCAGACTGGGTTTTGGTCCAGGAAGCCCTTGGACTAGCCCCAACGCACGCGCAAATCAAGGAGCTCGCGCAGCGCGTCCTAGCCCTCAAAGGTGACCACCAACCACTCGGCAAGAATTGGCTGGAAGCCTTTCTAAAGCGTCACCCAGCACTAAAGACTAAAAAGCAACGCCGTATCGACTCTCAGCGTATCGATGGCGCGTCTACCGAGGTAATCCAAGCCTGGTTTGCTTCAAAATTACGTATTCCTGCAATTCAAGCGATTAAGCCGCAATGCAGGTATAATATGGATGAGCATGGCCTTATGGAGGGTCAAGGGGGCTCTGGGCTAGTTGTCGGGAGCGCTACCTTACGCGCAATACACCAGAAACAGCCTGGTTCGAGGGCGTGGACGTCAATTTTGGAATGTGTGGATGCCCTCGGCAATACCTTACCCCCCCTGGTTATTTTCAAGGGCAAGGACGTCCAAGAGCAGTGGTTTCCTGATAAAAATCTTCAGGACTTCAAGGACTGGCGCTTCAAGGCATCCCCCAAGGGCTGGACAGACAATACGATAGCTATCAAATGGCTTGAAGACGTTTTTATACCCCTTACGCTTCCTCAGGACCCTTCAGACACTCGTTTACTTATTTTGGATGGTCACGGTAGTCACACAACTGATACTTTTATGTCTCTTTGGTATCAAAACAACATATACTTATTATTTTTACCCCCACACTCATCTCATGTCCTTCAGCCCCTCGATGTTGGGGTGTTCTCAGCTATGAAAACGGCATATCGCAAGGAGGTCGGGTTTTTAACCCTATTAACTGATTCAGCACCTATTGGCAAGCGGAATTTTATGCGCTGTTACGCCAGAGCACGCCAGAGGGCCCTAACGGCTCAAAATATCAAGTCTGGTTGGCGTACAAGTGGTCTATGGCCCCTAAATGTCGCTAGGCCCCTTACTAGCCCTCTTCTGCTTGAAAATAGCAACCGCACACGTCACCAAGGTCCAGACATTCTTATTACAACCCAGCAAGTCCAGAAAACGCTCCAGACGCCTTCAGAGGGCAATTTTGTATGGTCAACGCCAAAGAAGAGCGTAGATATCGAGCGCCAGTTTAGGGAGTTCAATCGACTCCAACAAACTAACATGACTACACAACGCCAACTATTTAGAAAGATGAAAAAAGGGTTTGATGAGAAGGATTATCTATTAGTAAGCGCAGAATTACAAATTGAGGGCTTGAAACAGCGATTGGAGCTTATGGAGCCACGGAAAAAAAAGAAGGTGCAAATAAGTCCAAACGCGAAATTCGCAAGGATTGAGGACGTACGGCGGATGAGGGAAGTATCTAATGAAGCTCTTGTTGATGATTCGGGTTCAGAAATATCTAATGTATCTACTGTCGAAAGCGATTGTATAGTTGTTCAGAATTGAATTTGTGGTGGTTGTTTGAAATTGCAGTGTTATTCGTGGTGTTTTGTTTTATAGAGTGTCGGAATGGGGGTGAAATACGTTATTGCCCACAGCATGTACACGAACCAGCATGTCTTCGGGGGAAGGCTACATCCCGTAATTTGTCAAAAGCTTGGCATCTCCCTTGACGCAGTGGCCCGCAAAAATGGAAGCTGCCATAGATCCTTAATTTCAAAAAAGCCTTGTGTTAAAAAAAGCACAAAAATGAATCCCAAGTTGCGTCGAGGAGTATCGCGTATAAGCAGTCAATATGCTGCCGTTGTATGGGTTCCTCCGGGAATTCTCCCCGGTTGTATCCAAGAAAAAACGCCATCCGATGCATGACTTCGTATCAAGTATCAGCGAAGCTAACCGATCTTTGTGTCTCACTGCTTTCAAGCTTGGGGATAGGGGCATGGATATCGGCTCCGTATTACTCACGCCAGCTGATTAGGTCCAGCATAGCTGCAATGCCTCTCAGAACCGACGGACGCAACACACGTCGATATCAGTGGCGTTTTCTTCTTCAACGTCAAATTTAGCTCTAGGAAACCAGCGTCGTATAATTTCTGAGAAAAGTGCGCATTAATATATTCGGAGTGGTATACTCGTCCAGGCTGAGTGAAACCAATATCTTCTGGATGTGGGACGAACGAGTTAGAAACAGCTCCAACAAAAAATTGATTTTATAAGCTTTCGTAATATACTAAGTAAGCCAACCCACCCATCTGCGGCCACTCCATGGCCTACCTTACCTAGAATCGCTAGCTTCACGATATTTTAACATGGTATTGCTCTGTAATTACTAACTACACAATTTACTGATTTCTGTGGGATTGAGCGCCATATGTGTGCCTGAGGTGGTGCCTGAGGTGGTGCCTAAGGCAGTGAAATCGCTTGTGTAGATAAAAAGGTCGGCACCTGCCTACCTACCTTAGATGTAACTTCTTACAGAGCACTCCGAGCAGTCAATACACACATCACACTGCGCATCGAGCATCGTAACCAATACAGGATTTGTACAGAGTCATCATCTGAGGGTTGAATCCCTCAATTTCTACTAAATTAAGTATAGCGCACTATTATGTAATCCTCTATTTTACTCAACTTGTTAGATTCTAATTCTATTAATATTAATATCGAGTCCTCAGAATCCGAGTATTCCTGTAGGGGTGCATCATTAGCGGGTTATATACGTGCCTTCTCTGTCATTGACTCTAATGACAGATACGTTGCCACCTGCCATGCCCGGGTGACCGTACAAGCGACGTCTCGATCTCTGACCGATCTCTGGGGTCGGCAAACCCAGACAAGGTCGTATAATGACTCGACACACGGATACCGCTAAGCTAAATCAACCTGGATCTGGAAGCTTGCTCGGTAGATTTTGATAGAAAACCATTTCCACAACAAATCTCGATGCCAGGTTTGGCATGGTGAAATAGAAGCATCACTTACAGGGCCAGCGGCTTACCATCGAGAGGAGCAAGTAGTGCAAAAATATCTCAGATCTTCCGAATACACCATGATCACCTCGGCGTTTAAATTGAAAGCCCGCATATCATTGAAGCTACTAATAGCTCCCTGTAGTGGGTCAACATACGTTGCTTGGTAGGGAGGTAGTAGAACTCACAGATAGAAGGTAGTATCTACTAGGAAGTAGCCGGTAGGCCATGCCTTTCTACTAACAAATATCTCTAGTGCTCCAGAAATAAAAGCTTGAGTCTCGAGTTCTAGGTCTACTGCTGTTGAAAAGTCCCGCATACGTTTGGTGCATAAACGCACGAACAAAAACGCCGGCTCTTTTAGAAAAACAGTCGCTCCAAGTATGAAATTGGGCAATACTTGCCAGTGAGGCGTCCAGCCATAAATCACGTGGTCCACCACGATTTCACGTTTATACGTCGATTAGAAATATAACATTTGAATGGCATAACTCTCTTCGTGCGACTTGTAAGATACAGCACATGGAAGTCGCAGATGCCGAGATAATAGCTAGGAATCCACAACCTAGTACTTGCTACATCTTCTCAGATAGCCAAGCAGCTGTCCAGAAGTTGCAAGGCTATAGTGAACACGCCCTTAAAGCGAGAGAGATACTCAGCAGGACCCCTACTATAGTATATATATGCTGGTGTCCTAGTCATGTGGGGATATAAGGAAACGAAATCGCAGACTCTCTGAAGAAAAGAGTCTTTATCTAAAGAGAGAGGGTAGAGCTAAGGTATTAGGGATGTGGAAGAACATGTGGAAAAAAGAGACTTTAAGAGAGGAGTTAGGGAAGTAAACTCGAGGACTAGGCTCTCCCTATAGGAGAATGACCCGAAACTCCCCTAAACTCTCTACTAAATACTCCCTAGATCCTACTACTCCTAGAGCTACCTACACGACATATATCCAGCCTAAGACAGGTATAGTGAAACGGGGTCGGGCAGTCAGTAGGATATACCCACCACCTAACACACTAAAAAGACGGCTCCAGTATCAACAGATCTCATCTGTTGGTCGGATGTGCCTCTGCGACTGGCGACGGGACAATTCACAGACAGGACACCTGGCTCTGGGGGTCGAATTGAAGCTGTCACTAGCACCGAATTGGCCTGATCAGAACAATATGAAGGCTCCTGTAGTTGTCAAGGCTAAGATAAGAGCAGAATGATGGATTGGTGAAAGCTACGTCTGAGTGCATGTATGTGTGAAAATGAATGAGCTCAAGATTGACTGACTGACTAGAAAAGGAAAAATGAGAAGAAGATGATGATGATGGGAACTATCTCGAGGGATGTGGTCCCCGGTCTCAGTGTCCCTTTAAAGCGAAGGAAAAGAAGTCCTCCCTGCCCCATGTCACCCATTTGCCCTGATGGCCGGCCTGGCCCCACTACAATAGGCTATTTCAAGTCCTAACAGTTTAAGCTAGGTAATAGCCCGGATAGTAAGTGTAGTTGTGGTTGCCTGAGGGAAGTCCTAAATATAGTGGAGTAAGAATATGCAGAATCAAGGAGACTTCTTCGAAGGAAAGCGCCAGAATATAGGATGTTTCAATTCGAAGTCATTGCTCGTTTCTGGGTCAGTTCCACGGATCGGGATCTAGCCAGGGCAGTGCTGGGTTATTACTACACCATCACGGACTGAATTCCATGAAATATTCTGTTCTGCTGTTCCAGTGCCTAGCTGATGTTGTGTAGCAACTGTGTGTTTGCTTCGTTACTATCTCCGAGCTGATTCGTCATTCCTTGGATGCTGGAATCCCATTGTGAAATTGGTCTCAAATTGTTCTACCGGGGACTGGAGAGAGTTCTCTATTTTCACGCCATTCTCAAGGGTTTGAAGTAGAACGGACTCGATTACAGGAATACGGCTATCGACCCGTCTCCCGCACCATCGACCGCAGATGTGATCCTGCTGGACTCCAGAAGCAGCATCACTGCGCAGGCCCCGACTGTAATCTCGATGAATCTGTAGTTTCTGTGCATCATTTACCCCATATACTAACATTTCAATTAACTACAGGGCACCATAGGTCTCAGTTCGAAATTCTTATAGTTGCATCCTCAATTTATCATGGCTGGCTTTCTCGAAAGGGTATTTCATCTTTCGTAGCAATTCGCTGTCACTAACCCTTGCGTTTCCCGCAGTTGAAGGTTGAAAATATTCCTCAAACACCCGTTTCAAGTATTTCAAGCACGCATCGCAAGTGGACGAGCATCTTCGCAGCTGTTTCTGTCGAGTTGTTACCATCCCACACCACCCTTTGGGTAATGAATCAGCATTCAACACCACAAAGCTCGTTCAACTTCACTTATAAGTATCAGAGCCTCTATGTAAACAATTTGTAAGCGAATTTAGCCATGATTTAGCAGATTCAATAAGTTATAATATTCTGCCTTTTGCCCTAGGTGATATGCAACCCCGTATCGGCAGGGCGGATTGCCGTGAGCCGTGCAATGCTACGATGCTCGTTTCACTGATCCTCTGCAAGCACTAGGCTCTAAGCGGTCAAAATACCCGCTGTAGTGTTACAGAGGATCAGGTAGTTAACGCTATTTTTTAACGTTACTCTGAATGGCCTATCGCAGTATAGATCTGCCTAGAAATATAGAGTACCGTACTATGGTATCATGGGTAAGTTTTCTATTGCGTGTTTGTACCGTGCCCCCCACCTAGGCACGCGCCACCTCTTCGCTACCTGGCTTGAAGGGACCTTCATAGCTGTCTGAATATGATTAAGAGAAAACGTTGTAGTAGTGTGAATTTCGGCTTTCGATTTCCCACCGTCGAAATATAGGGTTCGAATTCGTTGGCGATCCGCTTCTGTAAGGTGTTTAGTCCCCATTGTAGTTGCTGAATACGCGATAATTAGGACGCGTTAACAGCAAGTTGGAATCAGAGGTGGAAGTACCTTTTCGTTACCATGAGTAGGCTAGGAAAGAATCAGTATAGCGTTACCTTGACAGTGGTCCACTGGTACTTGTCAAGGGGGTGAAAACTTTGGCCTGATACCGTAGTAATAGACATTTATCTAACCGGCTTAAGGGTTAGTGGGCCCGGGATAACCGATTTCAGTCCGGGTAGTGAGTTTCTAGACCACGCCCCTACGTCCGTACGTTTCGGCCCTTCTTGAGTAGCAGGGCAATACGGAAGAATGAGGTTAGAATAGTATTTGTATGTATATCAATCACTAAAGACAAAACAAGCTCAAGTAATACTTCTCTAGTATTTATATACAGATGGAAAATCTATGACGTAACCATTCTATAACAGGATACACCAAGTATGGAAGTATAGACTTTATCATACCCACAAATCCCTTTTTGTTAGAAGACATGAAACCACCGGAGGACATTTTCCTCAAATACATGTTGTTTTCGTTTCTTGAAAGTCTAGATAGACCTTTGACTGAAAAGCTGTTGTCGCTAATTTAACAGTGAAAATGTTTAGTATAGCAGTCCTTCAGTGTTTCAGTTTACAAACTCGCAGTACGCCACAATGGAACAGCACACATCGGAGTTTAGAGTGTTTCACTTTCTAACAAAATACTCCAAACTCCCATTCCGTTCCCAGCTAGATCCTCTCCAACACAACCTTGGTCGAAGAAACAAGCCCGTCAACAACAGCATCAGGCTGGGACAAGAAAGGCGAGTGGGAGGCCTTGATGCGAACGGTCTGCGAGCTCTCACCAAGCGACTTGGCCATCCCCTCTTGGATAAAGGCAGGCAGCGCCTTGTCCTCCTCGCAGATCATGTACAAGCACTCGATCTTGTGCCATGGCTCGTAGCTCACGACATCGGTGAAGACGGGGGCGGACTGGTGCTTGAGTGTGGACAAAGCCTGCTCGAGCTGCTCGCCCTCCACGTCGTGGTAAAATATCTGCTTGGGGTCATCGGCGTGGACATACCCGGTGTCGCCCTACAATCAAGAAAAAAAATGTAAGTCATTATGCCAAGTAAATTGTGAGAGAGAATAGTTATGTCTTTACCTGGAAGTTCATCCACGGCAAGAATTGGCCGCCCAGCATCTGTTTAATGGATCCGCCCATGGGCGTGACGAAGGCGGCGAGGTACACAAATAAGATGACACCACCCTTCTCCCCCTTGGCCTGGCGCTCAGCAAACCCAAGTCCCTCGACGGCATTAGCGCCGACCAGGCCTCCGTAAGAGTGGACAACAAGAACTACCTGCTTCCCCTCACCGGCAAGCTTCTCGATGGTGGCCCGGACGGCGGCCGCGTCATCGGCTAGTCCCTTAGTTGGAGGCTCAGCTCCGACTGAAGGGTAGGATACGGCTTCCGTAGGCCAGTTGACCTTGGTGAGCTTCTCTCGTACAAGGTCAAAACATTGGGTGGTATGCCAAGCACCCGTGGCAAAGATAATGGTGGGGTTTTCGGCAAAAGAAGACATGGTATTAGTCTCAAGTGAGTATATTGTGCGTGAATGAGTGTCAGAAAAAGGTATGATATCGGATTGGTGAGTGATTCCGAACCTGGCTAGGTTCTATAATGACTGGAAACGTGCAAAAAGGCAGTCTAACCCGAGGGGCCTGTTCGCTTATAAGAGGGAAAGACTCGACATGGCAGTAAATCTACGAGTACGTGGTCCTAATCATCAGCTTCGGCCTAGCAGCCAAAGGAGAAGACGATTAATATCGCAGATCCAGGGAAATCCAGGGAAATCCATGTGCACCAACGCAGTGTGGAGCTATGCGCCTCGGGGTTTACATTTTGCTTGCTTCACACTTCGATCCAGGTCAGGGTTCTGGGATTGGAGGAAGGAGATACCCGTGCCACACCCCACTTATTTCGGATTCGCTTGAGCTCACCAACCTAAGTTGGTGCTCACCACCAACTTGGCCAGTTTTTCGACACTTTCAACTTCAACCTATCCTATCTTCGTCAATTCATTAGCTTTTCCAATCGCAATGGACTCATAGCTAAGGGAAGCCGTCCTCTACATGCAAGAGCATCCTCAAGCCAAAATTGCCAAGATTGCGCGAGAAAGCGGCGTAAAACGCGAGACCCTCCGATACCGCGTCAAGCAAGCTGGGAAGACTAAGAACCACGGAGGACTCAACAAACTACTATCTGAAGCCGAAGAAAAGGCCCTCTGTAATTACATCGACCGCCTTGATAGGATAAATCTTGCGGTTCGCGTAGAATTCGTTACCGACGCTGCAAATACGATATTACGTGAGAGAGTCAAGGTTCTACCAAATCAGCCACCAACAACAGTCGGATCAAACTGGACTACACGTTTCCTCAAGCGCCATAGCTACTTCCACGCTTCCCAGCGGAAGCTCCATTCAAACCGCCAGACTGCTGAAAACCTCGACACTATACGAGAGTATTTTACACGGCTTGAGAGAGTCCTCCGGAAAGAAGGAATCGATCCCTCTGATCTCTGGAATATGGACGAGACTGGCTTCCGGATTGGTGTTGGTAAGGATCAACTTATCATCACTAAGCGCAAGAGGGCTCATTACTTCGGCCTACCAGAAAATAGAGAGACAGCGACAGCTATTGAAGCTATCTCTGCTGCTGGCGACGTAATACCAGCTTTCCTCATACTCACGGGGACTATCCACTCGGCTCAGTGGTATGCGCAAGACCTTCATCCAGATACGAAGCTACGGCCGGTCGATACAAGCTATTCGAATGACGAGATCTCTCTCGAGTGGCTTATGCACTTGAACAACACTCTAAGAAAACGCAGAAAGGTCGAAAGCGACTATTGATCTTAGACGGCCACAGCAGCCACCATACGAAGCAGTTTATCCAGTACTGCAACGACCACGATATTATACCCTTCGGCTTGGCCCCCCCATCTTACTCATCTCTTACAGCCACTAGATTTGGTTGTTTTTCAGCCATATAAGCACTGGCATGCGAAGTCCCTCGATCAGCTAGTACGGGATGGATGTACCAATATAACCAAGCTAGAGTTCCTCTCAATTATCGAAGATGTACGCAAAAAGACCTTCAAAGCGAGTACGATCCAGTCAGCCTTCAAGAAAACCGGTATATATCCATTTTACCCTCATCCAATACTACAAGAGATTGAAGAACGTATACCAAAGACGCCATCACCACCAGCCCCTTCATCTTCGTCATATGAAGGCACACCTACTACTTTTCGACAAATTAATAAAGTAGCTAGCAAGATTACGAACTGTCTTACTGATCCAGAGCTTGGTATTAGTCCAGATCTAGCCTATCGACTTAGTCGCTTTGTTAAAGGGTCCCTCGTTAATGCGACCGAGCTTATACAGACTAAGCGCGATCTTAGCCGTACTAAGTACGCCGAACGTATATCAAAACAACGGCGCGTTACGAAGAACTATCATCTTCAATCTGGTGGAGTTTTATCCGTTGCAGAAGGTAGAGAGATGGTGAAGAGGAAGGTTGAAGATGAGGTAGCTAAAGCACAGAGAGTTCTCGCCAAGTATCATGAAGGACTACGTAGAGTAGCCAAAAAGAGCTTTTCTGATGCCGCAAAAGAAGCTAGAAGACGTCGATAGACAGGCCAATTACAGCCTACAGATGTCTTCGAGACAGGCCTTGGTTGGCGGTTATTACGTAGATTCTAATTGAAGGTTGAAATCCGTCGAAAAACTGGCCAAGTTGGTGGTGAGCACCAGCTTAGGTTGGTGAGCTCAAGCGAACCCGAAATAAGTGGGGTGTGACACGGGTAACCCCTATCGCCATGTTTCTGGGAAGACTGCCCCGTGCCGTGTGTATGCCGGTGTGTAGCAGCTCCGAGAAGATCCACTATATGGAGCCGGAATGCTGGCCGCGCCTCCGTAATTGGTATCCAAGGGCGCACGGCCTGAGCAGAAACTAACCGCACGCACCTAGCTGTTCGAATAGATAGAGCGCAGCTGACGTGGTATGTGATACGTCACGATACCCCGCCAAAATATTACTTGGAATCTGATCTATCATATGGACCAAAATGCGGGCGAGATGTGTTCGTCCCAATACTGTGGAATCACGAGATGATGGAGTGGATTGGTCATGGGTCGCTGGTATGTGCAGCTCTGATGTGCGGGTATACCATGCCACCTTTAGATTTTGCATTATTCCCAATTACTTTTCAGGCTCTTTGGACTTGAGTGGAGTTGTCGTCGTGAACCAAGATGCCCAAATGCTCCAAATTGCTCTCCAACTTTAGTCGAGACTCGAGAGTCGGAAATAGCCAAGGCATTTGTCTCGTATGCAAGACACGATGTTCCCTGGCACGAGTCATGTTTTCAGTAATCACTCAAACGGTCGATCCTCATAGGCAGTTTGAAGGCTCGGTCATACACTAGATGGGTCGTAGATCAAGAACGGTCGAGCCCCCAACGGTTGTCAGAAAGAGGTTCCCCGGCCGGTGGAAGAGGGGGGGGGGGGTCTTCCTTGTTTCCCCATAATACATACAACTGTTAGGTTTTAGTACCTGACCGTCATTCTTATCTCGTAGTTGGCCCCAGTACATCTCCGGCTCAAGACAATAGTCCTATTAACCCCCAATCCTGGCCTTTCGTTACGAATTCTGCAGGTGTCCGGTAGCCTCCCGCGTTGAGGGTCCTCAACGTGATTTCGAACTTGAAAGGCTTGGCTTGTCGCATTCCTGGTTTGGACGGGAATATCCTTGTTCAAAGCGTATTTTTCCTCCTCCTTTATCACGATGTCCAATCTAATGTCTCTATTAAATCATGCTGTTGTTTATTTTCCTACCTGTGGTCACAAAGCTGCTCCGGAATATATCCACCACGATTCCTTTCCTTATTATAATCGAGACACACGACGACGATAACCACTCATTCAATCACCAAAGGTGAAAGCACTATTATTGGGGCTTGCAGAACCGGTGACTATAGCAAGATGTCGCTTATTTTCACCCCGCGCAGAGATGCCGCCGCTGCATCCACTACAACAGCCACGGCAGAATCCGCAGATCGAGGACCCGAACTTAACGTCGCGACGACCTGTTTACTCGTACTTGCCACTGCATTCGTCGGCCTTCGATTTTGGGCCCGTCGCATCACATCCTATGCATACGGCGCAGATGATTGGATGCTGGTTGCCGGTTTGGTTCGTAGTTTCATTACTGAGGTGTTCGCATAATGCATGTGGTCCACATCCGACTAACGACTTAGTGGCATGCAGGTGGTAGTTTTTATTACGGGCTCATTAAATTATGCTAGTAAGTCTGAAGAATATAGACCTTAATCTATTTGCTTTCTCTTGCTAACCAACATTCCCACACAGTGATATCCTATGGTCTTGGCCGCCATGCCTCCGAGGTGCCGCTCGCCGACCTTGTCGTATTTTTCAAGCTCTTGTTAGCGTTTGAGTGCATCTACGTCACGGGCGTGATGCTTATCAAGCTCTCGATCTTGCAAATGTACCTGCGAATCTTCCCCTCCAAGCAATTCAAAATCAGCGCTGCTGCTATCGCCTTCGTCGTCATCGGCTGGTGGATCGCCATAGTCTTCGTCTGCATCTTCCAATGTACCCCAGTGTCCAAAGCCTGGCTGCCATGGAGCGAAGGGAAATGTATCGACCTCAAGGCCTCATTTATTGGGAATGCTATTCCCAATATCTTAACTGATGTGGCTATTCTGTGCATGCCCATTGGTCAGGTATGGAAGTTACAAGCCAAGCTTATACAGAAGCTGTCGTTGTGTTTTGCCTTCTTATTGGGTAGTTTGTAAGTCTGATGTTACCTGGCGTCCTAATCCGTATTAGTGACCATTGCCCGACTAACTACTCGGCACATAGCGTCTTATTCGCGAGTATCTATCGCTTTAGCACAATTATGCAATTTGAAATCGCCGACACGACCTGTTAGTTTTCCCTTGAGCCAGACGACTAACCGGTTCGCACCGCGTCTCATATACTAACTATCATAAAGGGACCCTAGCAACAGCATGTACATGGTGCGTGGTTGAGACCGCCTGCGGCGTCATTAGCGCCTGTCTGCCCACCCTCCGTCCGCTACTTGCCAAGGTCACCAGCGGCTTCTCCTTGGCGGCCAGCCGCGGAACGGGAGCAAAAGATTACCAAAACCGCAGTGGCTCCGAGCTTGTCACCATCGGTGGGGGCGGTAGCCGGTCAGCTAAACGAAACTTCGAGACCTCGACAGGCGACAGGGCTTTCTCCAATACCGACCTCTTCACCCCGCTCGGTTCCAGGACGGATCACGCGAGTGAGCGGACATCTGGTGACGAGTTTCCACTCAAGCAGACTGTCTGACACTGATGGGACATGAAGTGGGACATGAAGTTGTAGGATCGGGGTGCTGGTGTCAAGAATTATGTTAGCGTGTAAACGCTGGGGATTGATGAAATATAATGGATGTAATGATGTAGTCGCGGAAGCTGAATAAACCAACTAATTTCTGTATTTGCACATCGCATGATCACGGCTAGTTGTGATAAAACAAAAAAAAAAGAGAAACCATCAAACACAAGCCGCCGGCCGCCGGGTCAGTTTACCATCCAAAATCCTACCAACTCCACTTCACATGTGACTGGTGATTTCACCCGATGCATACTGTACTCCATCTGTCAGTCCCACCAGTCCACCTTTTGACCCGCAGCGAAGGAGAACCATCCACCTTACTACGCTAGTGCAACGGCTTTGACCATCATACGCTTGACAACATTTCCCCGTCGGACCATAAATCGAATTCTTGACAATAAATATTATGTATGCATAACCCTCTAACGATACCATGGGACATTCCTAGTCCAGTTCTACACTAGACAAATCATAGGAGACGCTCGACCCACTGTGTTAAGACAAACCCCCCTTATGACCTCTTAGTAAGCTGAACCACCATTCCAACTCCGGTTGCCCCGTGCCTCATGCCCCAACATCTTTCTACTATTCATCATCAACCGTCGAGGAAAACCCGCACGTGATTGGGTTCAACCCTAGAAGATCCAGACACCACCCCATAGCCCATCCTAATTCCACTTCTGACCAACAACTCGACAACGTCTCAGCCTGCAACCAATCTATGCGCAGGGCAATGCAAGTCTGCCAACCAAAAGAAGAACCACACGCGTAGCTTGCATCGCCTCACCCCCATACATCATCCTCCAATGGATGCGCGCTTCTTTCGCTGATCAGTCACGATCTCATCCGACTTTCTCCAGTACCAGCGAGCTTCCGCGACGCCCTTCCATAACCTGGTCCAGAACCCAAGCATCCACTTCGCCATTCTTTTGGGTTGCATTTCCACTTCAGCCTCACTGGCCGCTCTCCTCGATTCCACAGATCCATATTCTTCATCTTCCTTAGCCCGCCCCTTCTGGACCTCGGAATTCCAGCCCCGGCCAGCTCCCTAACTAACCGTGCAAGAGCCCGACTAGGACCCTGCCCTCGGAGCTGGCGTTCTGCTACTACTGCTGCTTCCCCCATTACCCATACCACTGAGTACACGGCTACCAAGAGCTCGGCCAGCACTGCCGGATATGGCGGCTTCCATCTCACCAAGAGCGCTCTTCTTGACGACCAGCTCAGGGTCAATCTCATCCCCCCCGACAAAGGTCCAGCTCTCTTCCTCTTCTTCCTCGTCCTCTTCTGGATTCGAAGTGTTGTCCACGTTCGAAGAGGAGGAAGGATGAGCAGAGTGGGAAGGATGCTTGCCAACCTTGGCCATGATGAGCGATTTGGCGTAATCTAGGTCGCGATATATGGATTGGATGGCTGTCTCGACGCCCTTGTCCTGTGTGGAGAGCCTAGTGTCAATATTGCCTTTCTGATTTGGTGCCTCGAGCTGGCGGAAACCGCGAAGCGGACACGAGTTGGAAGTGAAGACTTACATTACGAATGGCCTCCCCAAGTACCCTAGCCTTTACAATCATCCGCTCACTATTACACGCCTCCCAGAGGGCCCTGGCGAAGCTGTTGGTGCCCCATTTCTTCAGGCAAATACCCACACCCAAATCCTCAATTCTTGCACCGAAGAAGAACTGATCGCCAAAGAAGGGTCTGACAATGGTCGGGATTCCAGCCCTGAGGCTGGCACCCGTCGTCCCGGAGCCACCATGGTGTGCCGCAGCGTCTATTCTGGCGAAAAGCCAGTCATGCGGCGCCGACTTGATCTGGAAAATCTCGGGCGGGAGCTCAGGCTCTTTTGCCTGTGTTTCTGTGGATTCGGCACTTGAAGCGTTCTTGGCTTCCTTGGGAAGACGGTCGGACCAACCTTTAGAGAGGACACACCGGACGTCTGCCTTGAGCACAGCATCAATCACCTCTTGTGTCATTTTGGCCGGATCCGGTACAATAATGGAGCCAAAGCCCACGTATACCAACTTTTTTTTGTCCTTTCTGGCTTGCTCGATGAAGTCGGCGAGGTCCCGGGGCGGCGTCCAGCCCTCGGCTCCTTCATCCAAAAACCAGTAACCGGTAACTCGAATCCAATCAGCCCAGTCCAGGGGCGGCGGCACCACACTCGCACTGAAGTTGTACAAGAACGGCACTTTGTTGACCTTCATAGCCTCCAGACTCGTGGGGCGAATGTCAAGCGTCTTCTTTCGCCACCGGTTTATCTGTCCAGCCGTGGCTTTCCAAAATACATTGTCGAACATGACGTATGTGATGTAATTGTATGCCCCCCCCATCTTGTGCTCTGGCATGATGAATGCATGCGGGTATGCACGTGTCCTGGTCCATGGCATTGTGAAAGCTCTGAAGTAGGGGATTTGAAGAGCCTCGGCAATATGTATGCCAGCCATAGCCGAAGGTGATTCAATCAGCACATCAGAACCTTGACATGCCGTCCAGGCAGAAACAAGCAGCTCATCTAGCCATCCGCGGAACTTGGAGTTGGCCTCCCTGAGGAAGGAGAAAGTGAAGGTTCCATTTTCGATGCAAATGCGCATGAGCTCCTCGGGGTCGCCGCCCACAGGTGCGAATGTGATGCCGTGGCCCTCGATCCAGTCCTTGAACTCACTATGTGTGGCAATCCTGGCATAATGACCTTCCGAAATAAGTCCTTTACAGAGGGCGATGTAGGGCTGGACGTCACCTCTCGAACCAATAGTAAGACAGGTAATGGTCAGCTTCTTGGATGGCTTGAAGTTGAGGAAGGAGGCCTTAGGATCATCAAAGAGGATTGTGGGTGACGAGTCACTGAGGATGGAGGCTTGCTGCGGAAGTTTGATCTCATGCTCGGGGTTCTCCCGCAGCCGGGCCTGACTAAGCGCATCACGTTCAGCCATGGCGTCCTGTATCTGTTCAGTCTCCTCATTTGCGTCGACACCTCCATCAGTCGCAAGTCCATCCCTGAGATATCGAGCAGCTTCGAGGTGTCGAAGCATGGTGATGGCGCAATCATCGCGGTCCTTGGCCTGGCCGAACTCAAAGAATAACTCCTCATGCCCCCGGATGACAACAACGAGACCCGAATAGCCAAACCTGAACCCCTTTTCTTTGTCGATGGTTTCAATGTCTTTGATAGGCAGGATCAATTTTGTGCGCGTGCCAGGCAAAAGCGATCGGAAGCAGAAATTTCGATCGCTGATGTAAATCTTGCCGTAAAGCGGTAGCACTCTGATCATGTAGCCGAAATAGGTGGCCTGGAGCTTTTCCATCTCAGGCAGGGCAAAATGTTCCCGGAATCGTTCCATAGCCGTCTGTAGTTTTGCCTCCCCTTCTTCGTCACATGTCTCATCATCTAGCTCGTCGTCCGTCTTGAGGCCACTGGGGGAATCGTAGTGTTTGCGGCCCCCTTTCCACATGCCAGATACCTTCTCCACATAACCCATAGATTCGGCCGCAAGAAGATTTCCCATGCGTCGGCTAGTCTGATTGAGGTAGTCTGCGAAGAGCCCTGCACGCTGAAGAGGATACGAGCCCATTTTCGCCAGGTTTTGGAGCGTCGGCGTTGGCGGCAGAGTCTGGTCCAGGCTGTACTTTTCACCAGCCCCTGGATTAGCAAGATGGCCGATGGTTGCACCATGTCGCTCGTGATAGGCTTGTAGCGCATCGTGTCGATGATCGTGGCGCTCGGCTGCCCTATCACGCCGCGACGACCAAGAGAGAGATGTAGAGCGGCGCTGGAGAGTCGGATGGAAAACCTCGCTGCCTCTGAGAATTTGGCTGGCTGACGGGTCGTCGCTAGACGATGTCATGAGGTTAGAAAAGCTCGGATCCTCGACTGACTGAACATATGAATCGGATGATCCTTGTTTCTCGGGTGGTATCTGTGGTTGATGACCGCGAGCTATGCTGCGCGACCGATTCATACTAAAACTTCGGCGGGGAGAGACATCCCGAGCAACTAGGCTGTCAAGGTCGACACTACTCCGCCGCAACTGGCGAAACGCATCGAAGCTGGCCCTCCCAAATTCACCGCTTGCTCGGGGACTTTGATGCTCTCGCGGACTCGTGGGCGACATGGGGACTAATGTCGCTCTGACATTCTCTCGAAGCTTGGACGACTTGAGGTCACCACCGCCAGCGGAACCTTGGGTTCGTGAAGCGCTCACGGAACTCCGCTTTGAAGACGTATCGCGTTCAGCTATTTGTGGTGGAACGCCCAACTCACCAGCAGGTTTTTCCTGGCCGGCGGCATCTTCGATGAGAATCTTGAGAACGTTGATTGCTTCTTTGCCGAAGCTGAAGAAAGAGAAAAAGTACTGTTGGTGTTAGTCGATAGGTATAAGTTTCGAGTGGGCGAATCACAAACCTCATCTATGGCGTAAGTCTCGTCATTGTCAATGACTCGAACTTTGCAAGTGTCGGCGAACTCGACAATCTGACTGTCTTCGATATCCATGACGTTGGCAATAGGTAGAGAAATCTTCACACTGTCGCCGTCGTTGTGAGACCTGAAGATAACGCGTTGGAGACTTTTGACCCATTCTTTGGCACTGGGTGCGCTATCGGCACGGAACTGGTATGTTCTGTGATGTGTAACTACACTAAAATGCAGCGCGTCTTTATCCTTGTCAGTGACATTGGCTGAGATGGCATATCTCAGGTCGATCTGCCCATGTGGGAAGTATAGATTTGATGCATCGCGGTAGTAGTTGAGCACATCGCCCTTCAATCGGAACCAGTAACGGTGGTACTTGGGATTCCGCTTGCCGCTCTTCGATAAGTAGCCCGATTTGACGACCTCATGCTGCGATAAAGGTTAGTAGGTTGATATGTGCATAAAAGACTGATCTTACAGCTTTCTTGGGAAGATAGGCGTAGAAGCAAATGTGTTTGGCGGTGATGTACATGTACCCTTGTAAGAGTACACTCTGGAGCAACCAACAGGGGTATTCTGTTCCATTAATTCATTAGCATTAGGTGGGGATTCCGGGAACAAGACATGTACCCTCTATGACTTCCTCGGCATGGTCAAACTCAAATATCTCCTTCAATTTCTGGGCAAGTGCGCTGGGACCGGCATTGGTGGCTTCGCCGCCTCTCCGATGGTCCCCGGACAATCTTTCCAGATCGAAGCTTGGCCTTGACGACATCTCAGCCTGCGCTTCCAAGATTCTGCTCAGGACTGGCGCAAGCCGTCCTTCGCGATCAGCTTTGGTGACTTCAACGGTGGGCGAGCGGGCCGATTCGAGGTTCGGTGAGCTTGAGCCGTCGCCCTTGAATGCGGAGGTTAAAGATGGGCCTTTGAGTTTGGAAGATTTAGATTTTGACCTTGCGGTCAATTTGGGGAGCTGAGGCAGCGAACGCAGCACTTGGCCAGAAATCCGACGTCTGTGTTTTCCATTCTTGTCCTTGTTGCTCATGTCCCTCTTAAGAACCTGTGTCTGGGCTATATCTTCACGCTCTTTTCCCTTCGAAAGTCTGCTATGGTCGTCGTCATCGCCGTCGTCTTCGTCACTTGACTGGCCCTCGAAGCGATCGTTGAAGTTGACGGTCGAGCCAGCGGCGGCAATTAATCCGAAGATGGATTGGTTCATATTCATGAACATCTGAGTTCCCTGGTGGGTTGGGACCACATCTTCCTCGCCATCGTCGCCGTCCTTGAACCGATCAGGTATTTCCATGGTCGGATGATAGCCCTCTTTGCGTTTTTTTTGCAATTTCTTGCTCAGATGTCTTCGCGCGGCGCCTTCATCATGGTTGATGTCGGGAGGTAAAGGCGCCATGTCGGTGGGGGCGTAGGCTGTTATCTGCCTAAAAGTATGGTCTGGTAGCCTGGCCGATCGTCCCACCAGTTTCTATTTGAGCTGTAGGTTGCTAGATGTCGTTAGCTTGGTTTCGCTGTTGCTGTGATACGACAGATGCAGGTAGCATGGAAGACTGCAGCAGAGCCGGCTCGACTCACCTGCAGAGTCTCCCGAGGCAAGCCCGCAGCTTTCTGGCTCTAGGACCTCGGAATGGGCGCTGAAAAGTGTCAGGCTGGCGAATGATCTCGAGCCGTGGGATAAGGCTGGCAGTCAAGAGATGCACATGGAAATGGGAAACGGGCACAAGACACGGGGGAGGTGGACGGCACGAGGGTCGAAGGGTCAGACCGGAACACGAGCCGTTTAGACAGCTCGAAACTAGACAGCCCGGATGACCAAATTGGGCGAATAGGTCTTGATTGGGTAAAGAGGTAGATATGATGGTTGCATACCCAAAATTGGAGAATACAGTAGAGGTACGGATGTTGAGGGTGGTATCGAGACGACAAGCTTAGGAGGGTTCGTTATCGATAACAACTAGAAAGAAACGCCAGATGACGCGACGTTTGTTTGGTCGATGGCACTATCAGGGATCCACCCCGATGCCAGTTGACCTTCAAGGAGCCTGTGAGCCGGTGAGCCTTGAGCTTCGGAGGTCGGCAGGCTGACTCGACTTGGACCCCGGCTTGTTGCCTGCAGCTCTGTGCCTCTTGGTTGAGTGGTTCCTCAGGCTTCAGTCTGTGGGCTGTGATGTCACATGCTAGAGCATAGATACAGATGACTTGTCAAAGATAACAACTGGAAGTGTCGCCTGACCCGAGAAAATCAACATTAAAACACGGGATATTGCCTTGTCCATTTCTACTCAAGCTGAATTGTGGCTTTAACAATAAGTTGGAGATTTAACAAACGATTCTCTTCTATTGAAGCACAACATCATTCGAGGTCTTTGTCCAAATTTAGATAAAGTTCCTAGGCGCTTAGACACTATCCTGCATGACTCGTGAACTTGTGAAGTTAGTAGTTGGACGGTGGCGGCTACATTTCGCAGGCTTTACAAGCAGCCTCTCGATGTACTTACCAAGTTCATAACATCATAACATGGAATGATCACAGAAATATCCCAGACATCATCGCCGGCGGGCTCCCAATTGTGTCTTACTGAATTGTTACGCTGCTCCAAGCTAGCTCTCAAATATCGACGTAATCTTCAATTTCAGGCCTCATACTTCCGTTCCGCCTATTCCGCCCGATCCGGCCGATCCGGAACCTCCAGGACTTCCAGGACAAGACTTGAGGTATCCAGTATATGTCGGAACGCCCGACTTGCGGAAGTGACCTGGTGAGTACATAATCACCACTCGGGAATGGACAATCGGACACTTTGAAGAACCCGAACAGGTACGAGCTTCGAAACGCTGGTGCCATTTTGACAGCTCAGTGAACTTTCGAACTCATGAATCGAGGTCACCCTCATACATGATCGTCATCATTCACGTACCACAGTGGAAATATTCATTACACGGTGAAAAGCAGTTTTATTCATATGAACTCCTTTTTGTGACTGCCGTGTCAATCATGCCATCCCTATGCCATCCCTTGTGATACTCTTAGATCTCAGCTTCGCACTGCTCGGCACTTTGAGATCCCAATACAGCTTATGCAAACCGTCAGGCACGAGGTATCCGATTCTGTTTGCTAGAAAGCCTGGATAATTTATGCAACCAGCTCAACGACACCACCAGCTTCGGTGATCTTCTTCTCCGCAAGCTTAGAGACCCATCGTGCGCGCACAACGATGGGGACTTGGGGAAGGCGGCCCTTGCCGAGAACCTTGGAGTAGCCGAGAGGGAGGAGGTCGATGACGGGAACGGTGTCCTTCTTCTCGCCCTTCAGGTAGGCATCGCGAGTCTCCTCGGGGACGAGAGACCAGAGCTATTGTAATTGTCAGTTATAAACTCGTACTATCATGTCCAAGCTATGCTTGTCGAGGGGACGCACCTTGTCCAAGTTGACGACGGGCTTCCAGAATGGGTTCTGTTGCTTGTGGAAGAAGCGCATACCACTATCATAACAAATCAGTGATCCTGTACGACGAATGTCCTGTGGTAATATAGAAGTTCTGGGTTATGGTCCGCGAACAAAGTGCCCAATGCCAACCAGGCTCAATTGGGCGATCTTTGTACTAGACAGACCGGAGAGGAAAGATGAAATAAGGATCTGAAGGCTGCATACACTTTACCGAAGTAACCGGGATGGTACTTGTCCATGTTGGTACGGTGGTGGTGCTGACCACCGGCCTATGACGATTGACTATAATCAGTTTTGTCTTAGCGTAGGAGGAATATAGACTAGACGCACCAAACCACGACCACCAGGATGCTTGCGGTGCTTGCCTACGCGACCCTTGCCTGCGGAGACATGGCCACGGCTTGAAACTCATGTCAGCATCCATTGCAAAATTCTTGATGCGCCCAGACAACATGTATCATGGGTATTTTTCCCTGTCCACCATCGTCCCTTCCTCGTCGCGCACTTGGCTTGGTTGCATGTCTTCGTTCGATTGATGTCAGCCGCGCAAACTTTGTGACCCTCCTCTTGCGTTCGCAAGCTTGTTGTGCGTGCTTCCTTCAATGAAGATTGACATGATCCAGCCGGCGCTACGAGAGCAGGAACGATCGATGAATGGGCCTCAGAGGTAGCCTCTCCATTAGGAAATGAGAACCACCTACTGTTTGCGCGTCTATAGTCAACGTTAGCAGTTTATCAAATCATTCAGCCAGCTATTTGAGGAGCGTACCTTGCTGAGTCTGGTCGGCATGATGGCGGCTGGTGAACTGGTTGATGTGTAGTTGATGATTCTGCAATCAATTCACGGGTTCGCACTTTTGTGTGGGGTGGGGAAAAAACTTGTCAGTGTGGAACAGGAGTTTTCGCACTAACACAACCGAGAAGGGCTTCGGGTGATAGCGTGGCTTGAGCATGGATTCTCAAACTGGGTCTGAAAGTATGGCCACACATGGCAGGCACATCAGCCACATTAACAATGAACCACTTCAATTCAAATGTGCAACCAACCGACCGCAACTTTGATTGCCAGCCAACACGATCGATGAGATTGTAAGGCCTTTCGCGCTCATAGTCACGCATATCCGGAGCCTCGATCCTCACAGAACGCAATAAATTGAACGGCCAAGGCAAGGGCACATCCAGAGTAAGACGGTTTCATTGTCTGCCTTTGAGTCTATTTTGTACTAGACCTCCCTGTGCTCTTGTTGCCCTTCCGTTTTCCACAACTTCCAGTTGACAGTGACAAAGGTTCAGAATCGCATCTTATTTTCTTCTAAATCTATTCCTGTCAAGGTATCCGAATTATGACCTTGACGAAGTCTGACTTTCCCTTTCATGGTCGATTCAAGTGAACCGCATGCATCGTTGGTGCACCTCTACTCGAAGCAACTGTTATGAGACATGAAGTTCATGACCGGGCCTGTTGTGCAGTACTTGTGACGCATGGGCGAGGACTGCGAAAATTATCACAGGTTTCCACGTACAAAAATGGCCGAAGGCACCGAAAGGTCTGGGCCAACGAGTCTAGATCAAGTTGCAGATGGCATTCAGAAGATTGACTTTCACCACCCATACACGCCCTACGATGTGCAAGAGCAATTCATGGGGACAGTCTACGGTGTTCTAGAGAAAGGCAACAGCCAAGTAGGGATACTTGAAAGTCCAACCGGCACAGTAGGCCCAGCACTTGACCACTGCTTACTCGTGGCTGACTTTAGCAGGGCAAATCTCTTTCTCTGATATGCGCGGCTGTGACGTGGCTGCGAAACCACAAAAAGGCTAGCTTAGAGTATTCAATAACCGATGCTGCAAAGAACATCAAAGATGAGCCAGATTGGATTATCAATCAGATGCTCAAGAGCAAGAGGGAAGAACTTGTGAAGACATGGCAGGAAAGAGAAGCTCGACTGGAACAAATCCGTGCTAAGGAGAAGGCCCTTGAAATGCGTGGTATTAAGCGGCGGAAGCTTGACAACAGCATCAAAGGCAGTGCTTCTGACAGTCTGGGTGAAGATGAATGGCTGCTCGATGATCGAGATGACGACAGGCCGGAAAGTGATGGGGGTCTAGGCTATAGTAGAGAGACAAGGGCTTTGATGGAGAAGCTCGGGATGGGAGGGATCAAAGCCCAGGACGATGCCAATGAGTCAGGACACCAGGAAATCAAGGTGTGCTCCCCAGATAACTCGCCGAGTGAGTGAATGGCATGTTGATTTCAAATGCAGATATACTATACCTCGAGGACACATTCGCAGTTGACACAATTCATCTCAGAATTGCGACGACCGGCCTTCCCACCGTCAATACCAGACTCTCTGCTTTCTGGAGACGCCGCATCTGACCCCGAAGCGATCAAGCATCTGCCCCTTTCGTCCCGTCAACGCCTCTGCATCAACCCAGCTGTCTCCAAGCTCGGATCTCTGTCGGCAATAAACGACAGATGTTCCGAGTTGCAGCAGCCCAGGTCGAAGAGCAAATGCCAATTCGTGCCAAATGCCGAAAACTTGGCTCAAACACACCAGTTCCGAGATGGTGCTCTGGCGACGCTCCCCGATATTGAGGACTTGTTTGAACTGGGCAAGAAACTCTCGGTGTGTCCTTACTATGCCTCGAGAACTGCCATTGCTGGTGCCGAGATCGTCACACTTCCCTATCCGCTGCTCTTGCAGAAGACTGCTAGAGATGCACTGGGCATCAAGCTGGAGGGGAATGTGGTCATCATTGACGAAGCCCACAATATCATGGATGCTGTGGCGAATGTGCATGCCGCAGAGATAGGTCTCGGTGAACTGAAGCGTGGAAGGCAGATGCTTGGAGTATATGTCAAGAGGTTTGGCAAGAAGTTAAAGGGCGAGAATCGCATCATGGTAGCTCAGGTAGCCAGGGTTGTTGATGGGCTGAGTGAATGGTTGGAGGGAGCGCTGAAGCAGAAGGTTCGCCCCTTTCAAACCCCCTGTGCATGAAGTCAACTACTGATTTACCATAGGCCGATCAAGGAATTGTCGACTCGAATGCTTTGCTCAGGACTAAAGGGATTGATCAAATTAATCTTTACAAACTAATCCAATACATCCAGGACTCCAAGCTAACCTACAAGATTGAGGGGTACGCAACGCACGTTGAAGAGGGTGCAGGCAGCGGCACGACACACCCAGTGTCCTCAACTCCGGTACTTCACACCCTTCTATCTTTTATCGTTACTCTCACGAACCTGAGTTCGGAAGGCCGCATCTTCTACCACAAGACTAGCGGCAAAGATCAAAATCTTGACATCAAGCTCTCCTACCTCCTCCTCTCACCAACCCACGCTTTCTCATCCATTACATCATCTGCCCACGCGGTTATTCTGGCAGGCGGCACCATGTCGCCATTCGAGGACTACACCGCCCACTTGTTTCCAAACCTGCCAAAAAGCAAGGTCACGACGCTGAGCTGCGGGCACGTCATTCCCAGCTCCAGTCTATGCGTATGGACCCTCACTTCGAACAGGCCCAAAAGCATCGAGTATGAATTCAGCTTCCAAAAGCGAAGTGACCGGTCCATGATCCATGAGCTTGGGCTTGCCATCCTGAATGTGTGCGGCGCCGTGCCAGACGGCGTTGTCGTGTTTTTCCCAAGCTACGGGTATCTAGACGAGGTTGTCGCTGCTTGGTCTGCTCTAGACCCGCAACAACCAGCTTCGATCTGGGACCGCCTCCAGGGCAAGAAGTCGGTGTTCAGGGAGACGAAAGGTGGATCTAGTGATGAGACGCTGAAGCAGTACAGCGAGGCTATTCTTGGCGATGGAGACTCGGGAAAGTCGACACCCCCGGTCAAGCTAGGAGTGAAAGCCGCAACAACCAAGGGAGCACTATTACTCAGTGTAGTGGGTGGGAAGATGAGCGAGGGCATCAACTTCTCGGACCGTCTAGGTCGATGCGTCATCATCGTGGGGCTACCTTATCCCAACATTAACTCACCGGACTGGAAAGCCAGAATTGAGTATATCGAATCGACCACTATGTCGCGTCTCACTGCTCCGGTGAACGACGATGCCTCGGCTCAACCTGCATTGTCGAGATCAGAGGCGGTATCCCTGGCGAAGCAGGCATCTCGCGACTTTTACGAAAATGCCTGCATGCGCGCTGTGAATCAAAGTATTGGGCGTGCGATTAGGCACAAGGGCGACTATGCGGCCATTGTGCTGGTGGATAGGCGATTCGGGAATGAGAGAATTAGGTGGAAGTTGCCAGGTTGGATTCGAGGGGGCGTGGTGGAAGGGAGCGAGAAGCAGGGGTTGGGCCAGTTGATGGGTAAGATGAGTGGTTTCTTTAGGGGTAAAGGGGAAGTATGAGGATGCGCTTCACGGCGTGTATATCCTTATACTACTGAGGCTTGGTTACGTTGATAACCTTGGACGAGCTCCTCTCTTTACAGCAATACAAACCGCTGTGCTAAGAGCCGAGGACGAGGGTCGCTGTCTTGAAGTCCCATGCGATCTAGCATCGCCTGAACCCATTCAGATTGAAACCAGCAGTGTTTCTAGAAGAAAACCACGTTGTATATTGCCTGTCCGTGCTTGAAAGCGTGTATTAACCCTTATCAAGCATCAGGCTAGTTGAAGCTTGTCCGACGGGGATGCGGAACCCTACGGGGAAGTGGTTGCCGTGATGAAACTGATTGGGCCTAATGAATTCAACCCCCGGTGCGACATCATGAATCCCGCAAAGCTGCACCTCACGTCTGACAACATTTAATGCATTGCTTTCCATAACACGAAGCCGGGTCGTCAAAAGGAAGTTTGTCATTCCCTAGATTTCCCAAGTTTGAAACGGCTTGGTTGGGGAAGTGCAAGCTCGATTTTCATTCGTCTTCGTTGCTTGCCGGAGACTGAAGTGGAGACATCGTCGAGCACATCAACCTGGATATCGCACACTATGTTCACTTGCACCACCCTGCCTCGCCTCCGGTCCTGCGCCAGCATACGCGTAACCTGTCGTGTAAGTACTTGCAGTACCAGAACCAGCATCCCGCCTCGCCTCTACAGCACACGCACCATCCCGGAAGCCAAACGACATGACGCGACTAGGCCTTCGCTTCAAGCCACCAGCCCAAGCTACCTGGCTATCGTCGCAGGAGTAGGCGCATTCATCGGGGCTGGCTACGCTACTTTCTGGCTCGCCGACACTGACGCCCAGGAAGTACCGCTTCTCACAAGCGCTCAGGATGCACCTACGAATAAGCTCGCCGTCAAGCCCGGCCCGGACGAGGCCGAGGTCTCGCGCATCTTAAACCAAGACAAAGGGGCGTACACCCGGCGCGGGGCCAACGGTTCGGGCTTCGAGCAGTATGATGGCGTACGCATCGCATCTAATGGCCCAACCGAGGACTTTTTCGTGCACGGCATGTTTCCTTCGCCGCTCGCGGGCGGTGGAGGAGGCAATTGGATGGCGTGGGGTGTATTTGATGGGCATGCGGGGTCGCAGACGGCGGAGCATTTGACGAAGCAGCTTCTGCCGTTCGTAAGGCATTCATTACAAGATGTCACCCGATCGATTAGTCCTAGGGTCCAAGAATCAGAGAATGCACCAGTGGAGGCCGTTCAGTCGGCCATCAAGAACGCGTTTGTCGCACTGGACGATGCCATCATCAATGGCGCCATCGAGGCCGTGCGAAATGACGAGTCGTACCAGGATAAGGTCATGAAACTTGCAATCGGTTACGCCGGCTCATGCGCCCTGCTCTCGTTGTTCGACCCCGACACGAAAACCCTCCACGTTGCATGCGCAGGCGACTCCCGAGCTGTGCTGGGGCGGAAAGGGGCCGATGGAACATGGGAGACCGTCCCGCTCTCTGTCGACCAGACTGGAGCGAATGAAGCCGAGATCGCACGCATCAACGCCGAACACCCCGGGGAGGAGGGTATCTGCAAAAACGGCCGAATGCTCGGACTCATGGTGACGCGGGCTCTGGGAGACGGGCGTTGGAAGTGGACTAATGAGTTCCAGAAGGAAGTTACGAGCGCGTATAATGCACCTGCTCTCAACGCCAAGTATCCGATCAAGACACCGCCATATCTTATCGCTGAGCCGGTTGTCACGTCAACCAAGATCAATACCGAGCAGCCAACCTTCCTCATCATGGCTTCGGATGGGCTGTGGGACCGATTGTCTAGTGAGCAGGCAGTTGGGTTGATTATCCAGTGGTTAGACTGGAGGGCAAAGGGGAAGCCCCTGTCCCAAGGACCGGAGAAACAATATGCTCCGTTCGACTTGCAGAGGTATAGCTGGGAGACGGAGAATCCGATCAAGTTTAGGGAAGAGAGGACTACGATACAAGACGACAATGCGGCGGTTCACCTGGTGAGAAATGCACTGGGTGGTAATAACCATGAGATGGTTGCTGGAACACTGGTGTTTGGTCCGCCGTTTAGCAGATATGTCCGTGACGACATTACGGTACAGGTTGTTATTTTCAAGAGTCAATGAATGGGAGCTGGAGTTTCCGACAAGACGTTCTCTCAAGTTAGCTGTTTGTTCGTATTGGCGTTTGTGGCATGGTCTTCTGCATTGACATTGACGACCTCGGTGGCTTAGATGGAGATAGTTTGGTACGGTCCAACGGTAGATGATATTTACTTCTCAAGCTTCAGAATAGGCCGAGAGAGCTGGACAGTACAAGTATTTCCATTGAACCAGGTGAACGGCCGAGTGCTGGATTCTTACTCCCTGTCTAGCACTCAGACTTTGACGAGGTTACTTGAGACCAATGGCGCAAAGGTGAGGACGACATTTGACGTGCAGTCACGAATCAAATCTGGTAACAACACAGACACTTTAGAAATGCAAAATTCATACTCGGCATGAATGACGACAATAGGATATAATACTTCCTTAGATATCCTTTGAAGAAAACGCGTTTATCGATATGTAGGTAAGCAAACTGCGATGTACGATTTAGATATACACTATCGCTCCCAACACCAATAGCTATGGCCACAGAGAGGTCAAAAATTCAGAATCAAACAAGATTCATGATAGGCATATTGCACCTCGGTATATGCGTTTTTAATCACCTCGGGGCTTCTTTCGAGTTATGCCGTTCCCAGAATATCATTGAGAGCAAGACTACCGACCACGTCGATCCGAAGAGCAGCATTGGCTTGAGCCGCCTAAAATGATAGACTGTAGATTTCATATCTTGGATTATTTGGGATTAATCACAACTTTCAATGTAACAGACAGCCTGCATGAATGCGGCGAATGACCCCCAAATCATCGATGCCGAAGTGGGGCCCAGGCTGTAGTTTCAGGCGCTCAGGGTGGGGGCGCACCTTCCGCATTTGTGACGCAAACACTGCAGGCAACTTCAACAACTCATTCCAGGAAACACACCAGGACCTTACACCACTACCGAAATTTTACAGGAGTTCAGCGTCCACTGCCCAACTATCAACAATAAAGTCACGCTGCTATTTCTGTTAAATTCTGCACCATGGTGTTTGTCACAGAAGTAGTCATCTTCGCAATGGAGCCCGGCGCCGATCTAGCGCCCCTCGAACCAATGCGGAAGACCCTCCTAGAGCAACCGGGCTGCCGCCGAGTGCGCTACTCCAAGCAACATGAAGACGCCGCTAAACTCGTCCTCTTTGTCGACTGGGAGGATGTCTCATCCCACGAGCTCTTCGTGCAAAGCCCGGGTTACGGTTCTTTCCTGGCCAACATCGCCCCTCTAATCACCGCACCTCCGGCACCTTACCACGTGCCCTTTGACCCGTCCCCGCCCACGGTCCTGGACAACTTCGTCTCCATTGCCTCGACCAGCGCGGCGGGCAAGTCGGCCGTTGCCGAAGTGGCACACGCGTATTTCCCCACGGGAGACGAGTTTACCCTGCAGATGCAGCAGGACGCGTTGATTGCTGTGCAGCAGTTTATTGATGAGACGAAGGAAGCACTTGTGGCGACGGGGGGGAGTGGGGAGTGCGCGCATGGGTTTGCGCTCGAGGAGGTGGAGTGGAAGGGTGAGATGTGTCGTGCGCTGGTCTTAGTGTTAGGATGGGAGAGCATTGAGGCGCATATGGCGTTTCGCAAAACTGAGGTGTTTAAGGAGAAGGTTGGGTTGTTGAGGGGGATGGCGGGGTCTAAGGGGATGACGGTTTGGCATGTTAAGAATGAGGTGTTTGTGAAGTAAGTTGGGGCTGCAGGCTGCTTAGGCGTAGAATCCAAATCCCATTATACAGTACGACAATATGTCACGGGCGTCGGTTCCTTATTTTCCCCAGCCTCTTCAATTGCATGTAATTCATTCTGCCTGCAAACCATGTTGACTCTGGAAGCATTCTAAGCGCTTTTTCCGCGTTCGGGCATCATGATATTCCGCAGTTGAGATTGGCTTGCTGCGACAGATGATTAGACCGTCTGTCGCAGGGCCAATTAATTACCCACACAATGCTACAAAAACGTTCAAAGACAAACATATCCGCCATGGTGTTGTTGATATGGGCAAGTCTGTCCCATAGACCATGGACCACCTCGAGCGCCTTTTATACACCCTCGAATTCTTTGACATGAGGAGAAAACAGCAAGCCATATGACCTGCGTTGCTGGGCTGTTAACTATTTCTCAAGAACAAAGAACTCGAGGTTGTATAAAAGGCGCTCGAGGTGGCCAATAATCCATGGGACGGACTTACCCATATCAGCAACAACAAACTGGAAGCTATCATCCCCTTCCACCGCTTGGGCGACCTCAATCAAGTGGGCCACAGCTATAACTAACGCTACTAGCCCTCCTACAAGCTACCCTAGCTTCGCGTTACCATAATAACACCTTATATGAAGTAATTTGGGCATTTTTAATTCATATTATCCAAGTAGCAGAATTAAGGGACATTAGACACTGTACTGTTCTGAGCGTATAGATATTCCTACTTGAAGTCATAGCGTATTAAAGGCTACTTAGGCTTTAGTATCTAGAAATCCAATTTACTCTAGTACGGTCCGCGCCCCACTTACATTACATGAAGCCCTTCACGACTAGATGTATCGGAGTTCGATAGACTTTCAAACTCAAGTAAATAAAAAAAAGAAAACCTGGCTATACGGTTTGTATTTGCAAATATATAGGCGAGGTATGTTTGATTTGCTTGCTTTGATTTGCTTTATGTCGTTCGCTGGGTCTGTGAGGGCTAAGGAAAGGGATTGTACGAGTTTTCTTATTGACTAGGTAACTAGCTAGCGACACCACTAACTCAGTCAAACCATGCCAATCTTAATAGAAATGCTTGACAAACATGATGGCCAACGGCCACCATGTCGAGGATCAAAGTCGACGTACAAAGCGAAAACAGTCGGCGTTGGTGCGCCACCGAGTACTTTTCGACGAATGCAGCATAATCTTGAACCGTAATGGCTTAAGTGATGTCTCAATATCAGGGTTACTGCTATGTTGGGCCTGAGTCATCTGATACAATGGTATTGGCTTGATGCGGCATCCACGATTGCCAAAGAAAGGTCCAGTATATAAAAGAGTTCAAGCTAGTATCTAAAGCGAACCCTTGTATCCTACGAAAACATTATTACCGATAGTAAAGAACAGGAATAATATAACAAGCCTGAGAAGCATATTTTTAGCTGAGAGGTGTTGGACCAAATTGACCGTCAAAAGACGAGGGACCCACTCGTTGTAGAATGAGGTATTTTTGGTAGTTATAAGGTCTGACACACCCCCTCAGCTTGGAGAGATATCGTCAAGTTGTGTAGCATCTGGCTTATGTCGTTGGTTGGCTTCGTTGGCCGTCGTACATCTTTTCATCTACGGTGTCTGCAGGGCCTTGAACATCTTTTTTATTGTCCGCCCCTCTACCTTGAGTATGAATTCTGTAATAAAACTCTTATTTTTTGACGCGGTTTGGCTATGTCTCGAACCATTGCCGATGATCTTATGCGGAATTAGAGGACTGATAATACCCGAGAAAATCTTGCAGTCTTAAGACGCAAACCCGGGCTCATAACTGTTGGACCAAATTGACCGTCAAAAGACGAGGGACCCACTCGTTGTAGAATGAGGTATTTTTGGTAGTTATCAGGTCTGACAATAGGCTCCTGATAGCTTGTCTGCTATAATATGGCAGGCACGGGGAAAAGAAAAAAAATAAAAACGAAAATATAAGACGACACGATGCGGAAGAGGAACAAAAAGCTGAGACGTCCGATTAGCTTCTATAATTATATATGTGGGGAGACAGATCTTGTAAAATACCACGCAATTAGCTAAGACAATGGTCCAGAACATTCAGACTTCAGGTTTACGATAAGCTGGGTTTCTATCGGTACATTGGAACTTAGAGTTTTAGAGAGTTGAGGTACGTGCATTTATTATTCTATACAGCGTACACATTTATTGGGGAAGTAGTAGCAGTTTGGTGCAGATTACTAGTATTCGGAAGTACCGTCAAGAATGACATATAGCTGAAAAATGACAGATACACGTCCTAGACCCACTGCTAACGCAATGGCAAAAGCGTTTCGCCTGGCGGTGGATACGGACAGCTCAGAATGATCGCTGAGCCGTGTACGAAGCATCAGATTACTGGACGATATACCGAATATCGCTCGCACGAAATTGAGTACTCGCTAACTCAGCTGCATAAACGCGCTACTTAATTTGATCTGGGATATCAAGGGGTTGTGGACATTGTGGTTGTCGTATGATGCAGGGGGTTGGTTTCCAATGCTTTGTCCTCGCGGGGCTACCATGGAGGCAGGTTCGCAGAGCAATATTAGAACACGATATCAACAAGGACGGGAGTCTTAAGCACCTGAGGGTTTGTCTCACTGAGAAGACTCAAAACTCACTGTACAACATACTTGTTGGTTCCAGCAACCTCAAGACTTTGCAGTACACATATTCCATGACGGATAAGGAATGAACAGACTCGACAAAGCGCCCGTTGTCTGCCATGAAGAGTATGAAAGACGTTCTCTGTCAATGCACCAACAACTTGGTTTCGCTTGACTTGGATACAGTTAGCTGCACGTTCCATAATGAGGGTCTTAACACAGCATTGGGGAACGATTAACAATTGGCTACTTGTCTCCCGTATCTCAAGAGTCTCCAACACCTTACCATAGACATCAGGTGAATTTTCGGCAACACTTTTATCCAGAATCAACAACAACTCGAGACATCTTGCTGAGACGGGTTTACAATTTACCGAGAGGGTTGGTCGACGTGGAGATTGTTACAGACCGTACCATGTATGACCTAGAATTTTTCAAGACTGACATCTAACGCGAGAGTATGCATATTTATGGCTGCTGTCTATAGCCAAGGAGTTCTAAGCAGATCATAAGTCCTAGCTCTAAAAGCTTCAGAAGGTGGTTGTCCGTGTTCCTTTGCTATTTCATGAAGGGAATAGACATGACTTGGTTGATACAATACCAAGTCTAACTTGTGGCTTCAGGAATTCTGGCGCTTTCTTCCGATGGCATTGGTATCGGCCAGTATGGTTGCAAATAGCATTAATTCGAAGTAATCTCCGAGGAATTTAAAATATCAAGTGAGCGGACTTGGCCAAAATGTGGCCTGTAATTCAAGGGATATCTAGTGCCTCCTGACTACGGATTCAGAGGTGATATACACAGTAAACCGGAGCTCCGTACATTACGTCATATATCATCATTGGGGCCAGAGAAGGAGTCAACCGGCGCAACAGCTTGATAAAAATGGGAAAGAAGAAAATAATGGTCAATTGCCTTTTACTATCCGACGATGAGCAGGGCATTGGTTAATCGCTGAGGTAAATCAATTTAGAGCGAGAGATATCAGGCCTCCTGGACAGCGCGGCTCCTATTAGAGAAGGCTTTCTTGACGCCACGCTGGTGAAGATGGGAATACACACCAAAGGAAAGGAAATATTTGATATTATGCGCTAGCCAAGTCTACTGACTGTCATGCTATAGACGTGGCTTATACAACCATGCATTTTCAGAGCTGAAGCATTGCTTGGTATTGCATACCGTTCCGCTGCGGGAAATAGATCATACTCGGACCATATTCTGTTTCCTGGCACACCAAAAGGCCTATCAAGGCGCGAGTGCAACACCGATTAGATACCCGCGGATTAGCATAAAAGAAAGCGGCATCTAATTAGGAATCGGAATGCGGGTCTCGCCGGTTCGAAAATGACCTCGCTCTCGCATCCCGCGCGGAGCTTCGAGTTCCTTGGGCACACACACACACACACAGACAAATTTCGCTTTCCCGCTCAACGGAAACTCACCTCGGAATTTTAGAGTGTGCTACGGGTCCGTTCTTCAAACATCGGATGCTTGAGCCCCTTGATGTTACAATAGGCGAAAGGCGGACACGGCCGAGACCCTAGGGAGACAGCGAGTCATCTTCATTGCCAAATCCAACGTGTTTCCAACATTGTGGTTATGTGCTTGGCAGGTTGGCTGGGCGTGAAATGATCAGGTTTCGTGTATGGTTAGAATCGAGTCGACAGTAGGAAGCCAAGAACTTAACGTAGTGTCCCGGATGAATGAAAGACTGGTATCCCGGCTGCGATCATCCACAATACGCTGCTGATGTTCGAAGCTGACAGCGCCCACCCAAGCATCAAGAATGCCGACGTTTGATGCGACCAAAGAACGATGTAATTTCCGCAGCAGCCTCAAAGACCAGCAAAATTAATACTGAAAGACGACCAATCTTTTGACAGAATCACTATGCATAGATCGTCTAGATCCAGACGTCGATGCTTCTCGTGATGCTCGCCGACACTAAAGCGGGATTTACGTCACGGAGGTCTAGATCAACTGTTGATACTTCTAGGCTTGGTTATTTACATCGTGCCGTGGCCTTTTCTCACTATCAGATAACTTGAGGCATGGTCACCGTCAGGGTTGCCCGAGGGCATAATATCCGACACCGTCGCCGTCATATGCCTTGTCCGGATAGAGTCCAGACCACGACATTAAATACAGTTGCAGAGCATGATGGGACGTACAGTTCGTTATAAGCTTCAGGAAGGAAGAGCTCCGGGGAGGCTAGACTCACCAAAAGATTTTCCAGACCGATGGCCGCAAATAGTAATTTGTCTAGCTTCCCCGGCGTGGGGAGCATCCCGCAACTCTGGTGGGCTAGCCGCCAGTCAGACAAACGTGATAGTCAATCAATAGGACGGAACTTCGGCGAGGCCCACGGAAGAGTGGGAGAATGCTCCCATGCAATGAACTATATTGGTTGCGATGGGAAGTTTTACAAGGTCTAGCCTTGCCTCTAAAGCTACTATGTTCGGGTACTGCTTGCAGGCTGGTCGATTTAAGCTTCTATAATTTCCCCTGGCTTGTTTCCAATTCCAACTCTCAGCCCCAGCTCGGCGAACAACTCCACATCGAGTCAAGCGCGACCCACTCAACTTGTTATCTGGGATGCTTTGTTCGATTTGGGCAAATCGATCATGCGATGGACTTGGGCAGTTCAACCGGCGGCGCTAGCACATTGTCAGACGGGATGACAACTCTAAATATCTAGGCACCTCTCCCATCGCAGGTCATCAAGCAGATTGGACGAGGAGCCCGCCGAGGTGGTTTCCCAGGCACATCCAATCGCAATGAGCTATTGTCGAGGATTTGGTATCATCTTATGTCTTCAGACAACTTAGCCTTTTGTTGCTACCTTGAAGCCCCTGCATATCACCGTTCGGGCTCGTCGGGCGGTGTCTTGACCTGACGGGTCTGGACCTCGGAGAATCGCCGATGAAGTGTCAAGATAACTGACAGAGAGTTTTCAGATTTTCAGGTTTGAACTGCTCTGATGATTTTATAAGTAAGTCTTTTGCCTCGACGTTGACTGAATAGTTTTACCGTCTTATTATCATCAACAATCATCAGCCGAAGTTCACTCAGTACTTTCATAAATATCTCGCCGTCACTGCGTGAACTCATCTACATCACTGCATTCCATAATATCGTCGAAGTAACATCTCACATCTTCAATATGAAGTACTCATCACTCATCACCCTCCTCAGCCTTTCGGCAGCAACTGTAATGGCTCTTCCCAGTCCTGTACGGCCGGTCGCTCCCCGCGCCGAATCTGACAGCTGTGCCCCTAAATCGATCACCAACTCCAACACTTGCGTTGCGGCCCAGAAGCTAGCGGACGGAATCGACGAGAATATAGCAGTGCAAAAGCAGGAGCAATCCGATGTAGCAGCAATCAAGAAAATCGTTGGCACCTCCAATATCGACCAAGCCAAATTCCAGTCAGTCAAGGAGAAGCTTCTCCGCACTGTGAACAAAGGCATATCCGTAAGGGAAAGCAACCAGAAGATGGCGCCGCCGGGGAATAACGCGATTACGGGGTTAAGAACCGTAAGTACATTGGAAAATGGTCGATATAGACGCCAGTGGTAGAAGTATGACACTAATCCACTTCGCAGGTTGCCAACGCCCAAAAGAAAGAGTTATCCCAAGCAGAAAGCTTGGAAGGCACAGCGTCAGACTTGGATATCATATCAAATTTACAAACTGAATTTTCCGGAGGAATTGAACAGAACAAGAAGAATAAAGAAGCGGTATGTATTCCAACTTATAGTCTAGCCCTGCTCTTGACTAATTCGAATCCTCAGGCATTAGATTGTTGCACGTAGACCTGGGGTCACCAGTTTCTTGAGCATGCGTCATACACTATTTATTATACCAGAGCGTTAATGTGGGTTTCTCAGAGGAAATTTTCTCTGCACATACGTGAGACGGAAATGTGGATGCTATTCCACAGCCGTCGTCACGGTATTAATAATTATGAATTAAGATTATTTAAACACTGTTCGAACCCTTCGTAGTGACAAAATTTCTACAAATGTGCTTCTATTCATAACCTCTCATAACCGCGATGTCTGAAATTGCACTAGCCACGCCACCAGGTATGTGTGCGTTATCAGCGCCACGAGGGGAATATACTGGCGACCACAAAAACCAAACCGCGTTTGCAATACTGATTTTACGGCCCTTGTTGCGTCATTCAACACATTCGCAAGTTTAACTAATGCCCAGCTAGCGTGTTGCATCGTTAGTGGATTCGCTACGAATGTACATTACGACGGGAAAACGGCAGTCTGCATCTCGTCGGCAATCTGAACGTATGGCGACCAGGTTTTATTTTTCTGGGTTAAGTTCAATGGTCGATAAGGAGACCACGAGCCACCATGCAGCGGTTTTCAGAGACTATGAAGACCTGAATATAAAAGTGAAGCAATTAGTTAGATAGTCTATTAGTGATTCCGGGTACAACATACCAGCTGGGAAGATACCGTCGGACGGCATAGTAAAACCCCGCACCTGACCGATTGAGCATACAGGACCAACAAAAAACACAAAAAACAAATACAACATCTTCTTTTGCTTGAGCTTATAAATTTACATATATTTATACGCATTGTACTGTCACATGCCCGCCAGTTTGAAGCTGTTATATCTTTCGCGGCAATATGTTGCGCTCTGATCTGCCGGCATTCTGGTTACATTATTAGTTGGGTTGTGCAAGTACGGAAATGGCGCGGGCATACCACTAACTACGTCCGCGTGCCTACACTAGGCACCCGAGGCCTCAAAATTTCCTCACCAACTCGTGATACCTTTCTTGCCTATCACCAGCCAATGTCAAATACTTTCCATTCCTTTCTTACAAACTCCAGACCCAACCGAGCTAAGGCAGAACTCGATCCCTTCGTTTCCCCGCAGCCCTCAAAATCGACCACTACGATGCGGCTGTCAGACCTTATAACTACCAAAATACCTCATTCTACAGCGAGTGGGTCCCTCGTCTTTTGACGGTCAATTTGGTCCAACAGCGGCACCATCGATGAGAATCAAGTTTCGGGCCTCTTACGCACTAACAGATGCCATTTCACCGGTCATACGTGAGTAGACACTATACTATTCGGCCTTCATTCTTGTTTGTATGTCATCCTTAACGATATCCACTGTTGCGGTACCAATGGAACGGCCATGTTCAGCTTGTTCACCTGACGTCAATGTTAGCAAAAACATTTTTTTTCCCACTCAGCTATGTATCACAGACACCTGCCAAGTAACTGCTGTCATCAATTAACCCTCTTTTAGTCTGTCCATGCGTAATTACACCCTTGCGCCCTGAAAAGAAGCGATTTTCAAATAAGCATGCATCTGGCTTGAATTTATCATAAATGTTCAACAAATTGAAGATCCTGGACGAAATTTGGACGTAACTCTCATTAGGCATGTCACTTGGATAGCAGGCTATTGATTCCAACCACCAGCCCGTCCGGTGGTGAACACCGAAGCAAGAAAATGAGAAATGAAAAACACTAAGCTGACAGGTACTGCAAGAAACGTATGGGCTGACGAGACTCATTCTTGTGTGACTTTCCTATTTCAACGGAACATGATGTATTCACTGAGCACCGGCACGGCAGGAGAGCCGATGCCACCCGGAGTGCATGACGTTTTGGCCGGACCTGGCCGGACGAGTGACGGGGCTGGCGGGACTTAAAAGTGAGAACAGGGCAGATCCCTTGCCGAATCCGGGTCGATGGATGACCGGATTTCGTGCAGTGCAGCTTAGAACGCCAGTAAAGGATCAACAACCTTAACCCAAGACATGACGGATGATCACTTACCATCGAGTTGGGTAGGTGGGTTTTCCCGGCCGATACGCTAATTTTCGGCTCTTTGTGTGAAACAAGTCAGCAGTTTCCATAATGCACACACCAAGTGAAACATTTTGGACCATTGTGTTGACATAAAATAAACTGATTGGGTATCTTTACTCTATTGTCCAATGGTCAACGCCAAGCCGGATCATCCCCAACGCTGACCACCGTCGAAGGATGACTTATTCTCTTTTTATTTGCTAAGCTGCCATGTCAGCCTGTGCCACACCCACGGACGACGAGCCAAACGAACGCACTCAAATTCTTGAACACTGCCGTTCTCGTGGTCAGAGAAAAGCGGCTCATTCGTCTTATATGCAAGCCGTTATTCCCCACTAAATAAGAATCACAGGTTCTCCGTCGACCACATGGTAGCGTAGGAATGACATGTTGGAAGTTTCTTGGAGGGGGAGAGGCAGGCCAATAACCTGGTTGGCCTTGAGCTTGTTGGCTAGCGTCGACTTGTTCTACCAAAGGAGACTAAAAAATGTAATTAGAGCCATGGTACTAACGCAGCTCAAAAACGTGTTCCCCAGTGCAGGAACTACCTGCACACACACGAAATTGGGCATAGAGGTCAGGAGAACTTGGAGTTTAGGTAAAGATGGGATCAGAGACAACGCATTGATCATCTTCCAACGCAATGCTCAGCCCTGCTGATGCAGCCCTTCTTATCCTATGTACCGGGACCGCTGCGGTGTCACCACCTCGGTGACGATGAGGTTGAGTTCAGAAGGAGTGTAGTTAAGCATGCAGGATTCGAGAGGTCGGCTCGACAGTGAAGCGAGTATAAGTAAAAGTGTTGTGGCCGCGGAAGTCTTTGAAATCCTCATCGCAGCTGTCTAAGATTCGTTTTCTCGAAAATTAATATAACCAGGATAGTTCTGCTTGACTCTTTAATCACGTGAAGATATTCCAGATCAGAGTGGCCAAGCATCAGTCATGGCCAATCAATCCTCCATCAGAGCAGCATTGCTGTTTCTGACCATCTACCTACCCTTTTTAGCCCTCGGCCGAAGTATACCACAGTCAGCCGCGCTCTTCAAAAGAGATATTACCACGGCCCCATTGTCCACCAGCAACATTAATTTGGGCGGTATCTCCGGCACCTACCCTCGTCTTGCCCTCCTGTCAGATAACTCTATACTCGTCGGCTACACCCAAATCAGCGGCAATCAACGAACAATTTCCGTGATTCGCAGTACTGACAATGGAGGCTCCTTCAGCCCCTGGGGCACCATCGCCACCAACACCAATGGTGGCGATCTCGACAACGTCTACCTACTTGAAGTCAGCAAGGGCAACATCCTCGCTGTCTTCCGCAACCATGACAAAAACGCCAGCGGGGCTTACACGCACTACCGCATTACCGTGTGTCAGTCCACTGACGGTGGTAAAACTTGGGCCTTCATTAGCCAGGCTGTGGAGTCGAGCATCCAGGGCCAGGGGCTCTGGGAGCCGTTCTTGAGGATTGGGAACGATGGAAAAGTTCAACTGACCTACAGCGGGGAGCTGAGTACGGATAACCAGGAGACCTTCCGGGTTGTGTCGAGTGATGGGGGAAAGGGGTGGTCGGCGGCAGTGAACCTGCGGATTCATAGTACGAGTGAGAAGCTCAGGGATGGGATGCAGGGGATTGCGAGGGCGAAGGATGCACAGGATGGAAGGGATGCGTTGATCATGGTATTTGAAACTACGAGGAGGGGTCCGGGGCTGTTCAGCGTTGAGTATGCCGTGAGTTATGATGATGGTGCGAGTTGGGGAAATAGGGATGTGGTTTATGCGCCTTCGGCAAGTACAAAAAATGCAGGTAGTCCGCAGATCGCCCAAGTTGGAGACAAGGGTCTGGTTGTAGCTTTTATGACGGATGAAGATACTGCGAGCCCGAATTGGCCGTCGCTTGCCAGCATCAAGGTTGTGGTTTCGGTGGGCTTGAATGGTGGAAAAATTGCGTGGGGTGGAAAAGCCACAGTACAAGGTGCCACGAGTGCTTGGCCAGGATTGTTGCAGTTGAGCGATAGGGTCTTCAACGTTTATGATCATGGTGGTAAAGTGGAAGGCAGCGTGTTGAACTGGCCTGGCGCATGAGCTGACGCGAAACTTGATAAGGTTGGCGTTTGGGCGAGCATTGGGACTGTTGCCTTCACGGATTTCCAGTTCACAAGACAGGTATACATATCATAATTAAGGTTTAACGGCAAATGATGAGATGTTACGAGTTACTATATCAACTTCACATCATGATGCTGGTCAATTTTATCATTTAGCAGCATGACGCAGAGAAGGAGTTGTTTTTTGAAACTCAGAGACGAAGAGAGTGATAGCATCCGATACACCGTCGTTCATAAATAAGTCTGCTATCGTTTCGCGCTCAGCTATTTGAAAGCTACGTGGGTTAAACCGCCATTTCTAGGCTTGACGAGTACGTTAGCTCGTTTAATTAAAAAGAAAAAAGAAGAAACATTTCGCCCCCTAACGAACACATTTAGTATTAGTCAAGAATGATAAATTGAGGTTACGTCGACTTATAAGTATATATAGTTGACTGGCAGTTGCAACAACGAGGTATAGACTATGTGGTTTGTATGGTCAAGATAAGAAATGCCAACACGGGAGTAATTATGACTTTGCAGACTAGCTAGCACAAGCATACGGGAGGCGGCACATCTTGCTAAGTTAAATTGATTGGCAAGTCTTTCGTGTTTTTTTTAAAAAAAACATGCTCATTCTCCTTGTTGCACGACCAGCCGATAATTCACCACCCTTGACAATCTGGCAACTCCAACATGGTCTGCCCCTGTTGATCGTATTGACCGCTGTGCACGTTGTAACGTCCCACACCCACATCCGGGACACCCCCACATATGGGACACCCAAAAATGCCTCAACACCGCTAGCCTCTAACTTCAACCTCTTTTTTCTTTACCAATATCGATTCAATCGTTACGAAATTTTACGTACGTCTTCTTTACACTAATATGAGTCAATATACCGAAGATGATATTTATCGAGCTCTTCAAGCAATAGCTACCGGTCAAAGCCTTCGAAAAGCAGCATATGAGCATGGTGTCCCAAGGTCTACTCTTTCACGACGGATTCAGGGAGCCCAGTCAAGAGATACAGCCTTCGCTGACTACCAGAGGCTCTCTTCAGCCCAGGAATCTCATCTGGCTGAATGGGTTCGAATCCAGGCCGCCCTAGGCCTCCCACCAACCCATCAACAGCTCAAAGACTTCGCCGAGCGTATCCTACAGATCCACGGAGACACCGAACCACTTGGAAAGAACTGGGTCCAGGCTTTTATCAAGAGGAACCCTTCAGTCAAGGTCCAGAGAAGCAGAGCTATCGATTCCCAGCGTATTAATGGAGCCTCAGCTAATGTGATCAGGCAATGGTTCAAATACCTCGCTATCCCTGAGATCAAAGCTATTAAGGCCTCGAATCGATACAATATGGATGAGACAGGTATTCTAGAAGGTATAGGATCAAATTATCTTGTTCTAGGATCATCTGAGACTCGTTCTATACGGAAGAAACAGCCTGGATCTCGAGCTTGGACATCTCTTATAGAGTGTATCTCTGCGACTGGTACTGCACTACCCCCACTTGTGATATACAAGGGGAAGTCTGTCCAGCAGCAGTGGTTTCCTCTGGACTTGACTCAATACGAAGCCTGGAGGTTTACAGCAACAGAGAATGGGTGGACGTCAGACTCTACGGCTATTGAGTGGCTACAAAAGATCTTTATTCCTTTGACTCAACCAGAGGACCCTGAAGAGACTAGGTTACTTATCCTAGATGGGCATAGTAGCTACGAAACGACAGAGTTTATGTACCTCTGCTTCATAAACAAGATACACTTGCCTTTCTTGCCGCCACACACATCCCACGTTCTCCAGCCTCTCGATCAGTCAGTCTTTGGACCCCTCAAGGCAGCCTATAAGAAGGAGATTGGTTACCTTGACCGATGGGATACTACTACTGTCGTAGGGAAGAGAAACTTTCTCCTCTGCTATAGAAAGGCACTTCTAGCAGCATTGACCGCTAAGAACATTATCAGTGGATGCAAATATACTGGTCTCTGGCCTTCGAGCATAGCTAGACCCCTTATGAGCCCCCTGCTCCTTGAGAATACGTCAGCACCAATCAGACAGCCTAGTCAGACTTGTAAAGGGTACTCTGATAGTAAGGGTAGTCAGGACTGGGCGTTAGAGACATCAGCAGTAGCCTGGTCAACGCCTAAGAAGAGAGATGAGCTCCAAGATCAACTCAGCTTATTCAGCAAGCTTGATAGTGATCCAAATACCCAGCGGCTACTCTTTCGGAAAGTTCAAAAGGGCTTTGATGAGAAGGACTACCAATTATCTGTCGCACAGCGAAAGATTGAGGTAATAGAGGCAGAGCTTGAGGCTAGTAGGGCTAGGAAGCGGAGGAAGGTCAAGATGAGCCCAAATTCGAAGTTTACTAATATCAAGGCTATTCGGAAGGCTCAAATCGAGGCTGGTGAAATTGAGGATAGTACAGATGAGTCTAGCGAGTCTGAAAATCCTAGTGACGGTGAAAACTGTATTGTAGTCGCATTAGAATAAGTGTAAAAAAAGGTTGAAGTTAATGGTTATAATATACAGCATCATTTTTAGGGCGTCCCACATGTGGGGGTGTCCCGGATATAGGTGTGGGACGTTAACTCACTATATTACCCCTTTTCGCAAGAAAAAAAAAACACATTTAGCACCACCAGAAGAGAAACATTGCGAAGCCTCAATCCACTCCTATGAACTCCAGATGAGTCAATTAATACCAACCCATATTTATGCCAAAGTCTTGTTAGCCCAACCCAAAGTAGGGGTAGAAGCACCATTGAACACAACAAAAGCGGCCTTCAAGGCAACATCGCCAAAGATGTTGATACCGATACCGGCACTGGACTGCAGCCCACCGAAACAAGTCGAGCTGCCCGTAGTAACGGCACCGTAGTTTATATATTTAGCCGGGATGATGATTCTAGCGCCACTAACACCAAAGGTGAAACTGGGCAGGGTAGCACTGCAGGGGAATACGTAGCCGCCGTAGGTGTTACTGTTGGAAGATCCCGTGACCTGGGCATAGTAGGCCCTGACGATTGTGGCGGGAAGGTAAAGCAGGGTGGTACCGGTGTCAGCAATGCCGCTGGTGCTGGTAGAGACGAAGGAGGAGGTGCCGACAGCGTAGCCGGACGAGGTGAAAGTCCAGTAGCCCGGGTTGGTGGTCACAGGAACGTAGGTGATGGTGCCGGTGTAGGCGGCTTCGTCGATGTAGCCGAAGTTGTAGGTGCCGGCTGAGTTTGGGATGTTAGTTTTGGTCCATTTTTCACTATAATTGAACAAAAAGAGAGGAAAAAGTAAGACGACAACAGAAGCAAGTCTGCATGAATAAGGACCCTACTTACGGGCCTTGTACTTGAGGTCAGCAGTGAAAAGAGGCTCGTCAAGCTGGGCCTTGGCCGTGCTGAAGAAAGTCTTCTGTGCCGTAGGCTTGACGGTGTTCAAGCTGTCAAAGCCAAGCCCGACAAGGCCATCAATGGCGCTCTCGGATGTGAACGAGCTTGAGACCTTCTTGGCTGCCTCGACGGCCTGGCTTGCGACGGTGAGGCCACCGATGGTAACAGTGTCCGTGTAGACATCTCCGCTCGAAGAGCTGCCGTCTCCGTACGAGATGCTCCAGGTGTACCCGGACAAGGACTTGGCGGTGCTGGATTTGGACGGTGTGTAGATGGACTGACCGCTGACCTGGGTTGAGGGCGTCTCGCTGCTAAACACCCAGAAATCGGACGACCCCGTATCGAAGTCGAGGTCCAGCGTCTGCGGCGGCGTGCCAATGGACACAGGCGATACGTAGGCATCGTCGTATTCGTCGATGGGGTTGGCGGAAACACTCCCTGTGTCTCGGCGGTCAACAGCGAAGTTCTGGACGGCTTGTTCCAGGTACTCGGGGACTGGAATGCCGAACTTCAAGTACGTCTCTTTGACGGAAAGAGCACCATTGAAGATTTTCTTGCCTCGGGCCACCTGCTTGATGGAGACCTTGCCGGCCCCAGCATTGTGGTTGAGGTCAGTGGTGCCGATTCTGGCCCTGGGAGGAACAGCGGTGCCGACGCCGGCCCCAACGAGGGACGCGATCAATAGGAAATCGATATATGTGACCATCTTGATGGTGCAACAATTGGGCACCACGATATCTGTATTTCGGCCAAGAGGTGAAAGCTTAGTTGCCTCTGGAGGGAGTAGATGGTGGTCTCTAGTCCCTTCGTGAGGGCTACCTCATTGTTTTATGTATCAACATTTTGCGCACAACGATAGCCTCCTGCGTTAACTCGCCTTCGCGCCGAGGCACGCGATCGAACCCTGGAGGGTGCACATCGCAGCGAAGACGGGCCAAAGTGCCAAGAAGGGCAGTTAGCTACCTAGCTGGGTGTTCGCCAAGAGATAGCCGTATGACGAACTCCGCGCATCCAGCCATTTGAATTCGTGAGATCGACTTTGCAAGTTCGTGTACCCCACAAACCCAGCAACCGCAGAGAGGATCACGAGCGGCCTGCTGTTCGCCCACTTGCCCCTTCGCATGGGGGTGCTGATTCGGGGAAAAAGACGCACAAGCACCTTCTGCTTTGGTCGCAGACACGGTAATGAATAAACTATCATATTAATTGCTGTCAGTGAAGCGCATGAGAGTCAGGTGTCTCAACGTCACAGCATGGTGATATGGCGCGAGATAATGTCGACCACAGCGCCAAGATAACGAGATGTTCGATTGGACCAGGATTAGGATTGTCCACCGGCAGACTTGGCGGCATTTATTACTGACCTACCTGATGCGTGTTAGTCGGCCACTATAAGTAGTATAGCGCACCCGATCGTCGCGGCTCCTGCCGGGTTGGCCCTAGCTTGCCGACTAACCGTTGGTCCCTACGTGAACATGAAGTTACACTTTAATGGCGAAGAGGGTTGGTTTGGGGCCTCCTTTTTGACACTACACGACTCACATGTGTAGACTTGAACAAGTGCATTTTCGTGTGTGTATCACTGTGTCAACAAAGGTCATTGCAGACTGACTGCAAATATGTAATTAAATTACAGGTCGTCGTCGTCGTGCCGTCTCATCTTCATCACTTGGGTAACTTGGCGCTTTGCCAAAGCCTTCCGTTTCCACCGCGTCACCGAAATTAACATCTGGAATACACCAGCACAATGACTGCCGAGCCACCAATCTGTCCTTGTCGTCTGCTAAACGCTAAAGTCGGAATTCAAAATATGGTTCCGGTCATGGGTAAATCACCTGTTCGTTGTTGATCTACATACAGTCCGTCTTGGCTTCCACAGGCGTCGCCTTGAACTGCATTGACAAGTTGATGACTTTCCTTGGCGGCCATCAAGCGACCTTCAACCCCGCACTTGGTCATGTAGTATGGACGAATCCCAGCAACTTCCCATAGCTACGCGACTTGAGTTCCTTCAAGAGTGCGATTGCATCTTAGGGGTCAAGAAGCACATGTCCGCCGCAGCAACTGGTTCTTCAGACCATGATTATGATGCACAATGTACAGATGACCTTCAACCCTCGTTCTTTTCGTACCGGAATGGTAATAGCATTGATATCGTGAATCAGTCGCTTTCGAACGGATCGTTCCGTCAATGCATATTGACACCGGAGTGGGTTCGGCGGGACACATGTTTGGGGGCAGCTTGGCTCGTCCAGAAAGACTTGCGTAACAGGATTCCTGACCTTCTTCATGAGCAGTCTGCGAGGCTTCAGTCAGCCCATGGTGCTTCATGGTAAAAAGCCCTTGTATATCAGCCATGCTTGTCTCGGAACTCAAATCTTTTGAAAATGTGCACTTTGAATTGATATAGAGCTCGCAGGCCATCTTGCCCTTGCATCAACCGTACTTCAAACAACTTGTTTCCCATACTCTTCGGGCCCGTCTCTAGCTTCTTGCACGATAATTTCCGTCCGCTTGGATATACCGCCCTTTGGTGGCAGGATCCCACCCTCGCTTCCATCATCTCCTAAAATCTTCGCGCTCGCCGTGCTGACTTGAGCATTGTAACCGTCCTCTCGCGCAAAGTTCCGCGTGTCCATTGGAATGTCATCTTGTCGGCGATATCCGCTCCGGGTATGCGTGTTCCCCGATTGGTTTCCATACCGGTTGCCGTATCTGCTACCGTAATTGTAGCCACGGGTTCGAAGATGTCGAGATGTATTTTGTAGGATCTTTGCGAACAGTCTGTTGATCAAATTCTTAGCCAGTTACTCCTATCTGATTTAGAAGGGGGTAATTCTCACGGTCGTAGAGCTGGCAGGGATGCAGACAGGATACCGGCATGTAGTTCGACACTGAAATGGTTAGTTTATGGATAGATGACTTTCTCCGTACATCGTTTTCTTACTTGAACCAAATGAGAAAGTTATAGTTTCTGGTTAAAAGGGTCAGTCAGGAACAAGATACGCCGGAGTTGTCTCCATTGATAGTCAACATACCGTGTATAGTTGGGGTCAGCGAACATCTCGTAAGCATATATCATCCGTGCGACTGAGGCCACACAAGCGCTATTAACGAATGTCAGACTAGCACCGCTATGTGTAAATGTTCAACTACTCACAACAGTCCAAGGCTCAGAATGGCCACCAGTGTAATTTTCGTCCTTCTGTTCACTTGCAGCTTGATGACAACAGGAATTGGTAGAATCACGAAAATGAGGTCGGTTGTAACGTTGATCACTGTAGCCAATGATGAGTGATTGTTAACCCCTGAGGTCATGGTGATGTATACTGACCTCCATTGACTGTCCCCAGCAAGCCGAGTGTGTCTTTCGACCAACACCTTGCGCTGGGCGTGATTTTCCACAGGGCCGAAAGGGGGATGCATGCCAGCACGAATGTGAGAATCGAATAGATCATGAAAACAGCACAGAAAATGAGTAGCACCATGGTAAAATGTCTCTGCCATTTTGTCTGCACGAACCGCCGCAGGAAAAACGCAATTGAGATCTTGACCAGACTAATTCCTGTAACCTGGAAGATACCGATGATGTACGACCAGTACGCCAGTCCTTGTTGCCATTCGGGGAGGATGTCTTTTGCGAAGCGACCGGCGCCGTTTTTGGCCATGCCAATGAAACAGGTCATACAGCCGATGGCCATGCCCTGCCGTGAAAGATCTCAGCATTTTGCTCATAGTTCGATTGTCTGATGTGCACAGGAAAGACGTACCAGAGCCACGACCATGACGGCATCGTCAATATTGAACGATTTCAACATCACCTGTCGGATCCAGCATCGTAATGCCACCACGATGAACGACAGTCCCATCATCGTCGCGGTAATGGCCAAAATAGTCCCTGCATTGGAGTCGACGGGCTTGTCCTGGGCTATGACCTGCTGCCTCCGCCATACTTGCTCGAGAGGGCCGGCCATCTGAGGCGAGCATGGGGGTATTGATGATGAGCAGCGATGATCTTGGGGCAGCTCTTCTGAATAGTAGAGATGAACAGAGATGAGAATCTCCAGGAAGTAGATCAACCGTCAATCATCAACCGTCCTATCGGGTCATCCGACGAGGGGCACATACAGTGTTCATATGTAAAGCATGGGCCGGTGCGACAGAGCAGACATCCCGTAGACTTTTGACAACATTTTTACCGATCCTGCATGTGCCGTTATTTTTTAGGCTTTTGCGGAGTCGGCCAAGAGAGGAGACAGCGTGGGATCAGACTGCAAGAAGTTACGTCGTATCAACTCGGATCTGAAAATTGCGTACCTGCATCGGAGGAAAACCACTGAAGCGGTATATGTTTTAACCGTCCCCCCAGCCCAAACTCCTGGGAAGATTGACGGTTGGATGGGTGTTTCCCTGAAGGTAGGATGGTTGTACCATGGTCCAGATGGATGCTGCGTGGCATTTCGATGTTCATAATCCATGATACACACAAAACGGGGAAACGTCTCGAACACCATCCCCCTCCTTAAAGATCGAACCTAGTGCTAAGCGAAATGTGGGTGTGGCCAGCCCCTCAAGAGTATGTCGACTTGTTGTCCGCATGCAGTGAGTGTGACGAGCCTCTGCTGGAATTGGTGCAGACCCCTGGCTTGGTTAATATACATAGTAATATACATAGTGGCGGTTAAATAATGTCTCGGAACTTGAACATGACAGGGGCTAAATCATTTGCATATAGCGACATTTTAGATTGAGCTCTGACATACAATATACTCGTATTCGATTTCTATGAAGACGGCATGTAAGTTCTACGAAGTATAGTAAACCATCGACGAACTCTGAGGATTTACGGGGTCTTTTGTTTGAAATCAGGTCGCTTGGATCATAACGAAGTTGTTGAATGCAGGACACATTTGGAAACGCGAGGTCTCCCTGAAAGATCTCCATAGCCCCTGCTTGGGCAGTGCAACTCCCAAGAACCGTCGACAGCCCTAGTAAATTGAAGGATTGTCGGCCCATTACAAAGCTTAGCTGCCGTGAAGGGGATCCTCCCCGCTGTGACCAAACGTTGTTCTTAACTGTGTCTCCCGTGGCGCGATATTACCTACATTGTAGAGATACAGATCCGTTTTTTCCCTATGTGTGGAGTGGATTGGATAAAAGTGAAGTACTTTTATTGTGCAGTAAATTATGCTAAGCTTCTCAGCAACTGTTGCTTCCAGTCTCGTGTCACTGTTCGTGATGAATCACGGCCAGTAACAAGCGTGCTCAAGGCTGAAACGGGCATTGCAAGCCACAGTTGAATATATTCTACTTTATTTCGAACCTGGGGGATGATTGGAAAGGTCATTCGGAAAATATATTACCATTTCGAAAATTATTGTCAAAATAGTTCAGCCCAAGGCTCTTATATCACCCTCTACCAGTCGAGGAAATCATAAAAGGGCCAACAAGGGCTAGGACTCTGCCGTGACTGCAGGAGAGACGGAGATTTGTCAATTCGGTAATGCTTCGCTTGATACAAGGTGTAGCCGAGAGCATCAAGCAGCGATGTGAACTAGCGAAAACCAAGGTTATGCAGCGAACTTGAGGGGCAATGGTAAACAGGCGTGACATCGTGATTGGATCGGGGAATAGACGCAGTTGTAGATCCAGGTCGGCTAAAGCGATCAGGATTACGGGGCAACGGAGCTCATTACTTGATGCAGAAACTCGTACAGAATGAATCGACGAGGGAATCCCCTGTTTCCTGCCATCTTGAAGGAATTTGTTCAGAACCGACCTTGCCGACTCACTGCGCCGCACCGGGGCTGCGCTAAGGGGCCTTGCTAGCGGCTCTGTGGACCAAGAGCAGCATCGCGGGCCGCAGCACTGGTGTTGTTTCTAAATCATCCATGAAAACTTCGAATGGGGCATGGCGCATTTGATGAAGGAAGAGAGGTTTTCTTCCGACTCGGTTGTTCGTTTTCTCATAAAACCGACATGGATAACTGCTAAATCTCTCCTCGGATGCAACACTTCGATGTTCCACTGTCCCTTATATTTGTACAGTTATGCATCACACCACTCCAACCTGCATGCCTGGCCAAGACAACCCATCTCCCGAAATGATGCGAGATCGTCAAGGTGAGGCCATGTGACCAGTACTCCTGGCTACACCAAGTCTGCCCGGAGATAAGTTTTCAAGGCGTTTCGTGAGATCTGGTGATTCCGATTGCAAGTGGAAATAAATGTGCATTCAATCTACAGTAGTTGTCCGACCTTTTTCTCTAGTCTCTAGTCTAGTCTCGACGGTATCCAACCCGTGCGCACGTACGCCACGCAGGTTACTTGCTACATGAACTACGAAACGTGTCATGGTTTTTTATACTTTCAGATGACAGTCTCATAGTGCTTGGTCTACGAGCCAACCAGATTTCCACTCCTGCATTGCGCAGCAATTTCGTGTAGTACAAATCACTGGCCTACTATGCAGCTGCGTGGCTTCGTACTAAGCGACCGTTCGATTCCACAATTCGGCCGCGAACCACTTCCCCGGTCCCTGCGGAGCTGCCTCTCCAGGAAAGAAAGCTAGCTCCAGCTCGCTCTCCGCCCAGGGTCCCTGTCCATGAAGAAATCCCCTCTGCTGCTGCAGAATGTCAGATCCATGGTCTCAAAAAGCCACACGATATCGCCGGTTTCTGCCAGCGCACCCTATGGGAAGTATTCGGAGGGGAAAATATCACACCTCTTACTGTGATGTCTGGTGCTGGAATGGCCTGGCGATCTCACGTTGATATATCACCGTCCGCTTGGTATTTCCCACGGACTCAGGTCTTTTTTCTTCTTCGCAACTTTGGGTTTATTGCACCGCAGTTATTACATTGTATCAGGCTCACCAACTACAAGGGGTATCTAAATCTAGACAGTCCTCCGTATGATCCATGCTCTCGATACCTTGCACTAACAAGGACAAGAAGGGTTGAAAAAACCTCGTGCATTGAGAGCAATTCGATAGGTAACTCGATAGTCCCGCAAATAACACGCCGAGTCTAGATTGCCACTTCGTAGGCATACGCAACTCTCTTTGAATGACACTCATTTCCCATACCCTGTACCAGTAGCTTAGTGGCTGATTGCTTGATTGAACGCCGAGGCGCTCACTCTTATACCTGTATGCACCTTCCACATTGTGACTGAGGCGGCTCCTTCTCTCTTCCCAACCACAAGCAGTTAAATTGTTTCTTCTTGACCGTTTGCAGCGCCCGGCAGTCGCTCTTTATCGGCCAAGATGTATCTCTCCCTCTCCGTCTTGCTAGTACTCGTTTCAACATATGCAGCCTCTGCATACACCCCTGCGTCCACGTCCGGGTCCGACCTCCTCGCCGCCCAGAGTCTGATCAAGCTCAGTGCGGCCGTCGCGGATGGCAGTCTGAAGAAAGCCCTCGCGGCCCAGGGCGTGCCCCAAACGTGCAAGATCGAGAACCTGGCCATCCGCCGCGAGTACTCAACCCTGGCCGACGATGAGAAGTTGGCGTACACGAAGGCCGTCAAGTGCCTCATGGCCAAGCCCGCCATCACCTCTTCGACGCTTGTTCCGGGTGCTAAATCCCGCTACGATGACTTCGTCGCAACACACATCAACCAGACTTTGACGATCCACGGCTGTGGTTCGTTTTTGTCGTGGCATAGGTATTTCATCCATACTTTCGAGACTGCGCTTCGCGATGAGTGTGGATACACGGGATACCTGCCATACTGGAACTGGGGCAAGTCTTCACTAGACCCTATCAACTCACCATAGTAAGCTGTTTTGATATTCTCGCAAACCTTCCAGTCTCTCTGGGAATAGGAGTCACCTACATTGTGTCATGCTGAGTTCCACGAGGACTGCCGAGCATATTTCTGTCTATCTCTGCAAATTAATAGCGTATTATGCAAAAAGAATGGCTCTGTCTTTTTTAAACTTATTACTAATTGACTTGCTTACAGCTTTGACGGCAGCCAGTATGCACAGGGTGGCAATGGTGTATACGAGGAACACAACTGCTCTATAGGTCTTCCCAGTGGTCTCCTATGCATCGAGCCTGGTCAAGGCGGTGGGTCATCCCTTTCCCTGATTTCTGGCTAGCTCATACTGACAAAATTCCTCTTAGGTGGCTGTGTCGAAACTGGTCCTTACGCCGGAGTCATGGCCAACATCTCTGCCACACAGCCCTCGTTCACTGGCGTGTCGCCTGGGAATACGTCTTTCGCATACGAGCCTCGCTGCATAAGACATGACATATCCGTCGAGCTAGCCAACAAATGGGCCGGAGACTCACATTCAGTCGATCTCCTCAGTAACCCGCTTTACCAGACGGGTATCGGTGCTTTCCAGGATCGGCTCCAATATACTGGAAACGACACGGTTGGATGGTACGGGTTGCACCAGTATGGTCACTTCTCCGTGAACGGCGACCCAAGTGGAGATGTAAGTTACACCAACACTCCCTCCCCAAATAACCCTTCAGAACAATTTTAACTAAATCGAATCCGCCTTTAGGTCTATAACTCCCCTAACGATCCCATCTTTTGGTTGCATCATGGAAATATTGACAGAGTTTGGTGGATCTGGCAAAACCAGAACCCCATTGATCGTGCTTTTCAGATTGCCGGCACACGTACGCTCTTCAACATGCCACCTAGTGACAATGCCACCGTGGAAGACATGATCGACCTTGGAGTGAATGCACCGGCAGTTCCTATTAAGAACCATGTCAGCTCGGTCGGGGGTGACTACTGTTACATATATGTGTGAGGTAATAGGGGCAGACGATAGATGATGCGTTCACACGCGATAATGCCGGATACGTTTATATGTGGACTATACATATTGTTGGCGAGCTCTAGTAATGTTCATATAGCATAAAATGTAATTACGTAATGGATAATCCCATCTGCCATGATTTTGTGCGCTCATAATTGAAGTTACTTATTCCAGCTTCTGTGCTATGGCAACTGACTAAAGTTGCGCATTTCTCTGAGTACAGATGAAGAGTCCACCCTGTAATAATGTAGTCAAGCGGAAATTTATCGGCAGCTAGAAAGACATATCATAACCTGTAGTGATGCACTCGACATATTTTGGTTTGATCGACTATTATGTGTTTCGCCCAGTATTATGCTTGTAGCTATACCACCATCCCTTTTTCCTATAGGGCCTTCCTTGTATCTCACCCGAAAGAAACAACAAAGACACAGAGCCCGCCACATACTATCCTCATCGCGCAAGCACTATCAACTAGTTTGCGCCCGTCCAAAGCGCCGGCCCAGGAATAGGATAGCTCGTAAAGCTCGTGTACAGGTTAAATAATATTCCCGGGTCGCTCCGCGTGTATAGGCTTGTGCCAGGTGTGCCAGTTGGCGGCGCTACAGTGCCGCTCCCCCCCACCTTTAAGTTGAGACATTGGGGATAGTTTTGTGCACCATTATCGTTGCTGGCGCCGTGGAGGGCGATGATCTCGTGTCGGATCACGTAGTTGCCCGCCTTGAGCTTGGCGGGGATCACGGCGTCCGAGGTGAAGTTGTTGGCGATGAGCGCGTCAGTAACCCAGGTGCCCGTAGCGCTGCCCGAGATGAGACCGCCCTGGGAGATCTTGGTCCACTGAAGGCTTCCGGCTGTGGCGGCGGTGCATTCACCTTGTAATTTTGGTTAGGATCTATCATCATGAATTGGGGTTGGATGTTATTTGAGGATTTCCTATCGACGTACCGTTGCAAGGTGCGATGTAGTTGATGATGGGTCCCTTGTGTGTGTCGGGCCAGGTATTCCAGAAGAACGTCAGAGTATCGCCGGCGTTGGCATTGATGTACGACTGGGCCGCTGTTGCACTCTTGTGACAGGCAATGTCGCTGGAGGTAAAGGCATCGGGAGAAACGAAGCCGTTGTCTTGGTTGAGAGCCTTCCACCCCGCCGTCACGGGGGCACTGCCGGCTGGGTAATAGTACCAGACAGGGTCACCCCCAGCAGTCCAGTCGGCGCCGTTGACCTCTACGCCTGCGACATATCCGTGGGCGGACACCAGCTCGAATGCAGTGGCTGCCAGGGACAAAATGAGAGACGAAGAACGCATGGTGGTAGTATACCCAGAAAAACGCCCGAGGGGTAATACTTTGGTATGGCCTATGCAGAACGTGTAGGGGCAAACAATGATCAGCGAAATCTCAGTTCATTATATACTGCAATTCGACAGACCATAGATGTAACATCCGTGAAACTCTAGAAAGAAGCGTCGTATAGCTGAATCAAATTGCATACAAACTCCAACCTCTCAGATTACGGAGTCTCTGAAGCTCTTCCAAGAATCGCCAAGGACAGACAACTTAAGCAACTGATTCCCGTCGGAACCTCGTTTCTTCACAAATCGAGAAAGTGGTGGCGATGCCAAGCGACCAGACACTTCTACTGAAGAAACGTCAAGAGTCTAGGCTCAGCATGTAAGCTCCGTTTGGCGAAGAACGGTTGGCGCACGAGCTACACGATGTTGCACGGTGGTATTCCAGTCTCTATTAAGAACGGAAAGTAGAAGCCAGTTGTTATACATTGCTCAAGGTGCACGGAAAAACCTACGTTCAGCGGATGGGCGTCATTCCGCAATCCTGTAATGGGAAATCAGCTGGTTACCCCACAGCGAATCAACATGCATACGCAAGGGTGCTTCTTCGGGTTCCCGTCAGCAACCCCGGCCGTGTGTAGCATGAGTGGTCTTATGAGAGATTATATTGGTGGAGTTGAAGGGTTGAAGAGCATAGACAGTGGGAATTGTCAGATAGGGCACCTGGTTCCTAGGTTCAGAAATAATATGGCACTAGAGAAGACTATTGTCACTTGAAGTTCAGAAGGCGAAAGGAACCCCTCTTCTCAAAAGTAACACCAAAGTTACCGACATGTTCTAAAGCATCTATAAAAGGCAGAGCAACGGGAGTTCGCGAGAACAGAAGTGTCAGAGCCACAAGTGTCATCCGAGGCGGGCCGGCTTCCACCAGGAAGGAAGTCGTTTGTGGCGAATGAGGAGCCGGGAGGCCGTTTGTGGCGGCTAGAGAGCCGCTTGTGGCGAATGAGAGCTGTTGAAGCCGTTTGCAGCGGATAGGGAATCGCTTGGTTGCAGATAAAGAGCCGCTATCCAAGATGTTGGCCGAAGTCGGAGGAACACAGACATGCGGAAGCAAACATCCAGAATCCAACAGAGAACCTCGGCTGGCTATAAGTAAGGAGTCGAGACGGAGGAAGATAGAGAGGGGAGAGATCGAATGCATCACCGTGGGCACCCCTACCTGAGACCGCCAGTGAACACCAGGTGACCACCAGGGGGACACGCCTATTTCTCCCCTTCACTCTGTACTATCGCCTTCGGTCCAGGCCGTACCCTGACAAGAAGACAGACAGACAAGAACACACCTCATTTATATACAATCTTACGCACTGCTGACTACTCGATTGGACACACGTGATATTCGACAGAATGTACACCGAGCTGGCCACTTTCATGCGCCAACGCGACCGGCCAACTTAATCTTTGATTTTCTCAACAACCAATTATGGCAAAGTCATACAACGAAGCAGACTTAATGCTAGCCCTTCAAGCTCTCAAAAATGACCAAAAACTTAGTCTCCGACAAGCGGCAAAAACGTACCAAGTCCCCCGAAGGACCCTCCAAACGCGTAAAAACGGCGGCTCGCCCTCGTACGGGCCGAGTGCGCTGAGCTTCGAGAGGCAAATAAGATGCTAAGCCGGCGCCGGAGGACTAAAAAAATGCAATTACGGGAAGGAGAATCACTTATTTTCCAAGAAGTACAGGACCTACGGGACTCTAGGGAGTTGGCGACGCAGATACAGCAAGAAGAGCGCCGAAATGGTGGTCGCGCAAAGCGTGTTGAAACGCGCCCGAGGCGCTGTGGTATTTGCAACGGGACTGGGCATAATGCGCGAACTTGTAAGATCGCATTGCCATCTTCTGGAGAGGAAGATTCAGAGTAGTTTCAATTGATTTACGGCGTTGTGGTTTTACTATCGTAAAATATCTATGCGAGGTTATGTAAGGGTGGCCAGCTCGGTGTACATTCACGTGAGAGCGATATACTTATTAATAAGTAGGAAAACCCTAGCCCTGTGACAGTTGTCACGTAATTGACCTACACTGGTCTGAACAGATTGATAAGTGGTTGCAGATATCAAAGTCAGGGACTTTGGTATTGGTCTCTTTTGGTGAAGACATCTGGTACGGTGGCGTAGTGGCAAGGATTGCAACCCCTAGCACGGCGTGACAAGCCCTATAGGCCGTAAGTTAAGTTCGATCACCTCGAATAAAGAGTTTAGAAGTACGACGGGCTACTGTAACGGGGTAAGGCCGGACGTCAGGAAAGTAGGTGACGGGGTCCAGGGAGGACTCCCCTGTCTTCCACACTTCTTAAGGGACACGGAGATGACAGACGACTTTCAATAACTTGTCATCTCTTTTCATCATATCATCTTATTCAATCAACTTGACTTTTGTTAGCGAGCCCTTCAATTATGCGGTTAATTCCTACGTGCACTTAGACACTACTTTCGAAATCCTATTATTCTGCCCTCATCCTAGCCTTGACAATGACAGAGGATTATATCTTGCTCTGATCAGAGCAATCTAGTGCTAGTGAGAGCTTCAATTCGACTTCCAGAGCCAGACGTCTTGTTCTGAGAATCATTCCGACGAGAGTCTCAGAGGCACATCCGACCAACTCGCGCACCAGACGTATAAGAGCTTCGCTTTTATAACTAGTACCACGATCTTCGTCTGATCAGACCAACAGATGGGATATGTTGGTACTGGAGCCGTCTGTTCAGTGTGTTAGGTGGTAGGTATATCCTACTGACCGTGATACGTGACCCCATGGGGGGTTACCCTGTAGCTACAGATAAGACAGATAAGATAAGATAAGAGCTATAAAAGAGCTCTGCCAGGCCAGAATAGCTGACCTGGCCATCCTTTTCCAATACAACAATTCACACCCCATATGCACTCGCATCAGACCGCCTGACCCCGTTTCACTACCTGTAGATACTATTAGCGCCGCCTTAAGGTTTTACCTATAAGATTAAATCGGATTATGAAGACGCGTCCCTTAGAACTAAAATTAAGAAGTATAAGCCGTTATAAGTATTAGAATAAGCCTTAGTATTGTCACGACCTGGGTTGCATCGCATGGGTATAGACCTCGATTAGGTGCTATCGACCAAGATTCTACTCTAAGGAGCGAAGGAAAGAAGATGACAACTTAGGTTTGAGGGAGCGCGACTAAGTCATCCACGCTTGGCGGGGCTCCTACAAGGGTTATGATTGGCTTCCCATCTCACACTGCCACGGCAGGTGTTCCAGCTGTAAGTCACCTGGTTGTAGTGAGTCTGCGAGGGTTGACCGTCACAAGTATAAGATCCTTAAGCTCTCGTTACGTTCTATTAGCTAGTATAAGGGTAAAGATATTACTAAATATAACGATATATATATCGCGAAGACTATTATAATATCGTCGGACAGTATAGCTAGTGTAACGAGGCAGAGGCACATAGGTACGAATCAAGGTTGCATATCAGTGCATCTCTATTGTTGAATACTAAACTAGGGAAGAAAGAGAAGGAAAGGGTTACAAGTATGTCTGGCCGTTCTCCTATTATAAGGGGAACGCGCTCGTCCAGATCAGGGCAGGCCATGTCAGGATGTCCCTGCTTATCGTCCATGTGTCAGTCGTCACAGCTAGAGTGTAACGAAACCTCTAATAGTCTAGCTGCGTAAACCACTAAAGAGTCTGTAAGGGTTTGTGCTAGTAAGTAAGTCCTGCTGCGGAGTCCTCAAGCAATAATATCGGGGTTTGACGTATGGAGTAGAGTGCTTTGGGTAACTGAAGTATTCAAGTAGGGTAATCGGGAATAGAGTCGTTAAGGCAGTTTGTCTCACCAATGGGTTAGATTGATGCTTAGATTGATGACTGAAGTAGAGACTGTCTATCTATGAAATGCCTGGGAGTCCTGTCCCTTATATACCCATCTCTCCTTCACTGATCCCCACTCCAACATATCCACCCCTGTAGGTCACGTGACCTATCGGTCCTTTCCTTCCTCCGATGCAGGGTCCCGTGATCCTAGCGTCTGTATCCACCTGGCCTGCCGACGGGCCTGTAATGTTGGTTCAGGGCCAACGGTTCGTAACACGCTTCAATGTCTTATGGTCGACTTTGAAGATTTTACCAAGCTTGTTCCAACTTAGGTGAGGATCGCGTCGTTTAGTTTGGATGGCTAATTGAAGATTAGCTTCACTAGATTTGCGTGCCATGTTGTGGAAGGGAAGAATTGTATAAGTAAAGATGGAAAGTCAAGATTTCTTGAAAAGTTGGGCAAAGACCCGTGTGGGGCAATCTGTGAAGGTCAACCCTCGCAGACTCACTACAACCAGGTGACTTACAGCTGGAACACCTGCCGTGGCAGTGCCAGATGGGAAGCCAATCATAACCCTTGTAGGAGCCCCGCCAAGCGTGGACGACTTAGTCGCGCTCCCTCAAACCTAAGTTGTCATCTTCTTTCCTTCGCTCCTTAGAGTAGAATCTTGGTCGATAGCACCTAATCGAGGTCTCTACCAATGCGATGCAACCCAGGTCGTGACAGCAGAGCTCTTTTATAGCTCTTATCTATCTTATTTATAGCTATAGGGTGTCACGACCTGGGTTGCATCGCATTGGTAGAGACCTCGATTAGGTGCTATCGACGAAGATTCTACTCTAAGGAGCGAAGGAAAGAAGATGACAACTTAGGTTTGAGGGAGCGCGACTAAGTCATCCACGCTTGGCGGGGCTCCTACAAGGGTTATGATTGGCTTCCCATCTGACACTGCCATGGCAGGTGTTCCAGCTGTAAGTCACCTGGTTGTAGTGAGTCTGCGAGGGTTGACCTTCACATAAGTCGTCGTACGAGAGCGACCGAACTACGTTAATAACGCTATAGGATATATAGAGAGCCCGGATATAATACTCGTACTTATTAGAAAAATATTATTATTATTATTATTAAATACGCCGTAGGCTCGAAGCCCCCGGTACCTCTACTAGTACTCCCGTATGTCAAACCGTGCCCTAATGGCTGGACTAAATACATACGCTGCGTCGTCGGTTCGCCCTATTGGCGACTGCGTTGCGTCCACTACCATACTACGTTGGTTCTCAACCTACCAACAAAGTGCCCCTTAGAAAAATAAAGATACGTACGAGAAAGAGGATTCTAATTTGTTTTAATTAATCTTTCTATTTATAGTTAAGTTAGTGAAGTTATTCGTACGGTGCTAAGACAAAGTAGCTAACTTGCCTGTATAGTACGTTCGGTAAGAAAGAAACAGTCAAGTTTGAAAGTGGAGAATATTACGAAAAGCTCCCCACTCGCTTGTATTCCCTATTCGCTTTTTAATTGCGTTACGTCCTCCGATTGAAAATACCCTATGTCACATGCCATGAGCCATTTAGCCGAGTCCGGTTTAGCAGAACACTTTCTGTGTCGTTCAAGGTTCGCGGGCGTTCGAGTGAGCCTCCCAACCTCCCGTGGAACCTCTTCGCCGACTGTACATTCCGAATCATTCATAGTCATTCAGGGCCACCCCCCAGCGATTGGTCGGCACTGTTGTTGGTGGGTTGTCTGCAGCCTTCCGCCTGTTTTCAATCGACGCCAAGACTGCAAGCTGCTGGGTGCAATCGTCACAGTTGGGGTGGTGATGGCCGAATCGAGAGTTGTGCATTCACCGCGCTCGCCCATCCAGGAGTAGCGGATTTGGCGAGGATGCCATATCTTGATACTTGCGCGTCAGCTAAAAAAAAAAAAAGAAATAATCTTGTCTCAACCGACACCACGTTGAAATAGCGCCTACACGCCGGCAACAGAAAACGCGGATAAGATCGTCATTGACTCGCGCGGAACAGAATGCGAGACGTGTACTGATGCCCGTTTTGTCTTGGTTTTCCGTCTCCTCCGATGAATTGATGACAGCTGCTGTGAGCCGTCGCCGCTCGGCGTGTTATTGATCTACGGTTAGTGTAGTAGCCAGGTTGGTCTAGACCTATGTTATCTATAAATAAAAATGCGAAATTTACCATTGCTTTGATAGCTTCATAGCTAATTTCCTATTCCGTCTAGGTCCTGAATCGGCTTTATCTTCGGGGGGTTCAGACTTGTGAACAATCTTCGTCCCCTTGTAGTAAGTACTTACTTATTAGGGTAGCCGTCTGGCATTTTATTTACAGATTCCTGATCAGACCGACCTTATCTTAGCTCTATGATTGCAACACTGCACGGCTTACCTAGATATTCTTTGAATTTTGGTCAAAGTCCCGTATCTTGGCCGCTGCTAAGCGACCCCACAAGATCGTAGCACCGGTGTTGCGAAACACCAACTCGTGGGGCTCGGAGTAGTGGGATGGAGAATACCTACTATGTAGAGCTAAAGTTTTGAGCAGCGGCACAACGGCGCTGACGGCGGATCATTACGACTAGTCGGCACATTCGTGAGATCAAGTATGCCGGACTTAAATGGTACTTCATTAAAGCTAGAGTAAGCGCACGAGGACAATCCATTGCAGTAGCTGGCAAGTATGAATTCAACCATACTCCGAGCAATCTAAGTTGACCTGGGAGAAGTAAAAGTGAATCTAAAAGCAGTTAAAGGGATTGGGAAAAACCTTGCAGACAATTCTAGAATCCGAAACCATCAACACCAATCAATGACTCCAACTGACATGATAGACATAAATCAGTTGCATGTGCCCACAAGCAACGCAGCAGCACCAGCGTGTAAAAGAACCTGCACCGTCATATTCTACTGCTGGACCTGACAAGTCGCCTACACTTTTGCGCAACCTTCTGCTTGAGGTTGACTTCACGACTACTGCCACTAAAGTTAAGGAACTCGTTTTCTGACGGCTTTCCCGGTCATCAATCGAATTATCTTCAGTAGTTGTCGTATTGCAGTATCTTGCAAGGCGAATGGGGCTAATTTTGGAAAAGCCTCCCTCCCCGTGCTTGCAAGTGCTGCTGCTCTTCAGGTATTTCTCGAACCCAGTTGGGAGTAGGGGAGCACATGACGCCTGGGCACTTGTAAATCTGGAACTGCTCACCGCTGCCAACATAATTGTTGGTCGCGTGGCTCTAAATCTGATATTCAACAAGGCTGATCTGCTTCGCCTAGATGTAAGTTGAACCTACCTTTTCGCTGTAGAATGGTGTTGGGAATGGTGTTGGTCAAGTACCTGGAGTTTGTCCAGGTAGTTGGCGACGGCTCATGGCCGGCAACACTGAACGGACTAGGAGAACGGAATGTCTCGGAAGGAGAGACAAGACTTGGCGCCTCAAGTCAAAATCAATATATGTGCGACTCGCGATGGAATTCGACGATTGCGCATGTTGGAAGCCCCACGCGTCACCCTCCGTGGATGTTATTTTCGCATCACTAGATCAGTCTATATCTAAGGGTTCACGGGTACCTTGGTCTTCTGTGCAGTCTGGTATGGTGGACAAATAACCCACTTGGCCTCAAGTGCCTGTGGCTTACGAACACGCCTCATTCCATGCACGCAAGTTCCAAATACAAGGAAGAAACCATACCAAGCTGAGACACCTAATGAAAATGCGAAGCAGACTTCCACTTGGCACTGCTCAAGTGAAGACTGATAACAACGGCAAGGGTACCTAGCCACATCTCCGGCTCCGACTCGTTGGTTCGTCACCATTTCGTCAAGTACAATCGTACTTTCACCCTAGATTACAAGCAAAGCGCACACGCGGTGAATCAAGTACTTGCAAATTCCCCAAATTACCTTCAACTTGGGCATTCTTCAAGTGTCTCAAGACCTCAACGCCACCATGGTCGTTTTTGGTCCGGCTCAGCCACACTAGATTGAATCAGCTTTGCTTCACTAAGACTTGTATCGGCTTGAGCACTTGGGCACACGACTTGTTGTTGATTAGGCCATGAGTTCCTGTCTGCTCGTTTTCATCCTCCTTCTTTTCACAGCTTGACTCGATATTTCTCCCCATTTGGTATTTCGTGCTTCTACGATACCCCATATCAAACCATCTTGTCGTCGATCGCTTTCGCATCCCCACCAGGAAGCTCGTCATCCCGGCCCAGGATTCAATAGTCGAGGACCCCTCAATTATTCTGGGTCGGCTCATTCCCAATCAGTCCAATCAAAAGCCACCATCGTCCAGATACCTGCTGCTGGGCCCCCGCCCCCGTCCCGTCTGCAGCTTTTCATTTGATCTCGTTCTTCAAAACATTTAACCTCTCCCCAAAACTCTCTTTCTTCGTAATACTCACGACCGCCCGATATAGGAGCCGAGGCGAGATTAAAGTAGTTTCGCTATTCACCTCAATCCATCCGTGGCCTCGGGTCTCACGGCCACGACAACAGGGAACGAGTTGTCAATGCTCAGCGGCCTTCGGTCGCGCATTTGCCCCTCATCGACGCCTCTTAATTTTGCCTGTCCGAGTTCCGCCGTTGCCACTCCCAGATTCAGCTTTCGCATTCAACAAACATCACAATGTCTGAATTTCGACATGTGCGATCTGGGAGTCTCAACATCTCACCGCAAGCCAACAGCATGAATTCTCTTGCTGCGAATAATGGCCGTTTTGAGGGCCCCAGAAGCCCCCCAAGTAAGTCGAGTTTTCCCTCAGTAGAAGTTGTACCTGTTTGCAGTGTCACACATTGCAAACTTGACAAGCGGTGCAAGCGGTATGCGGGCTTCTGGAATAGTGAACAGAGAGATTCACCTGCTGCTTCACGTGGTACTAACGCAAAGGCGAAACAATAGATACATCGCATGTTCCCTGCAAATTCTTTAGACAAGGCGCCTGCCAGGCAGGGTCTGCTTGTCCCTTCAGTCATGATCTCGGCAGCGCCTCTGAGACGGTCTGCAAGTACTTTGCCAAGGTATGATGACTGCCACCATACCCCCATCAACACATATCCTAGCATTGTTGGCGTCGCGACCCAAAAATGCGTCTTATCAAAGGCTGCCTACGGTATTACACGGACTGACATTGGTGAAACCCGACCACAGGGCAACTGCAAATTCGGCCCCAAGTGCGCTAACATTCATGTGCTCGCCGACGGTCGACGCATCAATTACGGCAAGAATGGTATCACCATCGGCCAGCCTCTTCATCTAGGGAACCGATTGACCTCGGCCGCGCCTTATACTACCTCCAGCAGCGCCTTGACAAATTCATTTATGAGAGCCGATGCTGGCACGCCTTTTGGCAACTATGGCTATCCCATGTCTCCTAGCGAGAAGTACCACCAGCTCGACCGCCAACCTAGCTTAGAGAATGGCCTGCCGACCTTCGACACTACATACTCTCACACGAGCTCCCAATATGGATCGCCGCGAGAGGAGGATCCGACGCGGCTGGGTCTCGGGTTGTCCCCAGTGGCAGGAAAAGGCTTATCCGTGCTTGACGCTCCACTACCTGCTTCCTTCGACTCCAATGGCATTTCGCATGCTGCCCGCTACCCGGCAGGACCATGGCCTTCCTCGGTGCCGTCGCAATTTGGGCTCGAGTCCCCGTCTCCATCGCTGAATGCCGCTAAGGACTCTCGAACATCGGAAGCACTAAAGCTCCTCCATCATTCAGCATTCGGCAGCAACGACCACCTGTCTTCTACCGTCACCACTTCCTCGCCGCCCACCCAGCCGACCGATGAATACTTTGGCAAGCGCCCGATGCACTCGAGCCGCTATACTAAGCCCAAGCTGCTGAGTAGCAGTGCGCCGCGCGCCATGGGCATTGATCGCGACTGGGAGGCCGAATTTCCGTTTCTGGAAGAGGATTATGTGCCTGATATGCTGAAAGATTTACTCACACCTGCTGAGAAAGCACGCCGGGGTTCCAGGGCTGCCGAAGATGAAGCAAATGGACTCAAGTCAGGTCACGGTGTCGCCGCTGTTAGTGGTACTGGCACGCCTACTGCGGAGACAGCGTCGAAATTTGGCAGTCCGATGGCTGCGAGCCCAAGTCGTTGGGGCCCTCTGTTCATGCGTCAGAAGGAAGAAGACGAGCTCAAGAAACACGCTCTGGCTGCAAGCGCCGGTGCGTTCGGTCATGTCGGCAGTCCCTTGCGCAATTCACCTCTTACGGCCGATATGATACAGTCCCATGACAACAGATCCGGCAGCGTGGAAGGGCTTAGTGTGCTCACGCAACAGTTGCAAAGAACTCGCATCGATGGCTGTGGAAATGACTCGCCACTTCTTAACCCCAACACTAACCCCAACACTGGAACCAGTGCCATTCCCCACATCGGCATTGGAGGACGACCAACCAATGGCCGCGCCACGGAGAGACACGTCAGCAGTGGCAGCCTCGGCTCCAGTGCACGCTTTACCACGCCTATCGGAGAGGAGGATGGCGAGTTCGTTTTCAGCATGGACGAGGACGGTGAGAGGGACAGTACTATAAGAGCAAGGAAGCGCACCTCCGGCGTGGGTACAGTCATGGGTGCCTGGGGCAATGGGAACGGCACTGGCAACTATGCTGGTCCAAAGGATGAGGCTACTGGTAGGGTCGGTGTCGTGGATGGCGTTGGAGGTCGATGAGAACCTTTTGGAGCGAGAAGTATGAGAATATGCGGCAGTATCTCCACCGACCAACACGTCGCACCCAGCCCCCAATGTGATCAGGGGGTACAGTAACTGGTCTTGAATGCGGTACTACGAGGAACCTTCCGACGGCCTCAGATGAAGAGGCACGACACTTCTCTAGTCGCCCAAAGCTGGTGAATGCAGGGTTGGGTATGTTCGCCACAATGAAGATCTAGACAACATGACCTGGTCTTGTCATAGGATATATGGACTATGTACTATGGCGACAACACGCCATATGGAGTACTCAGACGAGAACGACGAGAGCGAAGGGGAGCGATGAACTTGAATGGATGACTATTCTGGATGCACAGCAGACGGACGATATGACGGCGTCGATGTCAGGATGTTGCATCAAATCCTTCGCATGTTTGAAGCGTTGATACGCACTCAACTCATTATCGGATTGGTCACTACGTCACATCAACCTACTGGCGGGCTTTGAAAAGTATGATGCCTGGCGTAGGCTTGACGATGACAGCTAGAACTTGATCTACCGGACGTGAATACATGAACTGGATGGGGCGTTGGTTGGCAAAACTTCGACGCGGGTAAACAAAGTTACGATTTATGAATACAGACCAAATTTATATTTGTTGATACGTAAAGCGCTCTTTGGATTCCAAGGTTATAATCGTCCCATAATCTTTGAGGCTGTATCGCGTGTAATCATGAAAGGAGACGTGGCGGCTGGCTACGGCCAACCGAGTCCTTTTCCCTGCGACAAGAGAACACGCGTGCATGGCTCAGTAAAAGTCGCCTCAATCAATCCCATGTGAACTCGTTTTAATTGATGCTGCCCCCCTGAGCAATAGTGATGACACGATATGTTCAGGCTCTTGTGGCCGAGAGAGGCACTGAAGATGTTCCAGACCCCGCTCCAACAAATCCTACTCAAATGTGCATGCGCCCTTGACGTAAAAGTAGTCACTGATACCAGGTTTCTGACTCGACCCTTGACAGTCGTCCTCCTCTTAGGTTGATTTGACACGGTCAAAGGTGCCTTTCATTCTGTTAATCCGTACCAGCATTTGAAATCCGAGAACAGGGCTCTTGTAGCAGATAAGTGGCTTGGGCTCCAGCCACGTTCACCTTTCCAAAAGATGTCCTTGGAGCACAACACAACTATTTGTCATTTCTACTACGTAGCATCTCCATTGGCTTCTGCATTATGGCTCCATCGGCATCATCAGAGAATAACTATTACGATTTAGGATCATATCGAAGGACTGTGACCGCCGGTAATGACGAGGCCGGCCGTTGGTTCAATCGTGGGTTGATTTGGTGTTATGGCTTCAACCACGAGGAAGCCGTCAAGTGCTTCGAACAAGCCATTGCTTGCGACAGCTCTTGTGCAATGGCTTACTGGGGGATCGCGTACGCGCTGGGGCCGAACTATAATAAACCGTGGGATTTCTTCGATGCGACCGAGCTCGAGACCACGGTGCAGCGGACTCACCGTGCCGTCACTATGGCCAAACGCAGCATAGAAAGCTGTTCCCCAGTTGAGCAAGCCCTCGTTCGCGCTCTTGAGTTTAGATACCCGCACGAGCATGCGGATGAGGATTGCTCAATATGGAATAAAGGTTATGCCGAGGCAATGGAGCGGGTTTACCGCGACTTTCCGGATGACCTCGACGCTGCCACCCTGTGCGCGGATGCGATGATGAATCTCACACCATGGCAGCTCTGGGACTTGAAAACGGGGAAGCCCGCTTATGCGGCGCGAACCATAGACATTCAGAGGATCTTGAATCGGGCTATGACCCAGGGGGGTGGCATGCAACATCCAGGGATTCTGCATCTTTACATTCACCTCATGGAAATGTCGCCCACACCAGAAGCTGCACTGGCTGCCGCTAATCATCTACGTGGGCTGGTCCCGGATGCAGGTCATCTCAACCACATGTCGACCCATATCGATGTCCTGGTAGGTGACTACGGCCAAGGGATTAAGTCGAACCAACAGGCCATCCGAGCAGATGAGAAGTTTCTAGCCCTAGCAGGGCCGTTGAAGTTTTATACCCTGTATCGGATGCACGATTATCACTTCTGCATCTATTCAGCCATGTTCGCCGGCCAGTCGAATGTCGCTCTGGATACTGTTACGCGGATGGAAGAATCCCTCTCAGAAGAGCTCCTTCGTGTTCAGTCTCCACCCATGGCTGACTGGCTCGAGGGATTCCTCGCCATGCGAGTACATGCCCTGATCCGTTTCGGTTGCTGGCAAGATATCATTGATCTGCCGATTCCCTCAGATGGAGTTCTCTACTGTGTGACGGCTGCGATGACGCATTACGCTAAAGTTGTTGCCTTAGCAGCCACAGGCAATATCGCCCGCGCAGTGGAAGAGCAAGAATGTTTTAATCAGGCCGTGAAAGTGGTACCCGATTCGCGCATGCTGTTCAACAACAAGTGCACCGATATTCTGCGTGTCGCAGAGGCAATGATGCAAGGAGAGATATTTTATCGTCGTGGGCTTTATGAGAAAGCCTTCACTCACCTGAGAGAGGCTATTTCCCGCGAAGATGAACTGCCATATGATGAGCCTTGGGGTTGGATGCAGCCTGCGCGGCATGCGTACGGTGCGCTGTTATTGGAGCAGGGTTACTTGGAAGAGGCTGCGGCGGTGTATGCTCAGGATCTTGGATTTGATGACAAGTTGGCCAGAGCCCTTCATCATCCTGCGAATGTATGGGCTTTGCATGGGTACTATGAATGCATGGTGAGTTTGGGGCGAAGTGATGAAGCTTCTCGAGTCCAACCTCAACTCCAAAAGGCTTTGCAGATGGCGGATGTGCCTATCAAAGCATCGTGCTTTTGTCGCCTCAGTGCTGTGGGAGTAGAGGGGAGATAAAAGTTGTCATTCTGGATCATTAAATGTATTCGTAGATTGGATAAAATGAGGTAGGTAATCATCTTACAGCCTACAGGTCGGTATGAGAACTAATGCTTTGAGGGAGGGACAATTGATGATTTGATGGCTACATACAACCTAACCATGTGGGGAAAAGCCCAGGCCACTGTCACACCACACTTTAAGCTTTCTGGGGCAAAGGTGGGGTGGAATTTTCTAGCGACCCCAAGAAAGCTCGCCAACATTGTCGTCGCTTCCCGCTTCGTCCGAAGAGCGCTCTAGATACTTCGAGAAAGTGATTTAGTAATGTGTAGAACATTCGAGGTTACTCCAAGTGACGTTAATATTTGCGTCATGGTGTTTTCTCAACATCTATTTAAGGACGCTGTAGAGCCTGCAATTTACACCACTAGTTACGAATATCAACAATATCACAGCAGAATACTACACTCAAGCGTCAAACTCATCTCGCAACAACTCATTCACTTGCTGCAAACAGTGATCACTATCACAATGTCTCTCTTCGGACCTCGTTTCTACACCGCAGAGCCCAATTTCTCTGGCCTCTTCCGCCTCATCGACGACTTTGACAAATACTCGTCGCAAGCCACCGGCAGTGATGACGGCCAAATCAATCGTCGCGGCCAACACCAAATTATGCAAACCTTCACTCCCAAGTTCGACTTAAGGGAGACAGAAACTGCCTACGAATTGCACGGCGAGCTCCCAGGCATCGAGAAGGATGCAGTTCACATCGAGTTCAATGACGAGCAAACCATCAGCATCCGTGGCCGCGTCGAGCGCTCCCACAATTTGCACAGCGGCGGCGACGACGACGAAAATCCGGAGAAGCCTGTCATGGTCGGCCGCAAGGGCTCGGCTGATAACGGATCCGACCATAACAACAAGAAGGGGGCGCACCAGAACGGTGGCTCCTCCTCCACGACTGATGTCGCGAAGGCCAATGAATCGGACACTCAGGTCTCTGCGGCTACTGTTCCAGCCAACAAAGTCAAATACTGGGTTTCGGAGCGCAGTGTTGGCGAGTTCTCTCGCTCCTTCTCGTTCCCGCAGCGCGTGGACTCGGAGCATGTCACAGCTGCACTCAACAATGGTGTTTTGAATGTTACGGTTCCTAAGGCTCAGAAGCCTCTGGGACGACGCATCGCTATTAATTAAGGAGTTGCAGGTGTGACCGCGAGTTGGATGCCGTGTACGATTTATGATTGTGTTGGGTTGTTTTCTGGTGTATCATTTCCGGTGAAAACAGGTGTACTGATAATTGGAGTCTGTTAAGCAGAAAAGCTAGTAATGACTGTTAAGGGTTGAGACAGGTGTGAACATGTCGCTCATTGACAATTAAATGGCTACTTGTAATATAAAATGAAAACTTACATTATTATCTACGTTGTTTACCCTCTGTCATGCGGGAATGGTCAATCGTGTATTTAGCAACTCCCCCCAGAGGTAATTACATATCGGTCCCCCACGCATCTTCGTAGTACCGATGCAACCCATAGTAGTTGGAATCCAATCGACAGTGTGCGTCTACAATCATGGCAGTAGTTCCTACTCTGCCTTCTCATTCCACAAGATATTTGATAATCCTCTGTACAATCCAGAAACGGCGTCAAGTCACCGCGATCATCGTTAAGGATTTCTTTCTGACTTCATATTCATCTACTCTCTGTCTACTATATCTGCTATCTCTATATTTGCTATCTATATAACCATATTGCCGATAACCCTTATGAAGTCATGTTTAAGCGCGATCAGTCCCCAACGTTGCCTTGCACTTGAGTAAACCAACAACTTTCATCCATATGAGAGTTGAAATTCAAAAGTGGAATTGAATATAGTAAATTTGCAAATCAGCTGGCTAGCTCAATGCCCGAAGACAGAGTTGAACTACCGCGAGGTTTGTTGCTATCGAATCTTTCCACCTTGGGCCTTGGCTCAACTGTATGAAATGAACTGATCTCGACTATGTTATCGTCCTCATCCTCGTTTCCCAAATTTTGCAATGCGAACTCGTCCGCAACCTCCGCTGAAGGAACCACCGCAACGTCACCCTCGTTTTGATGCAATGGCATATTGACAAACATGGCATACAATCCCGCGTCGTAAACCAACCGACAGCAACCCGCTGCCACAAAGGCAATCCAGAAGCGTTCGTTGCCAGCCAGAATACCGGTGACAGTAGGGCCCAGGGTGGCAGCAAGGGTCCTCAATGTGCTTGCAATGCCCATGACAGCCGTGCGCTCTTCTGGCTTCACGACGGCGGCGATGAAAGCAGCACGCGGTGCCTGGTCCATGCTATTCAGGCCAGTCCGAATCAACAGCAGTACGATGGTGAGCCACAGACTCGAAGGAGCAGAAAATAGGAGCACTGCTGCTGATGATGGGATGTGCGTAAAGACCATAGTGTTGATCAAACCGATCTTCCTTGCAAGTGGGCCAGCGAAAATAGTGCTAATACTTCCCAGGAGTGTTGCACCTGACTGGGCATCCCCAAGTGTGGCTTTAAACGGGTGAAACTTCTCGTTGATGTAGTATTGCGTTATCGATATCGGCACCATGCCATCGGCGACTGAGTCTAGAGCAAGCAATAGCCAGAGCTTGTACATGACTAAACGAGTCGGCTTTGAGATCTGCGAGAGCGGTTGGGAGAAGAACCCAAGGGAGCGTCCGATCCACCCTGCCTTGGCCCTGCTACGCAATGGTGTTGAAGCAGTATTCGATGTAGCTATGTGACTTTCGGCTCTTGGGGACTCGACCGTCTCTTCCTCGTCTTGTAATCGAGAATAGTTCTCAGCTTCAGGTTGCTTGCTTTCGCAAGCTTCTGTCAAGAGAAGCATCAGGCCAGCATTGACAACACCCATGACGGCGTATATCCAGAACAGGGTGTGATAAGCCCAGGTCAGGGTCCAACCCGGTTTGTTTTCAAGCGTATGGATTATCCGCCCAGACATCTCACTGCCAACGGCCAAGCCCAATGTCGATGTCGCGACATACCAAGCCAATACATCTGCCCTCGTCTCCGGCGTGGTGAGATGTGAAAGCATGGATTCCTCAATACTCCTGAAAGGGCCGAAGTCACCACCTGTGGCGCTGATGACACCAACAATAGAAGCGACCAGCAGTATGCCAAAGTTGTCAAAATATGCAAATACAGTTCCACTCAACACCATCAACCCTGAGCCAGCGAGCAGTATCCTCCGCCTCCCCACACGATCAGCAATGAGTGTTAGGAGTGTGCCAAGAACCACATCGCCCAGCAGCGTCAGTGTAAAGAAGAGGCCGATCTGATAGTCGGTGAAGCCAAGCTCGTTAAAGAATAGGGCCAGGATGAAGGTGCTTCCATAGGCGAACATGCGCAACGAGCGCGAGAGGATGATGAGGTACGCATTGCGGCCCGTCTTGTGAATGGCCGAGAGCCCGAATTCGTGGTACAGCCAGATAATTGAGCGTGAAAGGGCTGGCATAGTTACCTAGTTACCTAGGTAAGTCCTCGGTAAACTGTTTCAGACCATAGCTTTATGTGGGTGATAGTATGTAACGGACTGAGCGGGGTTGGCACTCTTGCATATAATAATATCGCGTTATTTGTTTTCTGTCCTATGCTAGCCGACGTCGGCTCTGACGTGATGCGCTAACTTAGATATACTGTCGGGCAATTGGCGGAGGATTGGCGCTTAAGTAGTACAGTGTTAAGTAAGCGATATTAGAGCTCTACACATCATCATATCAGTAGAATAGAGCCACGCAACTCCGTGTCTATTAACAGTACAATATAATAACTAAAGGGCGCATGGGCTACGTGTCAGCGGTGGGCAGTGAGGCACGGGATGGAGTTCGCCCCTGACAAGAGTGAGCTAATGCACTTTACTAGGGCCCGAGAGCCCTTGCCGCAAAGTATTCGCCTTGGGGACGCCACAGTGTCGCCGGTAGTCTCAGCGAGGTTCCTAGGAGTCTGGTTCGACCGCAAACTGACGTGGCACGCCCATGTTCAACGTGTTAAAACAAAAATGGCAACTCCAAAGCTAGCCCTGACAAAGCTAGTCAATATGTCGTGGGGCTGCGATCTTATACGGGCGAGGCTGTTATATACGGTGGTTATCCGTAGCGCGATCGCCTTCGGGGCGACTGCATGGCATACTATAAGTGAGGAACCGGCAGGGCCAGCTAAGAGCCTGATGGGGATACAGAACGAGTGCCTCCGGGTAGTCTGTGGCGCCCACAAAGCGACGCCGGTTCGCCACCTGGAAGCAGAAGCAGCAATCCCGCCACTAGACCTCTATCTTAGTGCCCGGGCTGCTAAGTTTGAAGAACGGCTACGGCTTAGCGGGAAGAGAAATCTGCTTCGCAGCGCGAGCACTAAAGCGTCACATATACTCCGGCAGGATAGGCCGGCGAAGAGGAAGCAGGCGTCGCAGCTACTCCGACCGGCAGGGTACACTATGGAGAAGGAGGCTCGGGGCTCCGAGTGGATGAGTGAGGAAAAGGAGGTCCCGGCTGCCCTCCTCGGCCACTGGAGGAAGAGATGGCTCACCGGAGCAGAGCATCACGATCGCCAGCGACGCGCTATCGCTGAGGAACCGGAGGGCCCTTCGATGCAGATACCGAAAGGGGGCAAGTATTTCGGCCTGAACCGACTGGAGGCGTCTACGCTGTGCCAGATCAGGACGGAAAAAATAGGACTAGCAGCCTTCTTATTCAAGACAAGGGCTTTTGGCGTGTACTCGCCGCTATGCCGCTGTGGCGACGCCCCTGAGACGGCAGAGCACGTAATCCTCTTTTGCGGGCTGTTGGAAGGACCGAGAGAACGATTACGGGCCGCTATCGCACCACGGCCACTATACTCTCGCAGAGACCTCGCAACGGCAACAGGAGAACCAGTAGTTAGTGGGACTATTGTAAGGTGGCTGCTAGGGACGGGTCGGACAGCTTCAAGGCCCAGATAGCATCGATCTTCTCAGGGGGGACTTTGTTGGTAGGTTGAGAACCAACGTAGTATGGTAGTGAACGCAACGCAGTCGCCAATAGGGCGAACCGACGACGCAGCGTATGTATTTAGTCCAGCCATTAGGGCACGGTTTGACATACGGGAGTACTAGTAGAGGTACCGGGGGCTTCGAGCCTACGGCGTATTTAATAATAATAATAATAATAATAAATTCCATACCGATCTCGTTAGTCGTCCATCGTTTTGGGCTAGGTCTAATTCTCCAATCTTTCGGAATGTTGTCGTCTTCGTACCAAGAAGAGAGATGGTATCGGCCCACAACAACGATGAACGGCGGCAGCGCCTAACCGGTAGACTGGACCGCTTGGATTACGGTAACCCATTCCCGGTTACCTTGCTGTATTTACTTCGGCCTGGCACGTCGTTCGGAGCTCGTAACTACTATATTGGTTGAGATCTTGCCCATCATAAACCCAGTCTCGTCGAAGTTGTAGATGTCCGACTCTTGGATACCGTATTTCGCGATAACATTCGCAACAAGCCGAAACCAATCTGTAATAAGCTTTGGATCTTCGCATTGGGCCCTTTGGTAATCGTAAGGACGGTTCCAACGAGTTTTCGACTCTTTGCGACGTGCGACGAACCTCGAGGCCCAGCGCGTTCCAATGGGCCCTGCGTTACGTGTCGCGCGGATAGAATTTGCCATTGCTTCCACATCAGCAATCCGGGGCGGAAACGCTCGTGCATCTAAGTCCAGTATATGCTTGATAATGACCTCCTCTTCTAATTCTGTCATAGTTCGTGAATTGGGCAAAATATCGCGTCGGAAAGGTACGCCGTTTTTACGCGTTTGGAGGGTGCTTCGGGGGACTTGGTACGTTTTTGCCGCTTGTCGGAGACTAAGTTTTGGTCATTTTTGAGAGCTTGAAGGGCTAGTATTAAGTCTGCTTCGTTGTATGACTTTGCCATAATTGGTTGTTGAGAAAATCAAAGATTAAGTTGGCCGGTCGCGTTGGCGCATGAAAGTGGCCAGCTCGGTGTCATGGCCAGCTCGGTGTACATTCACGTTAGCTCTAAATTAGATAACGTGGTTTAACACCGAGTCGCGCATATCACCGAGTCGCGCACTTTTTCAACTTTTCCAACCTTTTGACTTCAACACTTATTTCCCTCAACAACAACACCATGTCAGTTCAAACCCAAGAAGCCAAAATCAACCTTGACATCGAAGCTATCTGATTGACCAAAAATATGAGCCAACGTCGAGCAAAGCTATACGGTGTACCCGAGTCCTCACTCCGTGACAGAATCCACGGTCGCACCCCACGTACCGAAATCTGGCCGAATAGCGCACTACTCGCCAAGATAGAGGAAAGAGCTATTGTTCAGCATGTACTTGACCTAGATTTGAGAGGGTTTCCTCCCCGGCTAGAGGGTGTGGAAGATATGGCCAATTCCATTCTTGCGACGCGGGGTACCCGACGCGTCGGCAATCTCTGGGCGCATCGCTTTGTAAAGCGAACCCCAGAGTTACAGACGCGTTTTTCTCGCTCGTATGACTTCCAGAGGGCCCTCTGCGAGGATCCAAAGATTATTGAGGACTGTTTCCGGCTTGTATCGAATATGAGGGCCAAATACGGGATCCAGGACTGCGATATGTGGAACTTCGACGAGACGGGCTGTATGATGGACGTTATTCAACGCTCGATGGTCGTTACCTCGTCTGAACGTAATGGTAGAGGCAAGAAGGTCCAGCCAGGTAACCGGGAATGGGCCACGGCGATTACCTGTGTCAATTAGGAGGGTTGCGACATCCCGCCATTTCTGGTAATTCAAGGGAACTATCACCTTGCTAATTGGTATACTGAGGGGGACCTACCAGCCGATTGGGTAGTCAAACCGACTGAAAACGGGTGGGCGAACAACGAGACTGGTCTAGACTGGATCAAACATTTCAACAAGCACGCTATCTCGACCAAAAGAGGCGTGTATCGGCTGTTAGTATTGGACGGGCATGAGAGTCATACATCGGCCGATTTCGAGTCTTATTGCAAGTCTAACGGCATTCTTACTATCAGTCTGCCCCCGCACTCGTCTCATCTAACCCAGCCACTTGATGTCGGGTGCTTTGGGGTCTTGAAACGTATATACAGTCGAGAGATTGATATATTTATCAAGTCCCATATTAACCACATTACTAAGGTCGAGTTCTTTATCGCCTTTAAGGAGGCTTATTTAAAGACAATAACCGACAAAAACATCAAGGCAGGGTTTCGAAGGGCCGGCCTAGTCCCCCACGACCCTGAAGCCGTTATCTCGAAGCTGGATGTTAGGATTCGGTCGCCTACACCCGTTAGCCCCTCTCTTCCAGATGCTGACCCTTGGGTTTCGCAAACGCCAAATAACCCGACAGAGGCTCTCTCGCAGTCCGATTTTGTCAATCGCCGAATCACCAGACATCAGGGAAGCTCTCCGACCCCAATTTTTGATGCTGTTGGCCACCTTGCGAAGGGTATAACTCGATTAGCCCATGAGAATACCCTCTTGAAGGCTGAGTGCTCCACCTTCGCAAGGCAAATGAGGCACTAAGCAAGCGTCGGAGGGCAAAAAAATCGCGTGTCCGGCAAGGAGGTGCACTTACTGTCGAGGATGCCCTGGACATTTTGGCCCGGAAGGACGCGGAGGCCCAGGTAAAGGAGGACAAGCGCTCTAGGGGGGGTAAAGAAAAGGCTGGTCCGTCGACTGTACGACGATGTAGTAAGTGTAAGAAGACCGGACATAATGTAAAGACTTGTCAGGTCGAACTATAATTTTCAGATGTATATAGCTCTGAATAAATTTCAATAAACTTTAGTCTGTTGTGGCTTTTTAATTGAACTTGAAATTATAGTGTGGTAAAAGGTGCGCGACCCGGTGATATGCGCGACTCGGTGTTAAACCACGTTATATTATAGAGCTCGTTCAGAACTTCTAAACAGTAGTAAAACTGTCCGATTTAGGCTTATCTCCACTAAGATCTAGTATAGGGAGGGGCGTAAAAGAAAGAGGCAGAAGTAATAATGAAACTTGTGTGGCTGCTTTATCAATGTTTTCGTGCATCTATATCTTGATTTCCTAACGGTGGAAGTGCAAGATCTGATTTACTACGTCCGACTATAGTCAACGGGACTATGGAGTGACTTGAATACTGGAACGCAAGGGAAGCAAGATTTCAATGCGGGAAAGCAAAAACCGGGGACGTACACGGACATTGACATGTTTAGGACGATGAGGTCACAGCTATGCACTTTTTGGTTCAAAAAAACGAGAACTAACTTGGTGGTTATAATACTCCATTTCGAGAGGCCAAATCGGTCTGAATAGTGCACAAGAATTGCGCAAGTGGTTGTATTACAAGGTACTCCATTCCACCATCCATCTGCTTTCTAGGACTACTTGGATTCAACCATAGCTCTATGCATAGTATTCAATTCTGTATTCAACCGACAAATCTACCCCAGGACCTACTCAAGCATTCCAAACCGTATCAAGTAGTTAAGAAAGACTGGGGGCTCCGGCAAGATACAAGCTGATGATTTCCAGACCTCCCAAATTTGAGTTGAAGCGCCAGCGAGAACAAGACGAGAACGAAAAGGAGGGGTTGTCGGGCCACGAAGGAAGAGATCAGCCACAACTAGTAGGCCTGCAACAAGGTCACATAGAGGGAGGCTCCGAGTAGAATTAAGACAGCTGCCCCATATCCCATCCACCGGATGCAGAGGAGATCTAAGAAAGAAACTATCACGCTCACTCGTCACTACTGGGCCGATGAATAAACCTGATGTTATGCCGTTCTTTAGATTATTCTGGAATCCCGGATCAAGTTATTTCCGTCCATCGGCGCATCAAATGTTTGTTTTAAGAAGATACCAGGGCGGTCACCTACCAGGTACCCTAAGCGCCAAGATTACCAGTGCTCAGCAAGGAAGCAGATGAAGCTGGGCACTGGGGACCCTAAAATGACGTGCAGCACTGGCAGCTTGGCATCTCTTGGCCTAAAGCTTGGAAATGCTTAACCCAGCCTCAGGGTTCTCGGTAATGTAGATCATTTAGTGCACAGGCGACACAGGCGACGCGATAGAGATAGCTCCTTTTTTTGTGATCCCGTCTATTATACTGTCCCATGCGAGCCTACGGCTTATAAAGATAGTAGGTTAAAAGACCCGAGGTATAGCTAGCAAATTACCTAGCCCTATACATAACTGTTGTCAGGGTCGTGTATGGGGGTACCAGTAGTTTATTGTTGTAGCACGAAGAATGGAACATCAGCCAGCTCGTGCAGTACCAATATACATGCGGTGCACGGGCCTAGCCCCGTGACAACTGTAACCCGGTACTACGAATCTATATCCTCTGTAACAATTGTTTTCCCTCGTACTATTAGCTTTCTGAATTTAACCCGGAGGTTAAGTCTAAAATCAGTGTAGGGTATAGGTTTTTAGTAGGATACCTAGCTTTACTAAATTCTTTCGCTGTTACTTTCGTTGTCACTGGCTATTGGCCCCACTTTTAATATACATAAACGGTAGGTAGTTTGGACATTAGTGACACCTTCAAGTGTTAAGAATTAACCTACCTACCCCCGCAGTCAGGTATATGTAGTCCCTATAATAGCCGCCGGATTCGAACTTACTATATTTATCGCTAACCCGGACATTAGCCTGTGTTACAGCGGCTTATACACCAGCCAAGCTTAGAACCACTAAGCGAAGAGAGGAAGATAGTGCTTAAAACAACAAAATTTATGCTGCACAGTCATTAATAAGGAGTATATGTCGAACGATGGTATTTAGCCTCATCTATTGTACATGTACATAACGATAAAGTAAGCAGTCTAAAAAGTATATCGCAGCGCTACAGAGAGGATAGGTGAAACCAGTAAGGTCTGATGGAACATTGGACCAGTCCTTTTACAGAACAAAGATGGAAACAGCAGACACGATACCAGCGATGGCATAGGCAAAGAACAAGACCTTGCCAAAGTCGAAGAAGCTGGGTCCATTACCGCCCAGGCCGGCAAAGCCACCCATGGCACCACCAGATGAGCTGCTGGAGCCGGCGGCGGTGCCCTGTTGGCCGGTGGGGCTGACGACACTGCCCGTACCGGCCGTGCCAGCGGCAGAGAGCAGACTGGAGCAAGTGGAGGCGGTGGTGCCTGCCTGAGTGGTGGCGAGGCCGCTGAAGTCGCAGGCGCTGGCTGAGTTGCTGCCGCTGTCCTGGTAGTATTGGTTGGCGACAAAGGCCAGCTGCTGCTTGGCGGAGCAGCCAGAGTAGGCACCATAATTGCCAAGGGTAGCGTTGCGGGCGATGCCGGCACAGTACGACTCGTCAGCGGCGCAGATGTAGCTGAAGATGGACCCGTAGTCGTCGGCGTCATCGGAGGTGATTGTGCAATCGACCTCAGCCATCAGGCAGGTGCAGAGCGAGGGGTTGACGAAGGGAGGCAGGGGCGAGGGCTTAGCGGCCCAGGTGGTGCCCGAGGAAACGCCCACCGTGGGGCAGGCGGGCACCGTGTTGGAGGGCGTGTAGGCGCTCGACTGGGTGATGGTGGGCGAGACGGTGGCCAGCTTCTTGCTCAGCGAGGTGTAGTCAGGGTAGGCCGAGACCGAGTTGTCCTTGATGGTGACGAGGCCATACTCGTTGTCCTCCATGAAGTACTCGTAGACAATGCCACCGGAGAAAACGTCGCTCATTTGACCGTAGAGGACCTCGACCTCGTCAAAGGGTCTGTTGGTGGCGCCGCCATCAATGCCCTCAATGCAGCCGTACTCGGCGAAGAAAACGGGGACCGGGTAGTCCTTGAAGAAGTCGTAGCGCGAGCTGTAGCCAGACTCGGTGTAGGAGCTGTTACCGCACCAAGAATAGACATTGTACCCCCAGAAGTCAATAGAGGTGGAGTTGTCGCCCGTGGGTTCGCAGGCGAAGTAGTAGGCCAGGTCATCACGGGTGGCCACATCTGCCGTGGCATAGCCGACACCTAGGGAACTGCGGTAGTTCATCCCCTGGATGTATGACTTGGAGTCGCGCACGGCGGCCTTGACGAAGGCGGCGGCGGCGGTCTGGTTGTCGGCGCTGACCACCTCGTTTCCGGCGAAGAAGCCAATAACGTTGTTGTACTTGGCAAAGGCGTCGATGACGGCCGTATAGCGCTCATACAGCTCCATGTTCCACTCCGGGTCGTTGCTGTTGATGGAGACATTGGGGGCACTCAGATCGGCCATGACGTAAATGTCGGCAGACGCCAGCTGGGCCATGCAGTCGTCGTGGTCCTGCGTCGGGTCGACGGCGTAGACACGGATGACATTGGTGAAGATCTCCTTCATGTAGGGGATGTCGCGTTTGCAGCTGTCGGCGTCGGCCAGCGGATCGACATAGTTCGTGTTGGATGAGCTGCTTGTGGCGGTAGCGTCATAGTCCTGCTGGTATCCTACGCCTTTCAAGAAACTTCTGGTGGTAAGCAACTATTCTTTCGAAAAGATCCATCATGAATTCAACCTACAATTGGGAGCCGTTGTTGGTGTAAAAGAAGTGCTGGCCGTAGACTTCAATGTCGGGGATGGTGCTCCAACTCTCGTCAGCAGCGGATACGCCGGATATGGCGACAGCCCCAAGAGAGAGGTAGAACAGTAATGGTGAGGTCTTCATAATGTCAGATGAACGAATGACTGAGAAATAAAGTATACAAAAACAGCCAAGTGCTGATCTAAAGCAATACCAAGAAGAATTGCCAAGAGGAAAAAGGATCAGACCTATTGAGCATGGTCGTGAGCAACGAGAATGTTTTGTGCTTCAAGGGGAGGTGGATGAAAGAAGGAATGAGCAAAGAATGGGGTGGGTTGCATTAGGCCCGTCAATCTGTAGGGCATGGGTTGAATTGGGGGTGGCCATGCAGCAGTACCAGCAATCCATAAACGTTAGGTGGATACGCAATCATCCAACTGCGACCCACCGTTTGATGATCATATATAGCACGCATTAGCACGCATGCGTCGTGTAATAAATATGACCCAAATGATAGCTGTCAACCAACGAGCTCCTGTCAAAAACTCGTCCTGAACTGCCTGACTCGACCCTGTGGGCCGGGACCCCCCGGCTTGGCGCGTCCGATCATCCCGTATTTTATGGGGTTCACCCCGTTTCCCTTTATAATTCCACCGAGTCGTCGTCAACCCGAGGCGCAGTGGCGTCGCAGCCCATCCATAGCACGCTTGCACACCGTATTAGCAACTTTTGCTCATTTCCCACCATCAAACAGAGAAACGCGCCAGCTGCTTCCATTGTGAATAAATAAACATGGACGCATCGACCGCCCCAGATTTCCTGTTACCTCACAATCTTTCTTCCATGGCGATGATACAAATTTCCGGTTGCCTAATTGTCCAACCTCCCAAAGAAACTGCTGTGGTCGCGACGCGGCTTATTAGTGGATTCCAGTACCGGTAAAATACCTGTTTTTCTATCATGTACTCTTCCGTCTTATAGACCTTAAAAAGTGGCACTTTTGTGACTTCACAACTGCCATGCGAGCCTTTTCCTCCACAACCATCTCCGCTGATGACTGGATACAATGGTCGATACAACCAATTATACTCTGTGATCGAAGAATGCATGAAATTTCGGGTTTGTATCATGGTGGATTTCTCGCTTGACTACAGAAAGCCTTCGACCTCCAGGTTTTCAATAACAAGTACAGTTCCTTCACGGATTGAATCGTGATCAACGTGCTCATGTTCCAGCTGTTACGAGAAAATAGAGGGGCATAACATGGCCTGAATACGCTGAAAATGATCTCAGAAGCAGAGAGTAAACTGTAATAGTAGCCACACCCTTGATGGGTTCACAGAGTGGCCCGTCACTGATCTCTAAACTAAGAGAGTTGTTTTCAGTCCCAATGTACTGGAATCAGGATCCTCCATGTTCTGCGGCGTTGTGTCTCCGTGTATTTCTTCTAAAAGTGGAACCAAGAACTCAATTCAAAGGATAACATGATTCTGACAGGTTGAAGCATTTCAGTCCTGTACACTGATATCACTGCTTGATCTACTCCAATGGCATGTTACGATGTGCATCTATCGAGTATAAAACCTATTTCGGCATAACACTTGTCCCAGGATTATATGATTTGCCATACCCAAGGAATAATAAACGGCCCGCACTTATTTTGACCAAGTTTAATCTGCTTGTTGCATTAGGATATCGGGTTACCCCTTACTATACTACAGCGAGCCGTTTATTTTGTTAGCAACTTGCGTACATTTGTAAAGTACCCCGACGTTCAATCCTGGGAATAGGAATAATCATGAAACTACCTTGACACTTATGATTCGTTCTATGGAATATTATCTCATCACTACTGCTAATCTGCGCAGTAATGTCCTAGCACTGGGATGGCCCCTATCAGTGAAGTAGGTTCGTGTGATTTGCAGCACCTCCGCTCGCTACTCACTCCAAGTACTAAGTTGAAGGTTTAGATTTAAGCGTGAATCGCAACCTGCACATGCGGATACACGCGAACCATCTCCTGGTACAGTTCCGGATGCTCTCTCATTAGAACCTCTGGTTCCCACGCTGTAGCGACAAATATCGTGTCGATGCCACTGCCGATCGGGGTTGTGAAGATATTGCAGATCTGAAGGCCGATGAGGAACGAAATAACCACAACAACGGGTGTGTATGCTCCATCAGCGTTGTAAGCAGGGCTTGTGAATACCAGGTAGAGGTAGGACATCAAAGCGCATGCATAACCCACGAAGGTTGCTCCCATACTCAGTACAGGGCCGATAAGGCATTCGTTGATGAGAGCATCAATACCCCGTTGTTTGATCATGCTACTAGTGTCAGCCAGAATCGCTTCGAATATGGGCTAGCGCTTGGGTTCCAAATGGAGTAGTACACCTGGCGTAAAATGATATGGGACAGCGCAATATTCCAGCAAAGTAGAATGGCAGACGGTTGAGACACAAGAATATCATATTACCCCATGTTACTAGATCCCAGGTGCGCCGTTTGTTTGGTCATGCCGTCGGCAGGGTGACAAGGCTCCAAGATCAACGGTCAATCGCTGCGGGGGAATATTTAACTTACTTCCACGTGTCCTTGGCAGCTGGAATGTAAGCCTTTCCGTACAACGCGATGTATGAAAAAGCGTAACGATTGAGGAACTGGACAGCCCATTCAAGGATGCTGATGAAACAGCCAAGAATACAGAACACTGGACCACACAGTTAGTCAAAGATAATCTGACACAATTGCGGGGAGACTCTTCGCTTACTGATGCTTCCCAGGATGTTCCCCTGTGCCGCATCGCTTTGTCTGGCAACTGAACAAAGTTGGCGAAGGAGGTTGATGATGGCCACAATCAAGCTGCCTAAGCTAATACTTCCAAAACTGTAGGTCAGAGACCTCTTCAGGGCACCCATTGTGGCGCCTCGAGGCGGGTTATGAGGATGAAAGTACCACGAGCCGTACACTCCCGATATACTAGTATGGATGGTGTTCTTGAGCCACTCGGAAATCCAATACATAGCGAAGGTGATAAAGACCAACAGACCAGTAACTTTGGCCGAACTGCAGCCGCCTACGCCTTGTCTACAAGCTGGGTTTTGGCCTGGCTGGTATTTAACATAGACTGCCACAAAGGTGACGCTATACCAGGCAGCGAGAGCGGTTGCGAGCAGGCCGCCGAGAAAGCTAACGAGGTAGACATGACCATACGTCTTGGAGACACCGATGGATGTTTTCAGCATCAAGGCGCTGAAGGGGATGCGAGGGATCCAGGTGATAAAAGCGAAGACGAGGAAGGCAACGAAGATGAGAAAGACGATACCCCCTGAATAGTATTTGCGGTACAGCATGTAGATAGCCGTGACGAGGCCGAAGACGATGTTGAGAATGCCAGTGATCCAGATGAACTGCTTCGGAAATGCTCGGGCCAGCCAGACGTAGGCGTAGCTGAATACCATAGCTATGCAAAGACAGAAGACAAACATTACGATAGTATTGGTGTTTAGCCCGACGGCTTGGGCGCCGTCATATATACCACTACCGTTGTAGAGCTTCGTTGCGGCTGGGAGTTTGATCAGTGTGGATTCAATCGGTTGAAGCAAAAGTACGTACAGTAACCTTGAATTGAGATGCCAGAGACGACAACAAAGCCCGCAACGACGATAAGAAACTGCGGATTTGTTAGTGAGCCATATATATCTGGATTTACGGCTGGGGATATACAAACTAGAATTGCAGCCCACTGCCACAAGGTGAGTTAGTATATATTTCGAAGAAACAAGCGATGATTCAGGTGTCCTAACTCATGTTGTAAGAGCAAAATCACCCAAGACTGTATTGGGTATTTTTCACTCTCGAAACAGACCAGAAAGGAAATAAGTATCTCTGAGAGTGACATACTAGGTCGTTCCATTTGGGTCTTACGACCTTGAAGGTCTGGTCAAACAAGGGTTTGTCGCCGTATTGGTAGCCCTGTTGCGGTGATGGGCCGGGAGGGGCTCGTCCGTATTGCTGACCATATTGCGGTTGTTGAGGCGGTGGTTCGGCATTGGAGTCGTAATTGGCGGCCTCTCCGCCGGACGTGTTGTACGACGCCATCTCGGCACTTGCAGCCGTCATTGTGGAGTTCGAGCTGGTGTGAACTTTAACGCGTCGTATCGACGACGACGATGCAGATCAAAGGAAACGAGCCGATACGGAGGATGACGATTTAAAGAATTGTCAAGGTGAGTTCGCAACCAGGAAATTTATGGAATGAATTAAAGGTTGTCGTAAACTCAGAAAGAAATTGGCGCTAGGGTGTCACCGTAAACGCTGTGGTACACCTAAAACTGGCACTACGACCTTGTGCTATTGAAATTGAGTTGTTCTGATGTCATCGATTGAGAGCAAACGGCAAAACGGTCCATTAGCGGTATTGCCAGATCACGCCTATGTTTATGTACCTGTCTACTACAGTAGCATAATCAGATTATACCGATGTTCACACCCATTTACTAAAGTGGAATATCAGGTGATTCCATGTCATTTCAATCCAGATATACTGTGACTTCTAATGTTTAGTGTTCCACAACCGGCAGCCATATAGATTTTTGTTTCACATCATTATTTCCTTTGCGTTACCAAGAACGAGCGTACTTAATACCTGCTAAGTCACCTAGTACGACGGCTATTATATACCGGTTAACGTGATCCACAAGTCATTTTCGCACACAAGTCACTTTCGCACTTTTCTTGGCACCTTCAAGTAATTCAGTAATATCCTATGCATAACCCGCATTTTAGCCTTTAAATTACTCAAAATCTTCTTCATTATCAGTTTCTACTTCTATTGAACAAGTCCTTGCATTATGTCCAGTCCCTCCGCAAATACCACAGCGCCTTATACCGGTCTGCCGGCGCTTTACAGGACGACTGCTTTCCCCTTCTTCCTTCTCCATAACCTTGATATCACCCCTCAAGGCCCGTAAAACTTGTGCATCACCTATACTAAGTGCTCCTCCATATTGGATTTGCTTATTTTTCGTCCTACGACGCTTACTTAGTATATGGTTCGTCTCACGAAGCTCTTCGTTCTCCCGACGTAATAATGCATTCTCATGCATCATTGCATACGTAGCCTTCGTAGTCGAGTTAATTGAGTTCAAAATATGCGTCGGCGAGCTGTCTTGATGCCTCTGGACGCTACTTTTAATCAAAGTTGACTGCGATTCGGCTTCGAGGGTGTTGGTAGGCGTCTTAGAAACCCAGACGGAGGGAGGCAATTGGGGGTCGAGTGTCGGTGTTCGTACTACTTTTGCGATATCCAACGTAGATATGACCCTATCCGGGTTAAAAGGAACAAGTCCAGCTGCTTCGAATCCTGATCTGATGTTTTTTTGTGAAAAGCACCAATGAAAGCTTCTAAAAATCCAGCTAAGAAATCCTGCTTCTCAATATGGGTTTGATGCCTTCGCATTAAACCCTCCACGAACGCACCGTACAGCCGTTTCAACACACTAAAAGGTACCAAATACAAAGGCTGGAGCTTGTGGGATGAATGGGAAGGCATACACAATGTAATTACGCCGTGCGCCGCGAGGTAAGTCTCAAAATCCATCGAGTGGTGGCTCTCGTGACCATCCAATATTAAGAGACTTTTCGCACCCTTACGACGGCTAATAATATGTTGAACAAAGTGTTTTGCCCATTCCACACCAATATTATTAGTAGTCCAACCGTTATGGGAAAGGTCGACCTTCCAGTTGGCCGGTAGGTCGTTACCGCGATACCACGAAGCAAGATGAACCTTGCCCGCGAAGATGATGTACGGCGGTACCGCCCAACCTTGCGAATTAATAGCCTGGATCACCGTAACCCATTCCCGACCTCCTTGTGTAGCCTGTCTAGGCCGTCCGTGTCTTTCTGCACTCGTTACAACCATACCGGTTGTGATTATGCCCATTAGGAAGCCCGTCTCGTCAAAGTTGTAGATATCCTCCGGTAGGATACCGTATTCAGCGATTGTGTCCCTAACAAGCTCAAACCACGCGTAATACGCGATAGGATCTTCGCTAAATACCCTCTGGTAATCAATTCGACGGTTTAAACGCGTTCGGAGGTCTTGTCGGCGGTTAACGAAGTTCGTGGTCCAGTTCTTGCCGACGGGGGGCGCGTCGCGTACGCGTCGTAGGATATTCGCCATTTCTTCAACGTATCGAAGCCGAGGAGGAAATGCTCGCGCATCTAGCTCAATTATACGTCGGGAAATCGAATCCTCTTCGGTTTGAGTTAGATTTCGTTTTAACATATTAGCTTCGTGTCGCGTTTGGTCGCCGTCGAATCGATTCTTTAGTGTACGGTCGCAAACGTTGTAGATACGGCCAAGCTTACACCATAAAATTTCAGGGTTGCACTTTTTAGCTTGGATAGCTAGCTGAAGATCGGCTTCTTTGGATTTACGAGGCATGTTCTGGGAGGGAAGAAAAGTGCAAGCTAAGTTAAAAGGTTGAAATATTTGAAAAAGTGCGAAAGTGACTTGTGTGCGAAAATGACTTGTGGATCACGTTAGGTTTAATTGAATTTTTATGTTATAGTTGAATTAGCTTATATCTTATTATACGGGGTCTTAAGAAGTATTAGACCGTGGGGTAAGATAATAATAATATACGGCGGGATAGCCTAGCCGTACGAATTGATACGCTAGATTATTATAGTCTATTCTTGATTGCCCTGTTATAACATACGAGACCTTTCGTGTTATTCAGTACTTATAACTATTATCATAGATGAGATTAGGCCTATTGCTACAAGGAAGGACTAAGCCCCTAGGCTAATAGACTAAAAGATCTAGAATACTGACGACGGGCAGTGAAACCACCCGCAGGTTTAAGGTGTGAGATGATGGCAACGGACAACAAGATCCTCAACAAGACCTTACTATCCGGGAGGTGGAAAGAAATAATAAGATCAAGAGCTCTTTGCCCTGATCGGAACGACAAGTACCTCAACAGGTACTAACAACTGTAGCCTCAGCAGGCTAGGGAAGAAAAGGAACCTCAACAGGTCCTTGAACAATCACCTCAACAGGTGAAAGGTGGGAACAATGGCCTCAGCAGGCACAATCAGATCTATAGGGGCAACAAAAGTACCTCAACAGGTATGTCAGACATTGAATGCCTGTCCAAGTAAAGAGAAATTGGTTCAGATTACTATGGAAAAGGCCGCTTGAATTTCTATCTTTTTCTCAAGAGAGTGACTATGTACATAAGGTCTTAAATACCCTTCAAGAACGCGCTTACATAACTCGTCTGAAACCGGAAAAAACGAAAACGAGCACCCAAAAACCCTAACCCCACGTCAATACTAGTAGATCACTGGTATTTAGTCCCACTAACTGCTATATACAGCACTCTATGGCTCTGTAATCGCTAGCGCTATGAAAATTATCCCCCCTTCTATAAGGCTCGACCCCGAGAATTAAATAGACGGTTTTAGTACTAAACCTTTGGACGTTATCCCGTTAGATCCTCGCTAGGACTATTCTAGAGCGTCACGGACCCCTATAGGCTATCCGGGCTCGCGGGAGCGTCTTTTTAGTGCAGGGATATATGTTACGAACCGTTATTTCTAATAAGCCCGATAAACCTGTCAGGACACTGAACGCAGGACACCGGTGGGCCGCCGGAGGGGTGTTTCGGACAAAAGACTCCCGAGTCATGATTACAATCTATGTGAAGCTTTGGGATGACGAGAGTCAAGATCCTCGGCATCGCCGACCCTGCTGTTATGCCGAGTCCAAGCGGCGGCCTAGCTATCTATATAAGGACCATCTCGAAGTAGGATAGGGAAGGAGTAGAGATCAATGCATCATCGTGGGCACCCCTACCTGATGTGAAGGTCAACCCTCGCAGACTCACTACAACCAGGTGACTTACAGCTGGAACATCTGCCATGGCAGTGCCAGATGGGAAGCCAATCATAACCCCTGCAGGAGCCCCGCCAAGCGTGGACGACTTAGTCGCGCTCCCTCAAACCTAAGTTTGTGATCTTCTTTCCTTCGCTCCTTAGAGTAGAATCTTCGTCGATAGCACCTAATCGAGGTCTCTACCAATGCGATGCAACCCAGGTCGTGACACCTGAGACCGCCAGTGATCACCCGGTGCTACGTAGGAGGGATGCCCGTTACTCCCCATCACTCTGTACTATTGCCTTCGGCCTAGCCGTACCCTGACAAAACCTAACAAGGCCCGATAGCAGGCCTCTACTATGCACTAACGATAATTAAAGATCGGCTTCTTTAAATTTACGAGATATATTATAGGAGGGAATAAAAGTATAAACTAAGTTAAAAGGTTAAAATATTAGAACAAGTACGAAAGTAACTTATTGTTACGAAACCTCTAATAGTCTAGCTGCGTAAACCACTAAAGAGTCTGTAAGGGTTTGTGCTAGTAAGTAAGTCCTGCTGCGGAGTCCTCAAGCAATAATATCGGGGTTTGACGTATGGAGTATAGTGCTTTGGGGTAACTGAAGTATTCAAGTAGGGTAACTGGGAATAGAGTCGTCAAGGCAGTTTGCCTCACCAATGGGTTAGATTGATGCTTAGATTAATGACTGAAGTAGAGACTGTCTATCTATGAAATGCCTGGGAGTCCTGTCCCTTATATATCCTCTCTCCTTCACTGATCTCGTTGGATCACTCCTATTCTTCGTGATCCTCCCGGGGTGGCTCACTGGCTCACTGCGTGAGCCAGTGATCCGTCACGTGACCTTCTCTAGTCGGTCCGTCCTTCTTCCGCTCCTATCTTCTATCCTTGTTTCCGGTCCTTTCCTGCAGGTATCCACCTAAGGCCTGCCAACGGGCCTATTCTGTGTTGTTTAGGAACGTGGTTCGTAACATTCTGCTAGAGGCCACTAGTCTGGATTTGGAAAAGGAGGTATAACATAACCCACAAGCAAGTTGGCCACTTTTTCTTGGCACCGTATGAATAACTTCAATAACTTAACTAAATTAAAAAAAAATTCAAACTAATCGGAATCCTCTTCCTCGTACGTATCTTTATCATTCTCACAAGTACGAGCATTATGTCCGGGCTCTCCGCAGATCCTACAGCGCCGTCGGCGTGGTTTGGTCGGTCTCGTACGACGACGACTTACACGTATATCATCCTGTAGCTGCTGTTCACTATCCCGTTGAGACTGTAAGTCCTGAGTGTCTCGTAAACTAAGAGATCCTCCATCTTGTAGCTGTCGATTTTTAGTCCTTCGACGACGGCTTAGCTCTTGATTGGCCTTCCGAAGTGTAG